GATATTATTTTATCATAATAATATTCAATTTACGAATATTAACTCTCATGATGCATGATGCTTCAGTTTATAAATAAAATATTCAGTGTCGTAATATTTATAAATTCCATTAAAGTACCAAAAATTATATAAAAGTCAACTACACTTTGAAGTTTCGAGGTTCCTTATAATTCAGTCAATTTACTTTATTTAATTCGTTTTTATGACTACAGGTAAAACTGATTAATATGCTGCTGCTATTGTGCAACAATTTTATATTTTTTGAAAATTTTCAGTCACAGTCACCATGAATGTTAAAATCAAAAAAATAACAATTTAAAAGATTTTTAAAACAAAGATCCTATGTTTCATTTTATATTTGACACTTAAAACATGATTGTAACAAAAACTCTTTTATAATAAGATTCAAAACTTCTTAGTACACACGATTGGCATAAATTGACCCAATCATAAATAGTTGGGTCCAAACGATAGGTAGAGCAAAATATCAAGGAATAAAGTTTTAAACTAACTTAAAATTCAAATAATAAAATTGTTCCATTTTTAAAATACTTAAACAATAGTTCATCACTGAACCATATTTATGAATTAAGGAGACGAAGAAGCATGTAGGTAACCATAGACAAACATAGACCTTAATATGTCACAAAAAATTTCTTCAAATACAAACTTATCAAGCCAGAATTTGTTCCGTGAACCAAACAAGAAATGTACAACAACACACAAGGTCCAACGAAGCCAGGAAATAATATAACAGAAGACAGATTACAGTCTAATATTATCTTATTAAAATTACGTACGCGTGCAAATAAAATTCTTTAAAAAAAAACAAAGCGACACATTTTTACTAGTTAGTTGCAGAGCTAGACAGGATAATATATTACGTAAATAACTATGTTGATTATATTAGCATCTTTGAAATATGAGCTTTGTACTCGATTTATTTTTTTTGAGGTGGGAAAGTCATCGTATAACTTTTTCAGACAGATCGCCTGATGGAAAGTAATCAGCCTCGCTCGTGGACGCCTGCAAGCCCAGAAGGGTACCAATTTCAAGATTGGGGAAAGGGGAGGGAGAGCGTACCATATCATGAATAATCATGATCCTATAACGGATTTAAATAAATACATCCACCATATCAGAAGCTTCTTAAAACTCCTATATCATATTATGACTACCCTCCAAATTATTCCAAACTAATATTATAAATGCGAAAGTAACTCTGTCTGTCTTATCTTCACGCCTAAACTACTGAACCGATTTCTGTGAAATTTGGTACAGACATAGTTTGGAATTCGAGGAAGGACATAGGATAGTTTTTATACCAAAAATCTGCAGGAAGTCACTATTCCAAGCGAACGGAGTTACGGGCAAAAGCTAGTCAATTAATAAAAAAAGGGTGTGCAGTACGCATAACATTTCAGGTCATGGGCGGCGCCAATTGCTTACTATCAAGCGATCCTTCAGCTCATGGCTTGCCTTATACCCTAAAACACATGATGAGGATCTTTAACATCACTGCCAAATATCCAACCAACAAAAATATAATCCACAACTGACAATTAACTGCATAATAGTAAGTATGATTAATGCATAATTGCATAATAAAAATTGTTTGATTGTCATTAAGGCGTGCTGGAGTTCAAGAGTAGGGTCATCATTCAATACAATATGTAATAAAGTAAAATATTATTATGTCGTAGAATTAATGAATGATTGGTTAGGTTTAGGTGATAGGGCAAATGGCATAGACATAAGAAGTCTAATATTAGATAATGACATGCATCCCCAAATAGCACATTGCACGAGACCTAACCACAAAACCTTTATTAACATATGCACACTTGTGTTTATCACGAGAAATAAACTCAAAAATACATCATAGCTTTTGATGATAAGGATGTGTCCAAAAAAAGTAATATTTTTCCCTTTTTTTTGAGTGGTTGGGAGGGGTAATCATCATATTGGTTCTCCCGCCCAGGGAGAGGCGCGAGGGTGTGTCAGGCTCTTGCAATCCCGATCCGTTAGTAAAAAAATAAAAAAAAAATTATAGTATTTTTTTTTTGGTGCGATCAAATATAGAAGTTTAAAAAAAATATCTATATTTTGGGGGTTAATGACTCAAATAAATGGAAAGTCAAATCTAAAAATAGCCCTTCTCAAACACGCGCCGTTTTAATTAGTTTAAAAATAAAACAATTGTTTGTAATATCAAGGTCAACTTTTTATATTATAAAATCTGCTACCGAAAACCTCAACAATACCACTACAAAATGACGCTCAAACGCTTAACATTTTTTGTTTGAAATAATTAGTGTAATTGAAGTACGATGTATCTGTCTCTTTAGATGTACTTTTATTTTAGACGTGTCTTATTCTAAAAGGACACCGTAATAACAAAATGCTGTATCTGAGATTCCCGAAGGACAAGATAATTCATTAATTATGTAACTATTTAAAAAAAAGTTTTTATATGCCTTTTAAGTGTTCTTATGTGTAAAATTAAATGTATTCACATTTAATTTTACAAAAAAGGCATGCAACGCGCATGGTATTATATAAAAAAAATGCTTATTTATACATTTGACGACAAAAATGCTCATTGCACAGCCTTGAAAAAATGACAAATAAAAGAAGAAGTATCATAAAATTGATACGACTATTTCAAGATAGTGAATGTTTGTCGCATTTTCGCACATCACGCCTCTCTGTAAATTATTATTTTTATAACTAACTAGATTTGCGAATGGATTATCAAACAATCTTATTATTAGCTATTAGTACAACATTAAGTTACATAGTATAATCTGTGCAATTTGTATCGGATTGAACCTAAACTATTAAAACTGTATGATAATTTTCTATTAAAATTATTTTATTTTATAGTCTAAATAAAATGTTAAGAGAATTTAAAAATAAAACAGTACATTATTACAATCACAAAAACGTAAAACAGTATTCCTAGCGTAACGTCATTATTTTCGCATTAAATGTACCGATTACGTATTAATAAACACGACCGTGACCGTTCACAAGGTTCGTCACACGAACGACATGTGTTGTCGGATCAAAAAAATCGTATATAATAACTGTAATACGAAGTTGAAGCATAATAGACTTTATGTCTGCCTAATTAAGCAGTTTTCAAAATAGTATTTTTATAAACTCTTCGTATTTTTTGTTCCCCTTCCTTTACGTAATGCTCAGAATATATTATGCCTACAAATATATTAATCTACGAACTACAGAGTAAGCATTTATTTCATAATGATTCCGAACTATGATGCGTCAAAAAAAAATGGGAATTAACATGACTGGCAATTTTCTGGTCAACAATCTTTTGACAGCTACGATAAGTCGGGACCTTAGCTCTCACTGGCGTCATCTAGTGAGCACAAAAACAAACACCCACATTATTACAGATGATAAACAAAATTGCATGTAAACAGTCTACTTAAAATAATTGATTTGACTTTGTTGAGGTTTACGAACAAATGATATATTAGTACGTTTGTTTTTATCGTTCATGGCTGCTAATCGAACAATTAAACTAATTAACTAAAATCAAGAAATTAAATCCTACTAAAAAAACGATTTCCTAGTTCTATGGTTGTTTTTTATTTTTTACGCACACGTGCATTAGTCAAAAAAACTGTTGCGTAATATAGTCTGTGCGTATTAAAAAAAAACGTAATTTTATATCATAATCGTTTTTATTTGAAGGGCAATGATAAACCATGCACTCAATAAAGAACCTAATATAAAATATTTTAGCGTAGAATATCGCCAATCAACCTAAAAATTGGTACTGGAAACTACAGCACAACCTACTAGCAATATTTTAAATAATCAATTTAATACACACAAAAATGGAAAAAATATATAAAAAGAGCAGTTTTGCGTACACTTATTCTCAATTTTTTCAATGTTTGTACTAAGAATCTAGAACAGAAATTATCAATTTATAGTTTTCATATAACGTACAACCGGCTTGTTATGGTATTGACCGCGAAATGCGGACGGAAGGCACATTCGCAGGTCACGAATTGTAACCTTCTAACTGTTTTATAATAAATAAGGAATCTATCAAAGAAATTGCTACAGAAGCACAGCTGCACTGTAGAAGGAATACTTGAATAAAAAAAAATGAAATAAACTATGTTTTAAAAAAATGCTTCAAATATACAAAAAACATTCTATTTGTATACAGTACTTTACGTACTGGCTGGTTAGAAGTCTATGCCAAAAGGCCATAACCAAATCTGCTTCCTTTTTTGAAAATCGAATATACTAGATAGTCGTACAAATTAATTCTTACGTACCTAAATATAATAAAAACTTGTATGTCTTGCTAAGCCTAAAGGTTGGAGAAACAACTGTTAGACACTTGAATAAAAACCATAGTCTAGTGTCGGAAAATTAAATAATGAAGATCTATTATCTGTTACCATGAATAAAAAACACATAACAATATTTTAATAAATACAGATTGATAGAAAATTATGATTAACGACCTATACAATCAAGCGAATAAGAGAAAAAAATCCACAATCGAACATGTCGAAGGATTAATAAAAAGGTAACCTTGACTTGTTATTTAGAAACAATTATAAATATAGAAACTACGTAATATTATATAAGGTATTAGTAACAAACCTATTGGATAATATTTCTATGTAAAATATTGTTGATAAGGGGTTGCATAGAATATTTGCGTAATTTAACACAATATAACAAGGTCTTCGCGTTACAATAGGATATGTCGTCATATCAAATTGCTGTTCACACATGTAAGTTATTAAAGAGTTTTATCCAAAATTTTGTGTAGTGAAAAAACTTAGACTTTATCCAATAAAAGTGCTAGTGTCCATTACAATCGCGGAATTATTGAATTCGGTTATTTAAAAGTTTCTAAAATCTTGTTAATTTACTAAACTTTTCTGATCATAATATGTACTTTGCTATGTGTCAAGTCGGCAAACAAAAACACGGATTACCTGATGGTAAGCAATCGGCACCGCCTATGAACAACCGCAGCATCAAAGGAGTTACGAGTGCGTTGGCGGCCTTTTGGAGATTAGGGTTTCGGATATTTAGAGATTGGGGAGGGATGGGGGTAGGGTAAAGATTGGGCGCCCTGTAACCTCGCACTGTAAACACAACCCTGTGGTTGTTTTACGCCATTTATAAAAGGACCCTAAAAACGACGTCACAGTCTTTACTTCTGTTTGAAAGAGGATCCTAAAAACAATGATAGATTGGGCACCGCCGGAAATTTTACACGAAAATCTCAAACATCACATTAATATGACTAGTACCGCTATTTAGTTGTTTACACACTAATTTAATTAACAATTACACTAAAAGCTAGTAAAAAATGGCAACGTATCAACAACGATTATGTTATTTAAATTGAATAATAACTACATAATAGTCACCTACACTATTAAAATCATATTAAAACTTTTGTAACTTTTTGCTGCCACATCAATTAGCATACAATTACTTGTTTGTTTCTAACAATTCAGCAATATTTATAATATACAAGTACTCTTGAAAATAATTTTTTATTTAGATACTCCAGGAGGAAAACGAGCCTGCAAGACTAGGACGATTTTAACAGAAACATGCGAAGGCCCGGTACTGACCATTTTAAACGCCAAGTCACGCAAACGTTTATGTATTCTTTTGTTGAACGAGTATCGACAGCCTCGGCTATACTCCACACTATTTATCCTCTGACAATAAAATCTATGTCTTAATACGCTGTTACGAAAGTCTGAAATCATTCCACTACCGTATTTACATTACTCATTAACTTATGCGTCTGGGCTGATTCCACGTGATTATGAGAAACCTTTGTATCGTATCACGAAGAAAAGTCATCTTTTGTGAACATAAATATGTCGATCCGATCTAACCTTATCAATGTAATTTTTCAGATGAGGCATCAACATCGGGCATTGAACTTGGCGACGGCAACATGGGTGCTGTTCACACTGTTGCTTCCATCAGACACGCAGCTCATCAATCCTGTCACATCGTTCATGAACTTCCTAAATGAAGGCTCCAACCAACTTGATAATGAACCACCAGATCAAAACAAAATGCTGAGTGAATATGACTTCATTATTGTAGGGGCTGGTACAGCGGGATGCGTGTTAGCAAACCGTCTTAGTGAAATACCAGATTGGAAAGTCTTACTCATTGAAGCGGGTAACAACGAAAACTATGTAATGGACATCCCAATCGTAGCCAACTACCTTCAATTTACATCGGCTAACTGGGGTTATAAAACAATGCCATCTAAAAAGTACTGTGCAGGATTTGAGAACCAGCAGTGTAACTGGCCTCGAGGGAAGGTAGTCGGAGGCTCCAGTGTACTAAATTATATGATTTATACGCGAGGAGCCAAGCCTGACTACGACAGCTGGGCGGCGATGGGTAACGAAGGCTGGAGTTGGGACGAAGTACTCCCATATTTCAAGAAAATTGAAAACTTCAACATCCCATCTTTCGATGATCCAAAATATCACGGACGTAATGGACACCTCAATGTCGAATATGCTCCTTTCCGAACAACTAAAGGGAAAGCCTGGGTCAAAGCAGCTCAAGAAATGGGTTTCAAATACGGTGACTACAATGGAGCGGAACCTTCTGGTGTATCTTTCCTTCAACTATCAATGAAAAATGGAACTCGTCATAGCTCCAGCAGAGCTTATCTACACCCAGTCAATGGGAGAAACAATCTCCATGTGTCTAAGAGCAGCATGGTAACTAAGCTTATTTTTGATGAAACTAAGACTAGAGTTATCGGAGTCGAATTTGAAAAACAAAATGTGAAACATAAAATATTGGCCAAGAAAGAAGTTATAGTATCTGCTGGAGCTATTAATTCTCCTCAACTACTGATGCTGTCAGGTATCGGACCAAGGAATCATTTGGAATCGATGAGAATAAATGTTGTAAAAGATCTACCAGTCGGATATAATTTGATGGACCACATAGCTGCTGGTGGAGTTCAGTTCCTAGTTCGGCCGCAAAATCTGACGCTTTCTACAGAATACATATTAAATCATTTAGAACTAGTCTTCAAATGGATGAGATCACATAAGGGTCCACTGTCAATTCCAGGTGGTTGTGAAGCTCTTATATTCTTGGATTTAAAGGATAAATTCAACACAACAGGTTGGCCAGATATGGAACTGCTCTTCATTTCAGGTGGATTGAACTCAGATCCTCTATTACGCCGTAATTTCGGTTTCGATAACCAGATTTATGATGACACTTACGGTCCGTTAGGAAGGTCCGATGCCTTTATGGTGTTCCCGATGTTAATGCGACCGAAATCAAAAGGAAGAGTTATGCTAAGGAGCAAAAACCCTAAGGCACACCCAGCATTGATTCCAAACTATTTTGAGTATGCAGAGGATTTACAGAAAATTGTAGAAGGAATTAAAGTGGCTATACAAATAGCAAGACAACCGGCTTTGAAGAAACTTGGTGCCAAATTGTATGATGTGCCGATAGAGGAATGTTTACAACACGGGCCGTTCGGAAGCGATGCTTATTTCGCTTGCCAAGCACAAATGTTCACATTCACAATCTACCATCAAAGTGGCACTTGTAAAATGGGAGTAGAGAGTGATCCTTCTGCGGTGGTGAGTCCAAGACTGAAAGTGCATGGTATTGAGGGCCTTAGAGTAATAGACGCGAGTGTCATGCCAGAGATAGTGTCCAGTCATACAAACGCTCCTGTGTATATGATTTCCGAAAAGGGGGCAGACATGATAAAGCAGGATTATGGCAAATTGAGATAGAAACTAATTATAAACGGACGTTTACTTTTACAAAGCACATCTGTGATGTTATTATAGATAAATAAACTTAGCTTGTTCTTACAATGTTTGACAGAAACCTGTGTTATGAAAAGGGAAAGATAACAGTGACTATAAAAGTTTATTTATTAATTATTATATGATAAGGATATTTAAGTATATTAGTTAAGTTTTTTTTTGTCAGTAGGGTAATTGTAATTGGTCACATTGAAGAACAGTATTAATAACAGGAAGCAATAGAGAATAACCGCCATGTCAACAATAAAAAAAAGATAATGAACCTACAATATTATTACAATTTACCATTACCAAAATTTCGTTTTGGTTTTATAATTGTTTTTAAATGTAATGTGGCATTGTAATGTTCCACATAATTTTTAATTATTACACATTAATCCAAAAATATTGGATCAACTACCCTATTGACGACCAATAAATAATTTAAATACCTGTGTTATCAAATAGCTTGGACATTATAGAGCCTAATCAAGTGGCTAGAATAATCTATGATAAATTATTGTCATACACATTTAATTCCTTATACACATTTTTATCCGCTCGATTTGATTAAGAGGGTCTGTATTGTAGAAAAAAAATACTTAACATTATACTTCATTGAAATTAAAATTCTTTTCGAACCCAGTTTGCATGAAACTGGGTTACGTCGAAAACGTTTGATATTTAACTAGAAGACTAATGTACTATTTATTTAATACCCAATAAAACACATAAAGTACTGTAACGTTGTAAACCTTAGATTTGGGACCTACCTTAATTCAGTTGATATTCATTCCGTTTAGCATTCCAAATAACATAATTGGATGTAATTTTATTTGTGTAAATTCACAATAATGTTGTGTTTGTTGTTTTTGCAAAGTGTCAAACCTCACATCAAAGTGGTGACGTTACGCTTGTCGTGAAATGTCAACGTCAGTTGTCATTTCACAGATTATAGACTCACCCAATCAATAATAAAATCAATGTGCGGTAGATGAAATAATTTTGTCAATAATAGCGGGTAATCGTTTTAATTTTATTTATTAATGGATAATCGCCCGCGGACAGTTAGCCTTGAGGTCAGATAATTAAAAAGAAGTAGATATGTGTCTCTGCCTACTATACTTGTCTATGAAATTCAATTTTCTTATAAGGCGGGTTCGAGTAGAATCTTTCCCTTCTTCTGGAATCCTGATCGCCGACCTACAAACGTGTACTGTGTTGCATAATTTTCGCAGAAGCCAATTTTAGGCTTAATAATTTAAATTCAGTGTTTCCGTGGTTCCCTGCAAAGGGTAAGTGTTGTTGCACAGATTTATATTTAAATGTGTAAGTCGAGCGTAGTGACTGTAAAATCATGTATTCTTATTTGTAATTTGAATTGTGCCGTTAGTAACGGTTACATTTATATATCATGGGGTTTCTCGTTAAATCTATTTGTTAAATAAGTTATTTGTATCGTGTTCATGATAAAGAAACGAGTATAATTTTCAATTATTAAAACTTATAATTTTCGTGTGAGGGTATATTAATATAATTTTATTCTAGTTCTCGTTCTTATCATGACACGAATCCTGTATTAATTCGGGTTTAATTCCTGTTTATTATTATTATTGTTTTATCATTTTAACTTTCGACACTTGTAAAGGACCAACCGACCGTAGGGCCTTGTGATAGGATTTGGTCGGTGGTCACCAGGACATTCTTGGACAACGGTAGACTACACCCTACCTGTTTGGCGGTTTCAGGAACCACGGGCGGAGTTGAAAGGCTCTGTCGAATTTAAGAAACTTTGTACGGAGTTAAAAAACCCCGTCGAGCTCAGCAACCTTGTTCGGAGTTGAGAGCTCCCTTTGAGTGGCGACGTCGGAGATCGTCGTCCTCGTGCCATCGTGCTTCCCCCATTTGGAGGCGGAATAACACGACAGCGGTAACATCGCCTCGAGCGTGGGATAGACTGCAGTGGAATTTTTACCGGCACCTCCAACGAGGTCCCCTTAGTTAAGTGGCCACCACCAACACCGCCAACCACGTCTCGTTTCTACCCACAATTATTATTAGTGTAAACGCTCATCAGTGACAGTGCCACCAAGTAGGCGTAGGACCCACGCCTTGTTTTTTGTTGCATAGTTTTAACAATAAATTGATATTGTTTTAAAACATTTGTTGTTTAATTTCTAATTTTAGATTTTTATTTTTGCTCGGGTTTATCCCGTAGCAGTACTTATTTTATATTTTTAAATGCACAATGTATTTATTAGAAAATTATATTTAACGTCTTTGATTGGCGATAAGAGATTTTTAAAGGAGTACCTTGACCAAGCTTTAAGGACATCGCAAACCAGCCAGGGGTGTTTGACGAATTAATAAATAATGCACGGGTAACTGATGGAGGTGCAATTATGGTATGCTCGTACTAAGTAACGAGGTGATTTTTAGTCAGTAAGAGTCTGACACTCCCTTCCGCCCCATCTAGGGCGGGAAAACGCACTGGATGACGTTTCCTCAACAAAAAACAGACTTTGTTTAAATGAGAAGATTTTTAATCTAATATTTAGGTATAGACTATTTTCTATGGTTTGTACCTACCTACCTACCAAGTAAACCTCATGCTTCGATATATTTATATGGGATGATTTATTTACAGGAAGCAACCTATATTATGGCGTAAAATAGCGAGTGTATTCCGTATTATGCGGGAATAGCAAGTACAATACAATATTTTTAAGAAAGTATTTAATTACCATATGCGGGTAACCATTATTTTTAAATGAATTAAAGCCATTTAATTGTATTTATATAATAAAACAAAGCAATGTGTTGCTCTCTATTTAATATTAAATAAATATTTTTAATTTGTAAAACCTTTTGTTTTTCTTTTTAAGTTTGAATAAGGGCCGATCACAATATGTGTGAATAATGTTATTGGTTTATATTGCTAGTAACAAGAGCAGCTATGTACCATATAATTTATTTACATATAAGTTTACATATACCAAACATTTATCTCGAACTCACATGAAAATATTAAACGGGCACTCAATAAATTATATTTAATGCAGTAAGATGTTTATAAATATTATATTATTACTGAATTCATTAAAGAATTATTCAAAAATAAAAAGTGTTTTTTTTATATAGAAATCACTGATTAAACAGTTAAGGTATAAAACTAATAGAAATACACCTTTGACTGTTAATCCCCGAAAGATTGGCCAAAAATATATTTGGTAGCATAAACCACTAAAAAAAAAAATAGCCAGCGGTGAACATACACATACAATGAATCGCCCACTTTTCGCGTTTTTTTGTGGTAAAGGTCGGCAAACGAGCAGACGGAATACCTGATGGCAAGCAATTGGTCCCGTCCATGGTCACTCACAAAAAAAAAACATAAAAAATTATTACGTAATATTACGAAAAAAAAACAAATAATTATATATGACACACATTTCATAATGGAAGACTCCAAATAGAAAATTCCCGTACTATAGGTAATTTTTTAACACAAATGTCTTTTTAATTGGAGATTTACTTATGAATGAATTTACGTCACTTAATTCTTAATTATTTTTAAACAATTCACTGATGGCGACTATCGATTCTATTTAGTAGTCATTTAATAACAGTGATGTAAAGGCTTTTTTAAAGTTGTGTTAAATAAATCAATATTATAAAAAACTCTGGATAAAACAGTGATAATTCTTCCGATTTAGACATACTAAGTTCCCGTTTGGAGATGTTATAAATGGCAAGGTAGTTTTTTTTTTTTATATATATATAATCACACATTTGCTAAATTATTTAAACCTAATCACAGCTACAATTTATGTTTCCACGTGTTTTGTTCGTCAAAAATTACTAAGCATAAAAAATTGTAATCTTTTACATACCAGCTATAGAAATCAGTAATATTTTTTCCAATTACTAACCATTTTAGAGTTTAGTGTATGTACCTTAGTTTCAGAAATCAAACAATATATCGGATTTTTTATCGTTACAGATGCGTCATCGCCACAAAGCACCAGTTTTCTCAATATCTTGGATGTTGCTCACATTCTTACTACCAACCTACAGCAAGTACATCAGCCCTATATCATCTATTAGGAATTTTATGCAAGACGAAACAGACCAGTTTGAAAATGAACCGCCTGACGAAATTAACTTATTGCCTGCTTATGACTTCATTATAGTTGGTGCCGGCACAGCAGGTTGCGTGCTAGGTAACAGGTTAACAGAAATCCATGACTGGAAAGTGTTGCTAATCGAAGCTGGAACGAACGAGAACTACGTTATGGACATACCCATTCTAGCAGGATATCTACAATTCACATCGGTGAACTGGGGATATAAAACAATGCCTTCAAACAAGTACTGTGCAGGATTTGAGAATCAGCAGTGCAACTGGCCACGTGGTAAAGTAATGGGAGGTTCAAGTGTGCTAAATTACATGATCTACACTAGGGGCACCAGATCAGACTACGACGGTTGGGAAGCCATGGGCAATGAAGGCTGGGGATGGGACGATGTGCTGCCATACTTCAAGAAAATAGAAAATTATAACATACCATCCTTTGACAACTCAGAATATCATGGACACGATGGCTATGTTAATATTGAATATGCTCCCTTCCGCACAAGCAAGGGCAAAGCATGGGTCAAAGCGGCTCAAGAAATGGGATTTAAATACGTAGATCATAACGGAGCAGAGCCTTCAGGAGTGTCATTTCTTCAGTTATCGATGAAGGATGGTACTCGCCATAGTTCTAGCAGAGCTTATTTACATCCAATAAATGGAAGAAGTAATCTACATGTATCTAAAGGCAGTTTGGTTACTAAGCTAATATTCGATGAGAGTAAAAGTAAAGTGATAGGAGTGAAAATTCAAAAACACAATCGGAAATACAAAATACTTGCAAAGAAAGAAGTGTTATTATCAGCTGGGACTATTAACTCACCGCAATTACTTATGTTATCCGGTATCGGACCGAGAAGTCATTTGGAGGCAATGAAGATAAATGTTGTGAAAGATTTACCTGTCGGATATAATTTAATGGACCATATTGCTGCAGGTGGTGTTCAGTTTACAGTGCAAAAGCAAAATTCAAGTTTTTCTTCGGCATCGATATTAAACAATATAGACTTAGTCCTTGAGTGGATGTCATCGCACAAAGGCCCAGTATCTGTACCTGGAGGATGCGAAAGCCTTATCTTTATGAATTTAAGTGACAAGTTTAACTCTTCAGCTTGGCCAGATATGGAACTACTTTTCATAGCCGGTGGATTGAATTCAGATCCGCTATTACGCAAGAATTTCGGATTTGATGAACAAATATTTTCTGATACATACGGACCTCTAGGTGAATCAGATACATTTATGATATTTCCTATGCTATTGCGTCCTAAATCGAAGGGACGAATAATGCTTCAGAGCAAGAATCCTAAACAGCATCCAGCGTTAATTCCAAATTACTTTGACTATCCCGAAGATATGGCGAAAATCGTTGAAGGGATTAAAGTGGCAGTGGAAATATCAAAGCAGCCGGCTATGAGAAAAATCGGAGCTCAGGTATACGATGTGCCCATACAGGATTGTTTGAAATACGGGCCATTTGGTAGTGACGCTTACTTCGCATGCCAAGCACAAATGTTCACATTCACAATCTACCATCAGAGTGGCACTTGTAAAATGGGAGTAGAGAGTGATCCTTCTGCGGTGGTGAGTCCAAGACTGAAAGTGCATGGTGTTGAGGGCCTTAGAGTAATAGACGCGAGTGTCATGCCAGAGATAGTGTCCAGTCATACGAATGCACCGGTTTACATGATCGCTGAGAAAGGAGCTGATATGATCAAGGAAGATTGGGGCAAATTATGACAATAAAGTGTTATGTGAGACTTGAACGGTGTTAGGAATCTGTGATATTTTGGACACTCAAAGACTTTAAGTGTATTATTGTTATTTAATATAATAATAGAATAATTATTTATTTTGTGATTTTGATTTCTTTTGATTGTATTAAATTACCAATTCATATGGGATTAGAATTAGATAATAAAAAATGTGTAAAGATTAGCAGTGGATTTTATTAAACAACAGAGTTTTAGGTTTTATGTATTCGAGTGCTCCTGAGTGCCAACAATAAATAAAACCGCCTGTCAGAATACACTAGCAATATTACCAAAACGAAGTTATTGCTGTACGAATCCATAACGTGAGCCTCTCTATTTGGCGACATAAAAACTGTTCGAATCCTTGACAGAAATAAAACAGTATAAATGTAGAAGAACACTTTTAAAAGAGAAATAGTTTTTAATGTATTAAATAAGTACTATATTTTTTTTGTTAGATCGAGGTTTCAATCTTCCTAAATACTAATTCAAATGACTTCCTTTACTCTGGTAAAGCAAGAGAGAGAGTCAGACTCTTTCTGACTAAAAACTACCCCGTTCCTTCTCCTGTAAATGCAACCCCAAGAGAACATCAGCTCTATCGGGCCCCTGTGGTAGTCTTTTACCTAATCAATAAAGAGTATCTATGAAACATTCACTATAACGCCTAGCCATTTTAGTCGAGCAACAAAACATTTACACGTTACCTGTTGCTCCTATCATTTTTATCAAATAAAGCTTCGTCCATCGTGGTAGCCAATCTTCTAACAAGACTCAGGCTACTATGCAGGATATATATATGTGTGTAAGTGTGTGTGTAAGTACAGGTTGAAATTGATTCCTCACTCTGTAAATCTAACCTGGACTAACGGTTTTACTTGCTTTCCGAAGCACGAGGATTAAATCCCCCGAATTTCCAGACTCAGGGCTAACAATAGTCATTATAATTAGAAGAATTCATTACAATTTTAACAATAGAAATCGAATTATAGTGTAATTTGGAAGACACAGATATAGCTTAAAACCTTAGCCTTTTTGGTTTTCTTTATTTTTTATTCTGTTCTGGAAAAAAGAACACCTATTTATGTTTTTTGTTTACAGTATATTATAATTACTAATTTTTTTTTCATTCCAAAGTTTACAATAGTTCTATTCCATTACAGTTCACAAATCTAATCGTACAAAAGATTTTTCATTCATTACCTGATTCATTATTTATTGATTGCTGCTGTCTATCAAACCATTCAGCCTAGACAGAAATATTTGTTTAATATGTATTTGTTTACAAAAAGCTCCGGAAAACCCGGTAAATCATAGTACTCTACATAGCTAATATGACTAAAGCGGCCGACCTCTGAGCGACCTTTAGAATTAGTAAAACAAAAAATTGAATTAAAACTAATTCTCAATTAATCATTTGAGTCTATTCATTACCCGTCCTTCTACTACTATGCATTTCCACTCAGTAGCACATAATTATCATAAAATACTTATTATCGAAAACAAACAACCTCATTTGTAAGGTACCGTCAAAAGCACATAAAACTATCCGAAACTGTTAAAAAGCTTTAAATTAATTTCATCTTTAAAACAAAACAATAAAGTAGAAAATTATATGATACCTTTTACTAATACAGCTTGATAAGCATCTGTGTGATCTAATTTTAATAGTTGAATATTTTATGTAGTTATTTATATTTAAATAAGCGTAACGCTTGGTTTACTTCGGAGGTGAGCTTATTTGGCTGCAAATACTGTTAAATATTACATATATAATAGAGAACTGCCGTGGCTTTGCACGGATGCAATGCTGATACTAAATTTCTCCACTACTTAATGCATATTATACATAATATAAACCTTCCTCGTTAATCACTACATATATCTATTAGAAAAAACAGCACCAAAATTCGGTGTAGCCTTTACAATTAAGCATACATAGGGATATGGGGACAGAGAAAGTGACTTTATTTTTTACTGTTCTAGTTATTGTTGATAATTCAATGAGCTTGTCATAAGTAAAAAAATCGATAAAACAACATCACAGTGCCATGACTTATAAGCATTACAATCCGATTAGTTTTTTTCGAATTAGGAGCAAAACGTTGAACTTAAACCAAAAAGAGAAAGTAAAGTTTTTTTTGCTAAACTCGTTTACATAATCCTGCTGATCATTCTTCTGATGTTTATATGAAAATACCTGTAACAAAAAGAAAACATAATTACTAAACTCATCATATCCATTGTTAAGATTAAAATTACAAAAGCTGCGATTAAAATAGAGATATTTTTTCCGTGTACACATGAGCTTGGAGAGCAAGGAGTAGCGCTCCCTAGTATACGTGATGGGTAAACAAACAAACGTGAACATCATTTAATGAAGTCCAAAAGGCCTTTTTGAAAGGGTAAAATATTTCTATAACTTCTCTCGCCTTAAGTGACGAGAGGGAGCGTCAGACTTATAATTTATGGAATAGGAGGCAAACGAGCAGACGGATTGTTTGATGTTAAGTGATCGGCGCCGCCCATAGACACCTTCGGCACTAGAGGAGTTGTCACAGTCGCGTTGTTGGCTTTAAAGAGACTCAGACTCTTACTAACTAAAAACTAAACCGTTAGTGCTCCGAGCAGGGCCGTGGTACATCATTGGTAATTGGAGCAGTAGAAGGAACAAGATGGCCTTTATTCAGAGTGACCTTGACTGAAATTCGCCCAACAAACTCTATATCAAGTACATATTTAAGTTAAGTTTGTGGGGCACAACGTTGTGTTTCGCCGTGTGAGTGAGGTTACCGCAGACCCAATTCCTATCCATTCCCATCCTTAAATATCCGCAACCCTTATCACCAAAAGGCCGGCAACGCACTCGTGACACATTTCGAGTAGCGAGTGTCCATGGGCGACGCCGATTGCCTTCATCAGGTAATATATCAGCTCGTTTGCCGACTTATCCCATAAGAAAACATACAAGAATTTAATTGGACACAAATGATTACTCCTAAAACAAAAGGGCTGTTGGTAATGCTGCAGATAACTCTTCTTCTCAACTGTGAATCAACAGATTCTTCTAACGGCCCAAAACCCATTATTATGACTTACATACGCACGTATTGCTCCAATAACTTAACACAATGTCAAACAATCGACTTTAATCACACAAGTATGTGGTTTCTTATTGCAACATAATTATACCTATACATTACCTACGTACAAAGATCTCTGCAATTTCAAGGTTGTAATTTATTACACTTTCTATTTGCTATGCTACTGTTAAAAATATATCATAGCGAGACTAATGAGCAAGAAGTAAATGTTAACAGATACTTGTGTATAGAAGCTCTTTGCTCAGCAGTGACTACTTATAGGCTGTTGAAAATGACCCATGTAATGATAAGTCTACCTCAAGGATAGACTACTGATACATTTTTATAATACTCCAAATGCAGTCTCCATGTCCACCAAACTGTGGCATTCCGCATTTACTAATCCATCCTACGGTAACGTTAAATCAACAGTCGATCTTGTTACGTACAGACAAACAGACCACATCGTTAAGTACACGAAAACATATCAAGTAATATATGTAAGTTATTACGCGTTTATCGGATATCCATGTATGTGTAAGTACATTAATTTATTACTAAATTCATTAATTACTTTACATTATTCTTAAGTGTTATTTATTTCGTTTACATTTTGTGTGTACGTATAATTTATGGTGCCTGCTAAAATATTAAAAGCAATAAAACTCAGAAAATCTTATTGCTAATATTAAAATGCAATAATACTAGTATCGCTGTCACGTCTTGTAATAAGGACTTTATTTTACATTCTGATTTTTCTTGGCGCGTTAACTTTTTTTATGTATAGATTATCAATCTACTAAAACTGTACTATAGTAAGTCTAAGTCTAGTTGAATAGGAAGAACTTAGTGAGCTTTTCTGCAATAGGCGTTATTAAAAATTCGTAATAATTTAAAACATTTCAAAATCAATATACTTACAGCGATTACTTACTCTATGCTTAACTTACAAAATTGAGGTATAATTATGAAAAAGTGTTATAATCCTATTGTTATTGAATCTTTGACAAACATTCGTTTTACAATTTAAAAACTTGTTGTTAATTTTTGTTGTGAATGTAACTCAATCTAATCCGCATTAAAATACATAAATAAATAAATAAAATAAATGAACATTGACTTGAACAACAAAACTATTAATTAAAATTTATTTTTTGAAATTGAAATAATGCACAAATTGGATAGTTTTTTGGCTTGTTGATTATTGTTAAGACGAAGTTTTACATGAATGGAACATTCTATACAAGTTACCTACAACAACAACAACTGACAACTTTCGTTGTGACCCGTAGGTTAAAGGGGCCGCATGGTGCATGAGGGTTCGAAACCTTATTTTTCGATACTTTCTATGATTATTTCGACACCACTGACATACGGTGAAGGAAAACATCGTGAGGAAACCTGGGCTTATAATTTCTTATTATACGTTTGAAATCACCAATCTGCTTTGAGCAAGCGTGGTGCATCTTGTTTAACCCTCCTCTGTGTGAAAAGAGGCACTTATAGACTGACGATAGTGATGATGATGATGTATAGAAACGTAAATATTGACTTGACATAACTAAACTTTAACATAAATCGTTGAATGGCAGTGTCAAATTCGTACATAGATTCTATTCACTCAGAGAACCGAATACGTCTGCAGCACTTGCCTCATAGCACCAAGACCGGTTAGAATAGGACAAGATAACATATACAACCTCCTTTATGTGACATAATTGTCTGTATAGAAAGTAAGTAATAAAAAATATAACCTAAGTACGCTAGACCAATGTCACGAGACAGTCGAATTACAGCACGTAGGTGGGTAAATAAAACACCTCTCACCGTACTACAATAATGCAGTAATTACATATTATGATTAATCTAACTGTAGCTACGCAGTAAAACCTTCAATGCACACGTTAATTACATTGTACGAGCAGAAATCAAAGTCTAAATAAGTTCGCATAACACAAAAGAACTCAGGTAAAAAATGTCTACATTATAAACGTATTACATCTTTTGATTATAAATAGATTCAACGTTAATTTGCTATCAACAACGAAATTCGTCTTAAACCGTTATTTATAATATGGATTACTAGCTATTCTCGCGCGGTTTCAACCGCTGCTCGGCTCTATTTAAACGGAGCGTGATGTTTTATAGAATTTTGAAAATACGACCAGCGGTTCCAAAGTGTACCCCCTACATACAAACTTACATATTTTACCTCTTTATAGTATTAGTACAAATGGTACAGTACAGCAAGATCTTTATAAAAAAGCATGGGAGAGCCAAGCTTCGGCCCCAATTGGTCGGCTCAACCGAAATGAGTGAAACAACTACATTGTTGTGTTTCACCGCGTGACTGCGGTTACCCGGGGCCCAATTCTTTCCCTCCCTCAAGCCTCGGCCCTCCAAAACCCCCAATCTAAAAAAAACATCTCTGAAACCCTAATCTCCAAATAGGTGCCAACGCACTCAAAGCAAAGCTTCTCTGGTGATAAGGTTGTCCATGGGCGGCACCCCATGAAATCCCTAGAAAAGTACAAATAGGCACAAGACCGTCGTCAGATATCTGCGAAGAAGCGCTTGAAGCGAGGCCAGAAGCATCGGTTCAGTTTAAATATTTTCTATAGTTAGAAACACATGCGTGGCGTGGCACGTTGTCTAAATTATTAGGCCGATTAATGGGCCCATACACGCTTCAAGATTTGTACCTTTCATAAAATTCCAAATCCGAGATTTGCAAATTTTCTTTCGGAGAACCTATTCGACTCTCTTGAAGGTTCTCCAAAATTTAAATAAAACACGACTATCTACGCCAACCAAATGTGTTTCACGCCTCTCGCCGTTGCCAAAGGTGATCTCACTATCAATAGCTTAAGTGGTTATTGAATAGAATACAATAGAAAACAATTAATTGATATTGACATTGACATTGTTAAATAATGTCAAAGCTTTGCCACTGTTACCTACTAAACTAGACTTCTACTAAACTACCTACTAAAGCTAAATGGGACTAATCCCATTTAGCTTTCATCAGCAATCGGACAAGACCTTATTATTAGATTTTGCAATTATTACGCGTAGTCCAAGATGTTGCTACTAAAAATCTTATATAATAAATAACCGCTACAAGTAAGTTGTACTTACAATGAATTACTTACTTCCTCCGAGTGTAATGAACTTTTATTGCATATACCTGTCCAGAAAAACAAAACCAGTTATGATACTGCCAGAAAAAATCTTTTAGCGATGAAATATATTTCGAAGATTTCTTATCATAAACAGTTTACAATAAAAACTTTTTCGAAATTACATATTAATTATGAAGACATGATTGGTTGACCGTAAACACACATAATTTCACCATGGCTAAACAGGGCACGAATTGACAGGGTTAAGAGCTAAAACGATATTACCTACACTTTTACAGTACCTACCATCGGAGTTGATCAGTATTCAATTAATACCTGTTATTTTAATAAAAAAAAAAAATACTAATCGTCAAAAGTTTGACCGACCGACATGAATCAAGATTCCATGCTACCAGTAGGTACCAACTGCGAAGGAAACTGTCAACGAGACATTGCATATTTGTCGAGCATGACATTTATTTGGGCAGTGCAGCAGACTTGTTTTTAACCGAGTTCCTTCGAACGATTGTATGCGAATGAAGTTTGTTATATCGGTTATTAATAAATTATTCATTCAAAACATATTTGACACACGTATCATCATCATTGTCATCATCAGCATTTAGAGGACAACTGTTAGCCACATCATACGATTCTCAACCGTATTCTAATCACATAAGGGATGGTTCCAGCCAAATGTCAAAAAAAAAACTATAGCTACGCTTTACACCACACTTCTTCATCTTGCTAACCTTATTCATCCATTTTCATTTCAGAAATAACTAAACAATGTCACCCTTAGTACGGTCCATTTTAATATTCTCTGCCATCGTCAACCAGAATCTGATAATCTGTCAGAGTGATGTATCGATCATGCAGATCCCTATAATAAATTTGCTGATGCAATCCGCTGCTCCTAATTATACACCCAAGAATTCTGGTGACCTGTTCGATATATTAAGGGACAAGTATCCATTGCCTGATGGTAAGTATATTTTTTCTAATCTCTTTTATTCCATGATACAAACTTCTGGCTATGCTTCACGAAAATGATTGTTAATATACCAGGCACCATATGATGGCAAACTCTTCCAACAATATTCATATTGTACATCTTCTTTCGTATCAATTTTAGATCTAGCTAGACTATTAATATAGTCTTAAGATACCTAAGAAGTTGTTCATAATATATCGTAGTCAAACAAATATTTTATGCGCTGCTGTTTGTAATCCACCAAGGCCATTCTTCCATCTATTTAAGCGTATCACTTTTGATTGTGTAACGAGGTAACATTTCATTACAATATTAAAAATATCACGTTTCCAGGTCTAAAGTCGCCATTACCTGAATACGACTACATCATAGTTGGAGCTGGTTCTGCTGGATGTGTGCTAGCAGCCCGTCTCACTGAGGATCCTAACGTCAGCGTGCTTGTAATAGAAGCCGGTAAACCAGAGAACTACTTCACTGATGTACCGTCTTTAGCACCTTACTTTCAACTCACGGAGTATGCCTGGCCATATTTTATGGAACCACAGCCTGGTATATGTTTAGGTAAAGACCATATTTTTGATTTTGTTCGCCTTTTGTTGTGAGGACTCTAAAGTAAAGTAAAGTTCTGAATTAATTAAATGGAAACGCAAACAAGATATAATTAGCAAAAGCACACATCACTTCATGAACGCAAAAACTTTAAACTCTTCAATTAAGGGGATATAGAACTCCAAACATCTATTAGTAACATAATTCTAACTACAATTTCTCGCGTTACAGGTCTTATAAATAAAAAATGCTATTGGCCAAGAGGGCGGGCTGTAGGAGGCACTAGCGTCATCAACTACATGATCTACACCAGAGGCCGGCCTGAGGAATGGGACAGCATGGCGAATGCTGGGAATTATGGATGGTGATGATAAAAAACTTGTCCACAGCAAAATTGCACCACAGCAATTTTTTTGGGCAGAAAAGAGATGTTTGTTACTTCAGATGCAAAGTCCAGTTTTCTCCAGGTTCATACACATTGTATGCAATTTGTTAGTGAGAGATTACACAAATGACAAAAAAACTTTCTCATAATCTATTTTGAACCGAAACTACCATATAAAATCGCACCAAAGACTTATTTCTTAATCTGCACTCATGTTACCACTTGTCCATTGAAGCAGTTCCTAAAATGCATTACACACGCAAAAATATTCAAAATTTTGTAGAGCACCACAGTTTGTGGACCACGCCTCAATAAAATGCGGCTAACCTAACCTTATCTTACTAGGCATAAAACAAGTTTGTGTTAGAAGGAATGTTTCTTACATTCAAGCCAAAATTCATCTGGACCTGTACATATTATTACTTTAAAACTATGCACGCAAAACATGTGCTAATATTATTTATAGCGTAACTTTTAAATTATAAATGACCAATGGACTTTAGCAAGGATAAAAATATGTTTCAAAAGTATAATAATTTATATAATTTTGTCGTTTCAAACGACATTTAAACCAAGGCGAAGTTTAGTTGAGAAAAGACTTAACATTCTGTCTCAGAGATAAATAACACATTTATATGCTTGTTTCAAACAGTTACAAGTATAATACAATTATATAAAAGATCATCGCAAAATATGTTGGTAAGTTAAAGTTTACTATATCAATCAAACAAAAAAAGATTAGTAAAAACTAGATATTGTATAATAGAGAAATAAACATCCAAAAATTATGAAAGAAAACTAGAAACGTAGAGGGGTAAAAGCAAGTCGGAAAATAATTGAAAACACGCGCGAAGCGTGGGCGGGCTGCTAGTTAAAAAATTCAATTTTAATTCCTTTTTGTTTTCAGGTCCTACGCCGAAGTTCTGAAGTACTTCATGAAAACTGAAGATGCTCATTTAAAAGGTTATGAAAACTCCCCTTACCGCGGCGTTTCCGGTGAGATGAACATCGAATTCCCAAGCCTCAGGTAACTACGTGATTTTCATCATAGAACTACCTAATATGAAATAGCACAATAAATAATGTATAAGTACCATGTTTTACTACGACATAAACTTTTAAATATGAATGCGAAGATGCATAATCACTACTAATAATGTAAAATATAAATGATCTTTATCTACCGAATACTAATAAGCAATTTAAAAGAAAATGGCGTTAAATAAAACTGAGTATGTAATACTTATTTGCTTGTTGCGAATTTCGTGAGACATATTAATTAATTTAGTAATAGTAAAATGCATTTGTTCAATACTTTACATTATTTTACAATGATGTTTTACCAAATTTCAGATCCCCATTAATAGAAGCGTTCTTGGAAGCAGGGCGAATATTAGGATCTCCCACAATAGACTATAATTCTCCAGATCAACTCGGGTTTGGATACGTGCAAACAAATATCAAAGCTGGCAAGAGACAAAGTGCTGCCAAAATATTTCTACGACCAAACAAAAAACGAAGGAATTTACACATACTACACTCAACTACAGTGACCAAAGTTTTATTAGACGAACTTACACGAACAGCTTATGGAGTGGAATACGTAAGAAATCGATTACAAAATAAGGTAACAGCGCGACGAGAAGTTATCGTTTCAGCTGGACCCATAGCTTCGCCACAGTTACTAATGCTATCAGGAATAGGACCAGAAGAACATCTCAGAAGCCACGGAATAGCAGTTATAAAAAATTCACCAGTAGGTCGAACGCTTTATGATCACATAAGCTACCCGGGGTTGGTGTTCACTCTAAATACCACAAATATAGCTTTCAACGAAAACAAAGATGGTTCTATTGCGAATTTTCTAGAATGGATGCAGTTCGGTGACAATATAGTTGCAAGTCCAGGTGGAGTAGAAGGCCTTGGATACATTAAAATTATTGCTGATGGGCAAGATAGAATACCGGATATTGAATTAATTAGTCTTGGCGGTTCAATAGTGGCAGATGGAGGGCCTAAAGGAAGCAAAGCGGCAAGACGAGGAATGATGATTTCTCCAGAAATATTTGACAAAGCGTTTGGCGCAATAGACAATACAGAAACATGGAATGTGTTTCCCATGCTGCTTCATCCAAAATCTGTAGGTTATCTAGAATTAAAAGACAAAAATCCTTTTAGTCATCCTCGTATATATGGCAATTACTTAGCACATCCTCAAGATATAGTGACAATAATTGCTTCGATACGCTATGTACAAGCTTTGGCGGCGACGCCACCGTTCCAACGTTTTGGTGCGAGGTTACATAGGGCGGAGTTCTCGGCGTGCCAAGATATGCCTTATGACTCAGATGAATACTGGGAGTGTGCACTGCGAATTCTCACTATAACACTTCACCACCAAATTGCAACATGTCGAATGGGCCCAGTTTCTGACCCGCTGGCAGTTGTGGATCCAGAGTTACGAGTTCACGGTGTAAACCGGCTTCGTGTGGTCGACTCAAGTATTATTCCTCACACGATTTCGGCGCACACACATGCCCCGGCTGTCATGATTGGCGAGAAGGCTGCAGATATGATTAAGGCCACGTGGGGTGGTTAGAATGTAAGGTGAAAAAATCAGTACTAAGAATAAAAGGCATCCAAAAATATATGCCCCAATTAAATAAATGGATATCTATCTTGGTGTTTCTAATTTACATAAGCAGTAAGCAGGACAGGTCATTGCTAGACAGGTATTAATTTGACTAACAGTTCTAGGACAATAATTGATCACATAATAAACTTATAAAACTCTTAATTTAAAAACAAATCCAACAAAACTACACGGACCACTATTTTCTCTTTGGTTCTTTCTAGAAAAATGTGTTCTCGATAAAACTAGATGACACTTTCACAATTACTAACCACCTAAGAGAACTTGGTATGTGTGTTAAGCAGTTAAAATATGCCATGTTTCCTGTCCCTTGATCAAAATATTTTTATTTCTTTTCTTCCAATTATAAGAACATTATTATATCATTAGTAGCGTCGTGCAGATAAAACTGGCCCTTAAAAGTAACGGCTTTAAAATAATTTTCTGGATCCATTATTCGCAAAAACAAAAGTTTCACGACCTGTCGTACCTAAAATAATAAAAATAAACTCGTTTTTTGGCACATAAAATAGCCAAAAAGCTGCTCTTTTGCATCAGTTCGACGACCTTGTTTTTAAGTAAGTATTTCTAAATTTAGATATAAACCATCTTATACTTTTATTGTGTTTCGAATGCATGGTTAATCGCAAATACTTGAAGAAAGTACCAAGGAAGTCGAATTTTTGCTATCATAGCCTTAACTTCATACTGGAAATGTGTCCGATGTTGGCAATAAGACTTGCCTTTATGGGACTCCCTTAACCTTTTTCTTTGCGAGGAAAAAATCACCAAAGGACTTCTCTCGTATAGGATTGGGCGACAGGAAGATTCAGGCTTTTACTGACTAAAAACCCGGCGGAGGTGTTTCCTTCTCCTGCTCTAGGCTCAGACCGCAGTGCCTTATTGCGTTTACCCCGCAATCCCGGCTGAAAATCAGCCCTAGTAGGGCCTCGTCTGTCGGGAACACAAGTACCTACACAACGCGCCGTACGCGCGGGTCTGGTTCTGCTCGGGCGGCGAGCTACCCTTGCTCCTGGATATAACCTACATGTCACGTTTTAACACTTTCAACGCCATGGGAGACACCGGTGACCGACAGAATTCGTGGGAGATTTGCCTTGAACAGTTTTCTGTTTGAAGTCAGTGTCTTAATAATTGTATGTGACCATAAAAATATCATGGTATATTGTTATAATGCCATTTGCATGTTTTGCATCTTAGAGTAAACTTTCAGTAGGCTTTTAGTGTGAGATTGTTTATATTAATTATGATAAGTACCTAAATTAACTAAAGGCCTTCTATTGTCAGTAGACAGTTCTTTTAACATGACTTTGTATAACAATGCTTAATTATATAATCAGATTCAATGCAATTTTGGTTTCCTTTGACATGAGGCGTATTTGTTTTTTTTTACAAAGTTTTTAGTTTAATATTACTAAAATCCACTTTTGAATGAAAATGGAAACGTAGATTAAATCGAATACACGGGGTTATTTATATTGAAGTTGCAAATTGGTCAAATTGTTGTTTATTTTCTTTGGACATTGAATACGCAACTTCCAAATTTCACAAATACATCTTAATCCGTCGCGCGTCGTGTTCCAAGTATTATACCGTAAAATTATTTTATTCACCAGTAAACTTATATATTTTACTGTAGATGCAAGGTGAATTCTGTTCATGGTCTGCCTAAATACCAATTTCAGCAATGCTATTGTGTTGAAGAGTAAAAAAGTTTATGTAGAATTATTTACGTGTTATTGGGATATTTGTAACGGTATAAATGATATTAAAGTAAATTTCCAGTACCATCCAAAAGGTGAACATCATATCTATAGCAATCACCTGATGACCAGAAAAATCTGAGAACGAATCTAACCGAGCCACATTGGTAGTCGCTCCATTTTAGTGTCGGGGAGTCCTGCTTCGATGATGGCCGTCTCAAATAGAGTGATACCACGGCCTCACAGAATACCGGCGTGAAACAATGCTTGCATTGTACTTTCATGTGAGGTTATCGGATATCCAGTCTCTCTTCCCCAATCCCCAATACTCAAAACCCTAACTCAAAAAGGGCAGCAATGCACTTTTAACTCATTTGGTGTGGATTGTTTTCCACCAGGTGACCTTTCTGCTTGTTTAATGTCAAATACCAGAAAAAAGTAATAGACTCACACTCATACAATCGTCACTCACTGTCTACTGAATCTGGTGAAGATCCACTGTAAACTAGTTATGAAAAGGCTTAGATATAGATAATAAATTACGTATCAATCTAATAATTCAAAGGGACAAAAAACTATCAAATAAAAAATATAACAAGTATCAATTTGGACTAGTAGCGGTAGTACAAAACGCCGCCTCCTTTAACGGTCCCTATAGCTACTTATAATATTTTCACGCGCCGCACATCCATACTCGGAGCCAAGACTCGTACAGTCGACACAAGCACAGTCTCTCAACATCTCGACCAGTAAGCTGGCATTTGTTTTTGCACGAGCAATGTACAAATAAATTGGCGGCAAAAATGTTACAAAAAATATATTTTCTATTGGCATACTTTTTATTATTCGGAAGTGCTCACAGTGACGATGACGAAGCTTTTGTGGAGACGGTGCAAGCTGAGGAGTCCAGGGATTACGTGTATCGGGATGAAGTTCCCCTAAATCATGTAGACAGAAATGGGAGGTTATTATATTCATATCCACAGAACCCAATAATCAATATCGTGATGCAAACAGCTGCTCCTAATTACGTGCCTAAAAATCCCAACGACTTTTTTGATTTTCTGCGGGATTCGTATCCTCTGCCTGGAGGTGAGTTGATTTACTTTTTTAATAAGACGCCCTACAAATTTCTGGTCATACCTTGGTTAACATTTCTTTTATATTATATATGTATGTGAGCTGTCTTCTTATATACCTTTTCCTAAAAAAATATTATATTTTAACTGTTGTATACACTTTATTTTACTGGATCTGGGTGTGATTTGTAAAATGAAAAATATAGGCCATATTTTTTTTTCAAATGTAAACAAAATAATATTTATCTCAAGTGACTGATCAAGGGCAAATTATAAGTCAGTAGGCACCTGTCTCACTTAGCTTAACTAATTGACTTATAATTATTATAAGTTAATTAACCTAAGACCTATATTTGTTGTGATATTACCTTGTTTCTACACATCTTTTAAACAATGTAAGCTTTATCTTTAATAGTATTTATAAAAACGAACACGTATTTTCAAATTGCAATTTTAACGCTATTAAGACATACAATTTATACATACATAGGTACGTACATAAACAAATTTTATAAACTGTACAGATACCTACGTTTTAAGCGAATTATCATTGTTCATTTTCATTTTTTGGAAAAATATGATGTAAAATGTATGACTTCAATTTATAAATTTGTCATTAATTTAATAACAATAACTTCATTTATATTCAAATGTAATATATAGATATGTATTTTTTTATTTTAATTATATTCTGTACAACTATATTTGTATGCCTAAAAGGCCAAATATTACGGACCTATATAACCCTATTGGTCTTCCTGCATGTTACGTCAGTAAACCCATGTTTTCGACAATCAAATTTCTTGTACCTTGTATAGATAAAACAAAAACAAGAGAAAAAAAAGGTAGTAACATGTAGGTATGCCATAAAATTAAAATTAAAAAAATCAATACATGATAATATACATTCATTGATTACAAAATATCATTGGTAATAAATACTAATAATTAATTTATATTTTCTATGTATATATGTATGAGTAATAAATTAAAATATTCAAAATCGATCGATATATTTAGCGTGCTATTTATAGACTAACATTTATTTTTAATTCCACGTTGTAATTTTCGACAGCAAACGATCCAATAATTATGCACTGACATTTGAATTTATTAATTGATCTTAACATGTTACAAAAAAGAACTGGTCATACTAGTCTAGGGTTGCCAGATAGTAAATTATGTAATCCAGGACAATAAGCGCTAATTACTGGACACGCGACAAGATGTTAAATTCCTGGACAATCTCGGATTTCCCGACGATCTTGGAAGCCTATTCGGGTCGATTCATCTGTCTGTGTAAAACACGTTAAATTCACAAGCTACCGGATCGATACATGTAGGATTTTTTTATATTTAATTATGGTTTCCACGGCCGTAATCTATATCTATGCTAATATTATAAAGAGGTATAATTTGTAAGTTTGTATGTAGGGGGTAGGTAGTCTTTGGTACCACTGTTCGGATTGCCAAAATTCTTTCACTGATATATAGCTACAATGTTCCTGAGTGCTCTAGGCTATAAAACATCACTCTACGATCAAATGGAGCTGAGGAGCGGGTTAAACCGCGCGAGTGTAGCTAGTTTATTTATTCATAGGTATACATATAAATCTTAAAAGAATTACCAAATCCATATAAACAATATATTATAGGTTACGAAATATAATGGTCATAAGCTCATCTCAAAGGAAGACTCACAGAAAAAGCTGTCGGCATTAATCCCTCCGATACGCAACTGTCTTTCATAATACTTAAGAAAAATAAAAAAAAAACTATTTACATATTAATTTATTATTAATTACATATTAGCAATTACTGATTACATTTGCTATTATTGTTTGCAATTGAAACCCAGTTACGTAGATTTTCCTACCCCGAAGCCCTTTACACAATATTTTATCGAAATCGTTAAATCCGTTTCCGAGATCCTGTTTATAAATATGTACTTACAAAAATAGCTTTTGTAAGCTATTTTAAACCTTAATTACGAAATCATCGTATCAAACTGGATTTGTTTTTGTCGTGTTAGCATTTTAAAACTATTTTTATGTAATTAACAAACTCACATCCAGACTAAAAAGTAATCTATGCTTAATATTATAAAGCTGTAGATTGTTTGTTTGTTTGAACACGGAACTATTGGTTCGAATTGAATTATTTTTGTGTTTGTTAGTACATTAATTGAGAAAAGGGTTTATATAGGCAATAAAACATCACGCTAGGATCTATAGGGGCCAAGCTGTGTGTTTAAGACCCGCTGTAACATTATGATTTATACAGGTTGTCACAAAAATCAACATCAAACCAATAAATGAAAATTTAATTGATTGTTTTGGTGTACACTACCCCGTTAGGGTGCAGCAAATTACGTAACTGATTTTTTGTGAGAACCGTACGGCAGTTTAACGTAAAATCATTGTTTCCTTTTTGGAGAGGAAAATGACTTCTGCCGCCTTGCGTGGGGCTACAAGAAGTGTGAGGCTCTTATTGACTTAAAAACTACCCCGTTCCTTCTCCTGGTAGGCCGGGGCAGTTCTACATTATCGCTCGCACTCGCAAGCACGTGCCGTTTATACGTTAGCTCCCACTGTTAAAGAAATAAATCGAAATCAGTGGAAACGTGATATTTGCTGTTAATTTGTACGTGCATAACTTCCAAATTGCTACACCAAATTGGATAAATCATTTTAAGTTTTATTGCGTTATACAGGCCAAGGTATTTAAGACAAAATCTACAAATTCTCGTGCAAAATACTGTGGTATCAAAAGATTTCAAGTCACGTCGAAATTAATAGAGATAAAATACATGTTTAAAAAATTTAGTATTCTAGATCCAGTTCCATTTTCCAGATTAACTATTAATATTTATTACCTAAGCAATCTGCCGCAGCAAATTAATATATTTATACTGAGAAGGCCCATATAAAAAAAGCTATAAGAATTTTATTTTTATACGTTACACATGTAAAAAATAAACGCTACAAAGTTTTATAAAAAAACTAACATAAATCTTTTTTTAATGTTTACTGCAGCCAAAAAAATATCAACTTGTTTCTTGAATTTATTTACAAATTAATATTTTTACAGCGTTTTTAACGCACGGCTTTGATAACATTATCTAAAATATATCAGATTCTAACATACAATATTTAGTTGGGCTATTTCTCTTCTAAACGTAAATGCACACCAAAATAATCTTAATTATCGATTTAATACAAATAAATATAATAAAATGTTTTTAAAGCTAACATTTTATGTTTACACTAAGTGTTTTTGTTACATTGTGAAGAACTATATACTTATATTAAGATCATACTCTGTAACCACAATAAGTTCAATAAAGATTTATTATAATCTTCTCAAGATTGGGTAATCCTTCTATCGTAGTGTACGGTCAAGACTAGAAAGAAAGAACGAAATGTATGCAAACATTGACCTCTAAACTGGCAATATTTCTGAACCAATACGAACATTCAAACTTTCAAGAACAGAGAATGCTTCTTCTTAGAAGGCTGCCAATGCACTTGTCACTACTCTAGCGATGATCGAAACAAACAATAAAACAATGAATGTATTCAAAATATTTAAGAAAACTAGACAAAGCTTTTAATTTCTTATCTGATTGCGAACCATCATATTGTAGTCACGGCGGACGTTAGCCTCCAAATCCATAAAAAAATACGGTCATTTAATTTTAAATTAACGTAACTACATTGCATTTAATATGTACGTTATTTTTTAACTTTGGAATGAGCCAGTAGCTTCACTAGAGGGCAGACCGACCGAATGACATTTGTTTGTCGAGTAAAACTGCATTTAATTGTTTAATTGAAATAAATGGTTTACTTTGACTTCGACTTGTGGTTCTTTTACATTATTGATAAATGTTGTGATCAAAGAAAAATATATTATTACAAGTAATAGTTGAGTTTTTCAACAGACGCATTGCAACGCTATAATAATTTATGGCCACTAATTAATACTGAAACAGTAAACAAACAAACAGTCTAACAAAAATTGTGACATTGGATATTGTACAAAACTGTCACTATAAAATACTTATTATGCTAAAATAGATAGTCAATGTATTCTTTGTATAATTGCGAATACTAGAGAAATTCGGTCCCAAATAACAATTTTTCAAGTGACATCGATCGATTAAAAACCTCGATTCAAAGGAGTTTAAATCGATTTAGAAAAAAAACTTGTTTGATAAAAATATATCGGTTAGTGTGTTACTAAAAACTTTCTCTGATTAAAAAAAATAAAAATTTTGAGGGTCATGACCACAACAGGACTAAAAAATCGAATCACAAATCTGTTTACTATTTATTCAAATGAGATCTCTCGAAAATATGTTAATGTGTAGTATATGTTGCTTACATATATTAAGTTTAGAATATTCTGCCTTTTTTTTCATCTATAATTACAGTAACATTCTATCTTATAAAAATAGCACCTTTTTTTTTCGATGAAACAAAAAGCTAATTGCAAAAACTCCCATTCTCAGTAAAAAAGCATACATACAGTTACCGTTTCAACTGAACTATATAATAATAATAATTACTTATTACAAACTTAAGGTCAACGACATCGTAATCGACATTCAATTGATGAAGTTTACAAAAAATATCTACTCATTTAAAAAAATCCAGTTATTCGATTATGAACTTCATTTCTACATCATAATAATGTTTGTAGGTAGGTATATTAATAAGGTATCGTTACATTTGTAAAGGCAAAAAAAAACTAAATTTAGAGAGGACTGACAGTCACATAAATGCGTTCAGGAAAGAATTCGTTAATACCGGTCGTAGCATATACTGCAAACAGGACAAACAAGTTTTTTGTAACATACAAGTGCATGTACAAATATGCAAGTGTATGTGCTACGTCAGAGTAGGAACATTATCTCTGTTCCTCTTGCGTAACAAATAGGACATGATCTAATTTTGCATGCTTAGTCTTTGTGCTCATGGGCAAAAAAGGTTATTCAACTATGTAGATTCACTAACAGACTGGACGAAAAGCTTTTAATAGTGCCTGTTCAAAGAGTTATTGATATAATTGCTTTGATTTTGACTGTGGTCTTATTCTCATCTGCTTGAAGATTACCAAGTCAGACACATCAGACATTTTCCTCATTATCATCTGCTTGGAGGTCAGACTCAGACATTTTTCCGAAGGCATTTTTTTATTGTTATTAAAATTTTGTTCATATTTGGCATAGATCACATAAACAAATAGGACAATAACAATGGATAAGTGTCCCAACACTTATGCCTATAGGGATACTCTTTGAAAACTATTCGCAGAAACTTAATAACCGGTCTCATTCGCTAACATTTCGAACAAGACCTTCTTTTACATTGGCGAAAACTTAGAATGATCACTAGTAGCATATTAACATTTATCGGCGTTATTTTTCAGGTGCCAAAAGCCCATACGACGAATACGACTACATCATAGTTGGCGCCGGATCAGCTGGTTCAGTACTTGCTTCGAGACTCACAGAAGATAAGAATGTCACAGTGTTGTTACTGGAAGCTGGTAAACCGGAGATGCTGCTCACAGATATGCCAGCCTTGGCGCCATACTTCCAATCTACTGATTACACGTGGCAGTATTACATGGAATATCAACCAGGCGTATGCACCGGTACGTTGAACTCGTCTTATGTATCTCCTCGTACCTCGTCTGATTCTTAATAAATCTAAGTGTAATCAAAAAATGTTCCATCGCAAACAACAAAGATCCTAATATAAACATGAGGTCGAACAATGCCAAATATTTTTTATCGATCTTATATTCCAGGCATGATTAACGGCCGCTGTTTTTGGCCACGAGGCAAGGCTGTCGGCGGGACGAGTGTTGTAAACTACATGATATACACTCGAGGCAGACCAATAGAATGGAATCGTATCGCTGCTGCGGGCAATTATGGCTGGTATTTATCAATTATCTTATCCTAATACAGAACAACACGTGCAACTAACAAAGGGAAGTCTCTTGAAGAACACACATCGCATGTCGCATGAACAAGTTAATACAAACTTAACCATTTTTCATATAACACAAATCGTGAAGTTAATGTATGCTTTGTATTACCATATATGTGCTAATCTATTTCTAACAACTCCTAACAAACAGGTCATTAATATTAATCGATACTATGTTATTATGCCAGACGGACCTTTTGATACTTGCATAAGAAAATACTAATGATGAGATGAGTAATATCATGTGAATTAGAATAGAATGTATCATTTTGACTGCGCATAAGCCGAGCCTTGTCCTTGATTAACCTTAAGAGACATTATTTATATGAGAAAACCTTTAATAACATAAGAAAAGTATTTTCTATTTTGGACTTAATGTTCGATTATCCATCATATATCTATTTAAAATCTATCGAGAAATATGTAGCAATTACTCATTTATGAGCGAACACGAAACCTTTCAATTAAGATTGTACGTTTAATCCTTATGTATTACAATAACTATCGACAATGTCCTTAAAATGCCTGCAACCAATTAACCCTGTTTTAGGATTTAAGCGCTGTACTTAAGATTACGATTTTGAACGTGGGTTATTGACTGAATGTTCTATACATTTTGGATTCGTCTAAAGCCTTCTACAAGTTTACTATCAAGTTACTTATTTACGTCGTGCTACTCTATAAATAGTAGGCGCTAGAAACATAAAAATATAGCTTTTTTATTAACTTTTGTTTTTCAGGTCGTATAACGACGTGCTATATTATTACATGAAGTCTGAAAGAGCATCATTAGACGGATTAGAGAAAAGTCCTTTTAGAAGTCGGGATGGAGTAGTTCCTGTGGAACACGTGCCAAAAAAGTAAGTATACTGATAAATATTTTTCTTATTAGTAATAATTCGATAGTTATAAAATTACATAGTGCATACAAGGATAATTGCCGGCTGATGTCCCATCAAGTTGGCTACCCATCCGGGATCCCATGATCCCGTGAAAGGAACAAATAACAAAATTATAATTATAATTTTTATATTTGTTTCAGGACCAAATTAATTAAATCTTTTCTAGAAGCTGGCAGAATTCTTGGACATCCTACTATAGACTACAATTCGCCACATGAATTAGGTTTCGGATATGTACAAACCACAACAAGTTTTGGTCACAGATTTAGTGCTGCTAAATCATTTTTACACAAACAAAAGAAGAGACGTAATTTACATATACTACCTCAGACCACCGCGACAAAAATATTAATTGACCCGCAAACACTGACAGCTTATGGTGTGGAATACGTTAGGAACAGGATAAAGTCTACAGTCAGAGCTCGAAAAGAAGTTATTCTCTCGGCAGGACCCATTGCATCACCTCAACTTCTTATGTTATCTGGCATTGGGCCACAGAATCATTTAAGATCAAAAGGCATTCCCGTATTAAAAGACTTACCAGTCGGACAAACCCTTTATGATCACATTTGTTTCCCAGGATTAATATTTGAGTTGAATACGACAGGTGTGAGTCTCAGTGAAGCCAGAGCATTAAATGTTCGGGAAGTAGTGACATGGCTCAGACACGGAGAATCTGCTATATCATCGCCAGGTGGAGTGGAGGGTATTGGATATATTAAAACTCCGGTTTCAGATGATCCTGATCCCATTCCTGATATAGAACTTATAAGTATAGGTGGGTCATTAACTTCAGATGGAGGTATAGGAAGTAAGGCGGTTAGAAGGGGTATGCGCATAAGAGAAGAGGTGTTTGATAGAGCCTTCGGTGAACTAGAAAAATTCGATCGAGACACATGGAGTGCTTTCCCTATGTTGCTACATCCAAAATCAGTAGGTCGTGTAGAACTGAAGGATAGTAATCCATTTAGCCATCCTCTAATGTACGGTAACTACTTGACTGATCCTAAAGACGTTGCCACATTTATTGCATCATTCCGTCATATACAAGCTCTGGCTAACACACCACCATTCCAGCGTTACGGAGCTAAATTACACAGAGCGGAATATCCAGAATGCCGTTCGCAAATTTTCGATTCTGATGAGTACTGGGAGTGTGCATTGCGTTCACTAACAGCGACACTTCATCACCAGATAGCAACGTGTCGCATGGGTCCTGTCGGAGATCCTCTAGCTGTCGTGGACCCTGAGTTACGCGTCCACGGTGTAAACAGGTTACGGGTAGTTGATTCTAGTATATTACCAAGGACAGTATCCGCACATACACACGCTCCCGCTATGATGATCGGAGAAAAAGCAGCAGACATGATAAAATGGACATGGAATGTATTAAATGTAGGCCAGGCATATTAAATCAAATTATTAAGAACAAATTAGTCAATAATATTAGTAAGAACAAATTAGTTAAACTAGGTTTAAGACAACTTTAAAATAATAAATGACTGATAAATATTTTTTGTTTTTATTAGATACAACTACTACTTTTCTAAAGTAAAGAGTTAGCGAGAGGAACTGGAGGAGGAGGCGGAGCGCGTGAGGGAACTATCCTCCTCCCTCACGCCCGACCCTGGGCGGGAGAAGTAATTGGATGATTTTCCCCTGACAAAAAAAAAGAGAGTAAAGAGTTGGGGCCGATCACTAGCTACGTGCTATTACTCATAAATCGAATAATTGAACAAAACAAACATATATTGTGTAACGTTCAAGTAGTCAATGTTCCGGTTGTGAAGACTGTGTCTACATTATTTGAGAAGGCACAGAAAAAAAATGTAGTGAGGTGTATTATTTGCTGAATAAACATGACTCAGTACAACATTTTTATCCAAAAAAGGGTAAGGCAGAGGTGTGTATTACAATTTACAATGTAACACCACCATTCATGAATTATGTTACTTTCCTAAGTAATTAAATAGAGATGCACCTGTTGATATACTTTTTCTTCTAAGTCTTAAGCTCTTGTCAGCGCATTCATAAATATATTCTTTATAAGTGACCAAATGTTAATTTCTTACAATCTATCTTTTTATATGTGAAAGGACGGCAAACGAGCAGATGGATTACCTGATGGTAAGCAACCAGCGCCGCCTATGGACACCCGCAACATAGAAGGTGTTACGAGTTCATTGCTGACTTTTTGCGGATTAGGGATTTGGAGATTTTGGGATTGGGGAGGGGAAGGTTTGGGCCTCCGGTAATTTCACTTACACGGCGAAACACATCGCTGTGGTTGTTTCACGCCGGTTTTCTTTGAGACCGGGGTGACACCCCGGTCGAGCCGACCCTAGTTCGCGCCGAAAAATGGCTGTCTGTCTCCACGCAGCAGGATGTTTGGCAGAATGAAAACAGTTATTAATATGGGTCTGGGTTACATTCATTATATTAAAAAAAATTATGATTAACTTCGTGGCCCGTTGGTTAGGAACCTCGCTTCTTATACATGATGGCGCTGGTTCAAAAGGTAGCAAGTTCCAATGTGACTTTTCCGTATCATCTAAGTTTATTTAGACACCACTGATAAACAGTCAAGGAAAATATCGTGAGAGAACTTTAAGCACATCGTGAGGTTTGAAATCGTTCCTTGAACAAACGTGGCGATTAATGCTCAAACTCTCTCAGAGTGAGAAGATTTTGCTCAACAGTGAGTACTTATAATCTAAAGATCAAGATCGTGGCCCAAAAAATATCATTTGAACAAGGAATTGTACTTTCAACCAACAACTACCTACCTCAGTCGATAAGTTTAGTTCCTAAGAATAAATCACAGTCCATAAAGAAAAGAAATTAGAAAAAGAAAACAAAATGATATTCTAAGATAATGATTATCATCAGAAAGATATTAATGACTGTGTCGTTGTTTGAGTGGCCACAGGTAAGAGCAAAGGTTTTCAGGTTCCTGGGTCGAACAAATTGTTTTTGGTTTTTTTTTCTTCGAAAATTTACACAGTAGTAGCCCATAATTTGGTTTATGCCCGCATCGTCCCTGTGACTTCTGTGGCGCAGGTGTCCATGGATGGCGCAGATCACTTACAATCATATCTATGGGCTCTTTTGCCTCCTATTCAATAAAAAATGACCGATATATCGCAATAAGCCCACCTTAATGAGATCCAAATATAACTGGTTAAAAGTTATTCAGTATTTGCCACAATGACGGTAATTATTATTCTTTTTTTTCGTATAAATATGGCCCTATACTATATGAATTCCTCCTATGTTATGGATGCGTTAACAAAATATGTGAATCACTTTGAGTTTTTCCTTGAGGGTACAGAACCCGCGATACAATACACGGCAGCCGGTTGCTCAGCAAACGCGTTAACGTGCAGTCGTTATAAAATATAAAAAATATATAATTATAAATATTGTGGTTTATTTAAGGACTGTACATCTTCAAAATTAGTCTTTAGTCTCAAAAAATAATTTAAATTAAAAAAATATAAAGTAAAAAGCTACAGAAAGAAGAAAAAACCGAAATAAAAACAAAATAAGTTGGCAACAATGTTTGTTACATATTTTAGCAGCGGGTTCTTATTTTTTAATATCTTTTTCTTTTTAAATCGTTAAAATTTCTGTTCTTATAAAGAGGTTGCCGACGAAAAAGTCAGATAATCAAGGGTCGGTGAACTCTGGGCCTGCATTCAACTAAATCAACGTGAGTGCATACAAACAGGTACAAAACAACGATTTTGAACTTGCCTAAACCCGTTTTGAAAGCAGACCTTAAAAAAATCAAAACCTAACTTTGTCTCGGCCCTACCTTTGTCAGAGTCCTGAATGTTTTAAAGCAATGCAAATAAAGTCATTTTAGCGCCAATTAGGCAGACCATGTAGTTGGTTTCCTTCAAAAATACTTACTTTATTACCCACCATTGAAACCGAAAGACCCCTTTTCTTATCTACCGAACATTTACGAGTAAACAAGTGAAGGTTTAATTGCAATTCGGATCTGCCGTTTGCAAATAAAAATAGCTTAATAAAAAATAAAGAAAAACTAAACAAAATAATCCGATAGATATTAATGTCTAAGCCTCATATATTAATCGCCAAAAAATTTAGGTGACGGAAGACCGTTACAATAAACTTTTTCTTTCTCTAACATGTTACTTTAGACCTAATTCAAGTTCATAGTGCCCATTTCCCGTATAAAAATACTAATAAAATTAAATAATAGCATTTACTGTTAAACCGGTTAATGCAAACAACTAAATCGCAAGCCATGCTCAGAATGATCTTGATCACGGCCAAGAACAGTGTTATTTCGAAATATCGCCTATATTTACAAAATGAAAAATAACATTTTATTTTTAATATTTTTTTATTTATTACAATTGTCGAGTTCTGATTATAATTATGAAGAGTATGTGACTATTGAAGAAGAAGAGTATGCGGTGCCAAGGGAGTGCAGGGGTTACTGTGAAGAAATTGGGTTTAGAGAAAAAAGGTCAGGACCTCAAGTCAAGAGCCATGTGTTAGAAGCAATGATGAGCACAAAGGTTTTACCTTTGAAAAAGGATGAACCCGATATATTTTCCTTTTTAAGAGACCCGTATGAACTACCCAAAGGTGCGTACTTAATTTTTAACGTATTTATTTATAATTGTAATTTTTTTTGTGTCTTTAAGCCCAAAATTCGCTGGGAACAGGAAACGTTACATACAAAATGTACTTAATAATTATTTAGAAAATGTTAATTCTGTAGGTTTTTTCATATTATCAACACATTTGACCGGTTTTATTGTATTCTTAAAACCAAGACCAAATGTAACTAGTGTGGCAACTTTTTAAATATTTTTATTTAGGTACAACCTCCGTCATTGCTATATTTTTTTTAGTATAAACGTTCACTTGTGGTCAAGGGCTTGTCAAGTACATAGGCTTTTTTATGTGAGATAGGTCGGCAAACAAGCGCACGGATTACCTGATGGTAAGCAATGAGACGCCGACCTTTTGGGAAAGCAGGATTTAGATATTTTGGCATTGGCGAGGGGTTGAGGTAGGGGAAGGATTGGGCTTCTGGGTACCTTTAATATGAAAATCGCTATCAATATTGTATTATTGTAGTAAGAAATCACAAAACATGTATGTCTATTGAAGTAATAAAAAAAATTGCGCCCCTAAACCTTGCTAAGTACCTATTATGGTGATTTAAACAATATAGTTCTCTATCTATCTATCTATCTATATCAACCTATAGGTGCCCACTGCTGAGCAAAGGCCTCTTCTCACACGGAGAAGGTTTGACCATTAATCAAAAACCAATAAAGTTATAACTACAATAACAACTGTCTGGTCCTAGAACTAGCAAAAAACGGGACTCCGGTAATCCCTTGTCAAAGCCTTCTTGATCAAAACACTCATTAAATTTATTAAACGTGGTTTCGATACAATCCACGTTTGCCTAACTGTTCTATTCATATGAAGTCAACTCCTCACGTCTTTTCAATTACTTTAACTGTAAATAAGTCTTACAAAGGAAAACTAAGTACTTCAAGTCAATGAACTTGTATTAAATCATTTGTAGGTACATAGATACTTAAATAAACAGATGATAAAAAAGTTGCTAATCCGTTGAACTAATTTCACATATCGAACAATTTTAGCGTTTACATCATATTTCAAATAAAGAACAAAAAAACAGTGGGTTATATTCGAACAAAATTAATTACTATAAAGCAAATGAACTGGCCGTTTTGTGCGTGCAACATTTCGCAGATTTCGATCTGGCACATGAGAAAATCGTTCCTTACGACCGATAAAAAAGAATATCATTTCGAAAATCCATTTTTCTTATAATTTATTTTCATTACAGCGTACAAAGATGGCCGATTTAAACATCTTTCCGACAGTTGTTCATTAAAATTTCGCTGTAAATTAGATTTGATCACCGCGAAGTGTAATGCGATTAAACTGCAATAAATGGTGTGAATCACAGGAAGCGACAGATAGCTTATTATCTTATTTCATACTTCTTATTGTGCATTAATAATATGTCGCATTTTCATATAATAACTGTCATGCATGAGACATACTAAATTTATTGATAAATAGCTGTGCCCCGCGACTTCATCCGCGTAATTTGGGCGCCAGGAATTGTCTAGCTTTTCAACAATAAAATATTTTTTCAAATGTAATAATATTCTTTTTTCATATATTTGATAGTATAATGATTGATAGATAGCTAGATAAGTATTACAGAAGTATAGAATGTAGGTAGGGGCGGATAGGTAACGACTCGCGCACGTAAACTTATCGGAAAAAAAGCTCTATTTTTTTCATTTGTTTTAAGTCACAACAGAGGGCCTACCATGACGTGTTATAGCGGAAGATTCACGCAATAACACGTCATAGTAGGCCTACAGGACTCATATTCACGAGTAGCGTTCGTTTTTCAGCTAAACAGTCGGCTGTCGACATCTTTGTTTTCAATTCACGTGCATCCAATTGTATTTTTATACAGGTAACATATAACATCTTCATTTATGTAAAATAACAATTACTCACGTGAATTCACTGAGAAAAGCTGTACTATATCTACATCAATTTATTTTGAGGGGGAAATCAAATGCTCATATATTACCGCGCTTGCACCCGCAAACCCAACTTAAATATGACAGCAGTAAAAAAAAAATAGTGTTACAAACACGAATGAAACATACATATCCTCGTATTTATGTACGATTAAAGCTTTTCAATAATAACACATACCAAATATATGCGTAAGCTGATGTCAGTCAATCAAGGAAGTAAATAGCTTGTTCACATTTCTCAAAGTCGTTTAAGTACATTATAGCATTTAATAAACCAATTAATTAATAATATATAAACAAACTGTCGAGCGCTGAAGATATTCAACTAATCCATAATTTTAATCTATAATGATCAAGAGAAAATGTTTCATTATTAATTTGTATGCATTATTTAGACTTAAACTTTGTCTTAGAGTACTTGTTATCCCAGTATATCTACAAGATGTGGATGCACTCCAAAGTATCCCCCCAAACGAACGAGGCTAGTTATTTTGATAAAGGAAAGCACTGGAACTGAAGTCAGACTCGCCGTTCGAAAATAGGCTGACTCTTTGTACCTATGTATATTTCAATAAGAAATAATCGTGTTATATAAAGCAAAATAAATGGCTTTAAAAAACCCTAATCTCCGGAACTAGTGGCTCGAATTGTATAATGCTTTTTTTGTTAGATAGAGCATTATAAGGGATGCTATAAAGCATCCCAAAGCAGTGGGTGACACCGCGTATGAGTAGCTCCTATAAATTACACGGATGCGGGATGAGTCCATGACCTAGATTCTCATCCGAAAGACTAATTAATCCAGTCAATGATGCGAGTTGCACAGCTCTAATTTCATATCCCTTATTGTGATTCATACATAACACAATCTCTTCACACATTCATACTTTATCAGTTATCAGAACGCAGGCACTTGAAAAGAAGTTCTTATAATAAATGTTTGATAAAAAGATACAATGATAAGAAAGTATCGTGCAAATTAAGAAAACAGTCGAACAAGAACATTTCTCAATATCTCCATAAATAACGAAAAAAAAGGTTTGCATCTGTTTAAGAAGAATAAAAAAATATTTGGTGTAAATCATGGTCATAAATAATTATGCGATCGCGGCTGAAGCTAGCATACGTCGTCGTAGGTCGTAGTATACGTCGCCATCGCCCCGGCATAGAGTGGGAGTCGGAACGGGATAGTCAGTAAGAATCTGACACTCCATCCACCCTACCAAGGACAAGAAGAGTAATTAATGCACAAATGCAATAAAAGGGAGTTTAAAATGAAGGTTGAAATGAAAGGAACAGGGCTTCCAAACTGCCGGGGCTGCGGGGTAAGCGCAATGAGGCACCGCGACCTCGGCTCACAGCAGGAGAAGGAACGGGGGGGTTTTTAGTCAGTAAGAGTCTGACACTCTCTCTCGCCTTACCCTGGGCGGGAGAAGTCATTGGATGATATTCCCCTGACAAAAAAAAAAAAGGGCTTCCAAACTAATTTGGTTGGACGATCGGTTTGTCGGATGCGCTAGCATTCCGACCACGATTTAACAATATTAATAACTAGATACGCCTGCGCGCCTTCGCTCGCTGTTCGGCTCCCACAAAAAGTAGCGTGATATTTTATAACCTTAAGTCTTCCTCGATAAATGGACTAACGAACACAAAACGAATTAATCAATTCGAAACCAATAGTTCTGGAGATAAGCGCGTTCAAACAAACAAAGAAACTATCCAGCTTTATATGTATTTAGAAGATAATTATGTTTGACCGACCGCTCTTTTCACTTTTCGATTTGGTCATAGTAAACATCTGAATGTTTGGCACCACGTTTGGCACCAATCATCTGACCACAGAATCGGAGCGTCTGAACCTTAAAGGTACCGTGACAAAAGACGAGCAATTTTATGACGAACAATAAATTTGAAAACTGAATTATAAATTATGTAAATACGAGTACTTAATAACAATTACATCCATTTTAATTTTAAACCGAACCGGATTATTGTGGCTGACCTTCCATATACGGTTTTTATGCCATATTTTAATGACTAATTAGAATAGAAAACATACGGAAGAGGCCTTGGGCAACAGTTATTCATGAAGTAGGAAGTGGGACGTCGCTTCTTTGTCATTTTAGACTTAGAAATGACAAATTTATCTCATTCAATCAGTGACGGCAATAGGGCAACATATCCGAAGAATTTAAGTTTTAGAAGTAATAATTCCCTAATTCTAGGCAGGCAGGAGGTCTCAAGCCAAATTCAAGGAACAGAACTGGCAAGCAACACCTTTTGCATTATTGCAGAACCAATTGGAGTCAATTTTGACATGCTCGTCACTTTTTTTTCAAATCCGAATTAGGATTTGGTGCACAATTCCATTCATACGCCGTAAATATGAGATTTCATGGCAGAGTGGAAACAACGACTGTCGCAACCGAGGGCCGGGCACGCTACCATAGCAGCGGTAAGACCCCTCTTTGAGGAGTGGCTTGAGAGACGCCACGGCGTCCTCACCTTCCGCCTGACGCAGGTGCTTACCGGGCACGGCAGCTTCGGTAGGTTCCTGTTTCGGATTCAGCGGGAGGAAACGCCCGAGTGTCGTCATTGTGAGGACCACCTAGAGGATACGGTGGAGCATACGGTAGCGGTATGCCCTGCCTGGGCTGAGCACCGCCGTATCCTCAGGGAAGTGATCGGCGGCGGCGACCTCTCGCGCCCGGCCTTAGTCGAGGCCATGGTGCGGAGTGAGAGGAACTGGGACGCCGTCTCCTCCTTTTGTGAAGCAGTCATGCTCGCAAAGAGAGAGGCGGCCCGCGTGAGGGAGCAATCCTCCTCCTCACGCCCCAGCAGCCGCAACTGGCGACACTACGGGCGTCGGGGATCGAGGGACGATCTCCGGCCACCGTAAGTACGGGCCTGCGGTCGGCGAGTAAGGGCAGCTCGCCGCCCGACCAGAACCAGGCCCGAGCGTACGGCGCGTAGCGTTCCGCGCGCGCCTCAAAGAGCCAATAGACCACCACAGACGGGGCCCTAAAGGGCTGATGTTCAGCCGGGGTTGCGGGGTAAGCGCAATAAGGTACCGCGACCTCGGCACAGAGCAGGAGAAGGAACAGGGGGGTTTTTAGTCAGTAAGAGTCTGACACTCCCTCCTGCCCGGCCCTGGGCGGGAGAAGTCATCTGATGATTTTCCCCTTACAAAAAAAAAAAAAAAAAAACGCCGTAAATATTCGTAGAAACAATACTATAAAAATGTAGATATATACCTATTTGTTTTAAACAACAACAAAACTGTTCCTGATAATCGTAGAACAGTAATCTTAGGATACATTAAAACCAAACAGTTTTCGAATTCGGAACGTCCAAAAAATAGTGCACAAAAGATTTGGCTTCAATATCTGTATCTACTTACAATCTGTGCATACGTTTTCTCAATTCCAGGTTTCAAAGGACCTCTATCAGAATATGACTTCATCATTGTAGGGGCAGGATCAGCTGGTAGCGTTCTAGCTTCCCGTCTCACTGAAGACAAAAGAACTACGGTCCTGCTCATAGAAGCTGGTCGTGGAGAATCGATAATAACAGATGTACCTATTCTTGCACCGTTGCTTCAGCAAACTGATTATGTTTGGCCTTACGTCATGGAGTACCAGCCAGGAGTTTGCACAGGTAAAATAAAAGATAATTAGCCTTTTTTGTAACAGTTCAAGATTTAGAACTTAAATAAATTCTCATTGTTTTTGTTGATAAACGTAATGTATTATATTTTTGCCTCAAAGTCTAGGTAAACATCAGACTTACTTGTGAGCTTGTTTTAGTACTAAAGTATTACGATTATGACTTCGTTGTTATCCTCAAACACTGTTGTCTACCTTGCGACTTATAATAACTGCAATTTTACTAAAGGATAACAACAAGTAAAGGATATGCACACAGGATGAAATCTAAAACTGCAATATGAGAAAATTATCATTCATACCAATATGTCATTTCGTGTTTTCTTAATGTTTCAGGTATGGTGGATGGGAAGTGCTTCTGGCCGAGAGGTAAGGCGGTGGGAGGTACAAGCGTGGTCAACTACATGATCTACACCAGGGGCATGCAGGAGGACTGGGACAGGATCGCTGCCGCAGGCAATTATGGATGGTAGGCCTATAAGTATTCAAACGACTTCATCAATATAAGGATCATTAATACCCACTTACTTTTCGTACATGTAGTGAATAACGTATAAACGTACCTGAAAACAAAAAACAGCTCGTTAGTGATTTATCTCAACACTGTGAATCCAATATCTCGTTTGAAGGTTCGAATGAGATAATAAAGAATAATAAAAATCCCTTCAATTGTGTCAAAAGACACTAGTATACGGGTAAGGAAAACCACTGACAAAATCAACATAAGAACTACCAAATTATTTGCAATCAAAATTAGAATAGGCGTAGGTAGGCCAGTAATTATTCGCGACAATGTCAACTCACCGATTGATTAAATACCGTGTTTAAACATTACTACGTATGAACAAGGATATCGCTCAAATTACGATTTTTGAAGTACAATAGCATTTTGTAACACTGCAGATAAAAAAAATATGATGCATATTTTACAGCTATCGAAAGAAGTACTTATTACATATTTTGCACTCCTTATATTTTTCACTAATCATAACACGCAATAACATTTACATCACAAACGAAAGATTACCACTTTATTCTAAAAATATATATTTTTATCTAACCAGACATTTTACGTTACAGGTCATACAACGATGTTATACCGTACTACATAAAATCCGAACGGGCCGATCTGAAAGGACTAAGAAACTCGCCGTGGCATGGACGCGATGGTGAATTATCCGTGGAAGATATCCCGTTCAGGTTATTAGCATTTACACTATTTATAGGATAAGATAAACACAATTTTTTGAAACTGAAACACGCACATTATAAAGGGCTGCATAGTTGCATTGGCTGAGCAACCGGCTGCTGCATGTCGAGAGTCCGATTAACTGTCCGTCTCTTTGCGTGATCAACAATTATTATTTAATTAAAAGAAAAAAAATAAGTGTAATAACTTGGGTAATTTGTGTATCTACATAACTCACAAATTGGTATACCTATCGCACTTTAGTACGCGCCATGTTTTACTTTTTACTCCAGGAAAAATTGGGCTACATTCTGCAAACCTTCTTCTTTAGTTTTATATGCTATTGCGAAAATATACTTGCAATAAGAAAAACGTTATTGATATTTAACTGATAAATAAAATCTTGATTGAAATACACATTGACGCTATACCAAGTTCATTGTAACGTTGATCAAACATTTATGCAGAGTAAATGTAAGATGTTAGTTGTTTCAAATATTATGACACAGGCTCATGTGTCCTAAAAAATACTCAAGTATTTTATCAACAGATAAAAACAGCATTCGTGTTCTGAAATCTTTCCTATCTGACATCGTCTTCATGTTTAAACCTTTTAAATGTATATTCTTGCATTATTTTCAGATCTAAGTTATCTAAAGCCTTTTTGGACGCAGCGAAAATATACGGTCATCGCCGAGTGGATTACAACAGTCCGGATGCATTTGGATTCAATTATATTCAAGCAACAATTACCAAAGGACAAAGGGCCAGCAGCGCCAAAGCGTTCTTACATAAAAACAAAAAGAGGAAAAATCTACACATCTTAGTATCTAGCAGGGCAACAAAAGTTATTATAGACCCTAAAAATAAACAGGCAGTTGGTGTTGAATTCCATAAAAATGGACGAGTGTACCAAATCAGGGCCAACAAAGAAGTGATACTGTCAGCCGGTCCCATTGAATCACCACATTTGCTAATGCTTTCTGGCATAGGACCAAGAAAACAACTTCAATCCTTTGGAATACCCGTGATACAAGATCTAAAAGTGGGTGAATCATTATATGATCACATTTCTTTCCCAGCACTGGCTTTTACTTTGAATCAGACTAGATTAACACTCGTCGAGAAGAAAATAGCCACAATACAGAATACAATTCAGTACGATCAATATGGTGATGGTCCTATGTCGTCTTTGGCCGGAGTCGAAACTATTGGTTACATAAAAACTAATATTTCCAACGAAGTTGGTGATTATCCAGATATTGAATTGCTGGGCTCTTGCGCTTCTTTAGCTTCTGATGAAGGAAACATTGTAGCCAAAGGTATTCGAATGGCAGATTGGCTTTACAATGATATTTACAAACCAATAGAGAACGTCGAAAGTTTTACTATACTATTCATGTTACTACATCCTAAAAGTAAAGGTTACTTGAGGTTGCAATCAGCTGATCCCTTCCAACAACCTGCTTTATATGGTAATTACCTAACGCATCAGCAGGACGTGGACACAATGATAGCTGCAATAAGGTACATCATCAAACTCGTAGACACACCACCATTCAAGAAATACGGAGCAAAATTGCACAAAAAGAAATTCCCGAATTGTAATCAATATGAGTTTGGAAGTGATAATTATTGGGAGTGTGCCGTGAGGACGGTGACTGCAACGTTGCATCATCAAATAACAACGTGTAAGATGGGTCCTCCCACAGATCCAGAGGCCGTAGTAGACCCAGAACTGAGAGTGTACGGAGTCGGCAATCTACGTGTCGTCGACAGCAGTATTATACCGAGAACGATAGTTGCTCATACTAACGCGCCAGCCATCATGATTGGAGAAAAGGCTGCTGATATGATTAAAAGAACTTGGAAATTGTACTGAATAAAAAATGTGAAATTATCCAGAGATTAAAACTAGTTTGAACAAATATCCATGATCAAGAAAAAGCCACCGGTAAGATGTGTATGAAATCATTGGAGTGATAAATTTCTTTAAAATTTAGACATAACCTTGTATTGAGGTTATTTAATTTTAGGCTATTTTAATATTAATAGATAGGTATATGAAATCTGTAGGCTTTATTTATTAAATTAAAACAAAAAAAGAAATTAAATCTGCCATTAAATGTGTTTTGTGTGAAGGAGAAAAAAAATATATAAAATACTATATAATGTGCATTATTTGATTCGCGTATCAAACGTGAATTCCTCAATGTCGTTGTAAATGCTGCTGGCGGAACCACCTCACAAAGTTTCGACGATTATACTTTTTGTCAATTATCGGTGTTCTAAGCAAAACGCGTTTGCAGGACAGGTTTGTATACATAACTGCATAGAAGGAAAACTCCAACATACTTAGGTTATTAACACACATGATAAGGAAACAAACGACGGCAAGGAAAATATAATAATAATTATTGTTATTAATTCAACTAACAAAGCCACTTGGCCATTTTTCTTCATTCATTTCATTGAAGGTAACTCCTCATAAGACGTTGAAAACCAAATATACTCTTAATTTCGTCTGGCAATTGACGCAATAAATTTCCATCGGTCAAATTATCGTTTCCTGTCAAAACCTTTAAGTCTGAAAGAGCCATACTTCGGCACAAATGGGGCGGTTCGACCGGCGTGATACCACGGCCTCAAAGAACGTTGACGGTGTCTATGGGTGACAATGATTGCTTACCATCAAGAAATAAGTCAGCTCATTTGCCGACCTATCACATAACAAAAAACTAAGTATAACACAAACTCACTCCGCACATTCTTCACAACATCTCAAACCCAAGGAACTGACAGATTTCTAAAACAAAGCTTTGTTTTAGAAATCTGTACTACTGTTCCTACTTTATGCATGGTCCTACGTCCTACAGGTCGTCCGTGGGTAACTCTCATAAAAATGAAGATCACGCTGAATATAATGATTGACGTATTTAATTGATATTCAAATAAAAATAAACGTCAGCCGATCCTAACGTGGAAAGGTCAGATGTTATGGCAATACTTGAAAGACTACTTTATTCCTCTTTTTATATCCCAGCTGATACGAATTATTCAAGATTGTGTACGCAAATACGTCACTCGTCAACCTTTAAAACGATCTCAACCGAAATCCGATAACACGGACAGATAGATTAGGTACTGATAATTCTACTGTATGACATGAGAAGTGCTTGTACTCGATAATACGATATCGTTGATGATAATTACAAATATTTTTGTAATCACTCATCATTGATGAGGGTATTAGTAGCCACCTAATGAATTAAGACGTAATAGGAATATAAGCCCCACTAGCGGTTTCGTCCTGCAACCGATTTTACTACATTAAAATAGGACGCGGATAAAAACCGCCGAGGTTCCGCCATAGTACGGTCGGAGCTCTAATGGCGCTTCCAAATTGGGCTTCAACAGCTGAAGTAAAATCGACAATATTCTTATAAACATTTTTTGAAAAGTCGAATTAAAATCTAGAAATCGAGACCCTATGTCGAACGTCATTAGCGAGATAGTTGGACAATCTTGTAAATCCGCGGGCCCACCGCTAGTTACCAATTGTTTTCTATACTAATATTATAGAGGTAAAATTTGTAAGTTTGTATGTAGGGGGTAATCTTTGGAACCGCTGGTCATATTGCCAAAATTCTTTCATTGATACATAGCTACAATGTTCCTGAGTGCTATAGACTATAAAACATCACGCTACGATCAAATGGAGCCGAACAGCGGGTGAAACAGCGCGAGAGTAGCTAGTATAACAATAAACGTTACGTTTGGGGGGTAGAATTTAGTGACGTAAGTTCGCAATTATAATGTCATCGGCAACAATTTTTATTCGCTTCGTGCGCATGTCATTCATGTGTATTTGTTATTGTTCAAATAGTTTTTGTATTTATTTGCTAGTTTAAAATGACGAAATTTGTACAAGGAATGGAAATACATACATAGTTAAATATTCCTTTGTAGATCGCAACTCACGTCTGTCGTCGTACGTTCAAACAATGATCCGTAATTAAATAATTAGATGCGGTTGTCTCTTATAGGCCATTGTGTTCTTTAAAGAAACCATTACATATCCTAAAGATAGCCAGTCCAGGGTTATAGCATAGAAAAGGTGCAAAATAACTTCAGTTTTGATTTATAAAACTGACACGAATTACATGCTTCAAAGGCGTAGTTTTTCTTGAGACAGGTTTTTTTTATTCAGGACGTTTTATTTGTCTTGTCCCGTTTTCATTTTTTGTAGATTTAGTTCAGCAATGGAACCATTAAAACGCGCTATTCAATTACTGCGTGTGTGGATAGGGGGAATCACGATAGCCATGGCCTTACGTAGGCTTGTATTGACGGAGAATGAGATCACCTATGGCGCGCCTATGTCTATGTAACTAAGATAATTGGGCGAGCTATTAAAGTACCAACAAGAACAAAATGAGGATTAAATTAAGACCTTATCAAAGTTCGGTTTTAACAGACAACACAAAATACCATAGCTACGTTTTTCGTAAATGTATTAAGAATCAAATAGATCTAAACTTGTTACCGACAGTGAATAATTAAAAACTAACAGTGACATGCAAATGTTTATTTTAATAAAAGTTTACCTATCTAATACGAAACTTTTAAAGCACAAACAATATCCAATAAGAATCTTACCTATGTAGTCTACAAAAACATAATGCACATATTATTATCATGACCTTCAATTTTAATTGTACCCAAAAAGAAGAATGTTGATAGCTACTCGACTCGCTAAAAATATGCGCGAGCGCCGTCATAGACGGAGCCAGATTGTAGATGTGAATGTATGTATAAGATATGCTGCAATTTTGGGCGTGGACACATAATTTTTTGTCTGTTCCGTGTCTAAACAACTTTATAACCTTCTACCACAAATGAGGATCTAATACCCTAATGATAATAGATACGCAACCGGTACTTGCGAATTAATGTATATCCCGGTATGTAGATGTACCGCAAATACAGCGCTTCGCAGATACGAGATAAGAGGTTACTTTGTTATCAGTACCAAAATGAACCTACTTAAATTGTATTAAAATTATGTGCACAAATTTTATTCCGCAATAAATTACTATAAGCACTTCTTCAATAGTTAAGCCAAATAAAACGACGAATGCTCATTAGAACTCATGAAAAATTGTGTAAGACAGTTTATTATGTATTTACCTGAAACTATTAGTGCTTCATTCGGTCCCACGGTGTGTATATTGCCCATTTTTCACTCAAAGTTCAAAGAAACCGCACAAAACAACACTGTATTTCTGTTTTTACTAAAAAAAACAACTTTCGCTAAATCAATAAATATAACAAACAACAATGAATGAAAGGAATGAAGTAACGAACTAATCACAGGGTTTCATAGACAAAATTCACAGATAAAATCCAAAGTCTCGAAAAAAGAGATGAGTGTTAAGGTCGAAACAAAAACTTACTCTGGACTTAATCATACACAGTTTACCATACGTATCATAATAAAGTAAACATAATTAGGTCAGTTTTAAAAGAAACTTTAAAATAATACGTCGTGCTTTTGTTAATTGCAGGAGACTTGACGCCTCTCACTCAAGCCTCGTAGTCGTAGTAGGGTACAACACTAGACTAGAAGGTCTACGTAAAAAAAGTATAGACAAGATATCACTACTATCTATGGTAGGTTGAACGTTGTAATGGCGGAGGCATTGTGATTGTTTGTAGAAGGAATTTGAGCTGCTGATGTAAAATAACCAAAAAGCAAACCTAGCAATAAGTTCTTTAAAACTGTGAGTTGTCAAATATTAATTCATTTCTCAGTTATGATTATCAATGGGTATAGTATTCACTTTACCATCTTGTCATGTAATCATAGTATTACTCACTGCTACTATTTTTGCCTTCAGATAAAGCGTGGTGATTTTACTTAGAAAAATGTCTGATACAAGCGACCTAGACCGTCAAATTGAACAGCTCAAAAGATGCGAGATTATAATGGAGGCCGAGGTTAAGGCTCTTTGTGCCAAGGCCCGCGAAATTCTCGTCGAAGAGAGCAATGTTCAGCGGGTAGATTCTCCTGTCACGGTAATTAACCTTTTACATATCTTAGCGATCTTTTGGAGATAAATAATTGTTGCATCTTATTTCTGGTTGTGTTGTTCTTATTTTCTAATACTTACATGTCTAGTATTTATTTTACTTTGTCTTTCCGTGGGTGAGGAATTTACGTTCGGCAACTGTTTGATATGTGATGCGCTGTTGTTTGTAAATAATTAAAGTTTACGAAACAAACATGCTCTCACGGTACATGGCAGAATACAATGCATATTGAACTGTTACAGGTGTGTGGTGACATTCATGGTCAATTCTATGACCTGAAAGAACTGTTCAAAGTGGGTGGAGATGTTCCTGAGACCAACTATTTATTTATGGGTGATTTTGTAGATCGAGGATTCTATTCTGTGGAGACATTCTTATTACTACTGGCTTTGAAAGTAAGTTTTTCTATTCATTATAAGGTTTATAAGCATTGTACAGTTGCTTATTAATTATAAAATCTATTATACAGTTCTCACTCTACATAACATACTATTTCATGTAATACACATAAATGATCTATCAGTGTACAACAATTGTGATTACTGTTACTCTGAGACCAGATTTATTTAATATGTCAAGCAATAAGTAAGAATTGATCTATCTGATGTTTAAATTTCTCAGACTTTGAGTCATTGACATTCATAAGAATCATCACCTCCAAAATATGGTAATTCTAAAAAGCATTAAAATTCAAATTGAAAATGTTTTAAATAGTAGTGATCAAAATGTAAGTTGATTGGATAGCATTTTAGTATGTAATAATGAAGTATTTTGTTACTTAGGTCCGTTACCCAGACCGCATCACACTTATCAGAGGCAACCATGAGTCAAGGCAGATCACTCAGGTGTATGGCTTCTATGATGAATGTCTTAGGAAATATGGATCAATTACTGTGTGGAGGTAAGTTCATATTCATAAATAATTAATTTGTAAAATTAATTCTGATTTCTGAATGCCAAATAGCCATTAGATGCTGAAACAGAAAAGTGGCATGTCCTTATTTATTTTAAATCATATTTTCTAATATTATAATGGCTATATCACTCATTTAAATTACACAGGTATTGCACTGAGATATTTGACTACCTCTCACTGTCTGCCATCATTGATGGGAGGATATTCTGTGTGCATGGTGGGTTGAGCCCTTCAATACAGACCCTTGACCAAATTCGCACTATTGATCGCAAACAAGAGGTGCCCCATGATGGACCAATGTGTGATCTCCTGTGGAGTGATCCTGAAGGTTTGTTTACTATAAAGTACCCTCACTTTTTCTATAAATATTAGAAACCTTGACTTTGAATTTTACAATGTTTATGCATCATCTTTCTATTTATGCCCATATACATATAGATACAAGCTGATAAGTTTACCCTAAACTGTATACTGCATAGCTACTTTATCAGTTTTGTCTTTATTAACCTTCTGGCAGCCATTATCGGGTATAAACTAAAAACGAAATAAAAGTTATTTTGCCAAAGTTGTGCACCATAATTAAGTATCAGCCACAGCTGATTTGCGGGATAAGCGCAATGAGGAACCGCGACCTCGGCCCAGAGCAGGAGAAAGAACAGGGTCCCTGGGGCGGGAGAAGTCATTTGATGATTTTCCCCTCACAAAAAAAAACCATAAGAATAATATATTTAATATATTGTCTGTAGCCAAACATAGCAGACAAAAGGTTTATATGGAATCAAGTTCACAACATAGTCTGTAATGGTTATGGTATGGTATGAGGTACTTATAAATCTGTTCTAAACAATATTTAAGAAAGCCAGTGAAGAACAAAGTATGTAACAACTTTTAACCACCCTTTTATGTGTTTCAGACACCCAAGGTTGGGGTGTATCTCCTCGCGGTGCGGGCTACCTGTTTGGGTCAGATGTAGTAGCTCAGTTTAACGTATCCAATGACATTGATATGATCTGCCGTGCACATCAACTTGTAATGGAAGGCTACAAGTGGCACTTCAATGAGACTGTGCTTACTGTCTGGTCCGCTCCCAACTATTGCTACAGGTTAGTTGTCAGAACATTTTTTTCAATCTTATTAATTTGATTTACTCTCTTAATTTTATGAATTATATGATACACTTATTTAATGTATCATCAACTAAAGACATTAAAAAGCAGACCCAACCACCGATTTTAGTACGTGATATACTGTCAAATCTTAACCATGGGAGTTAATAACTTGTTATATAAACTGACTTGAATTTTATATCCACAGGTGTGGAAATGTGGCAGCAATATTAGAATTGAACGAAAATCTTCAGCGAGAGTTTACGATATTCGAGGCCGCGCCTCAGGAGTCTCGAGGCGTGCCCTCGAAGAAGCCGCAAGCCGACTACTTCTTATAATGTTGCGTACAATAGACAATTGACACATAAGCGAGCGACCCATCTAGTATTACGTACGGTTTTATTGTAGTGACAAAACATTTCATGTGGAAATAATTTAATTGTGATCTTAAGACTGGTGTTGAATTGTAAGTTGAATGTGTTTATTTTAAGTCATTGAATATGTGTCTAACATTTGCTGGCTTCCCGTTCTCATCGCGTGTTGGCAGCGCTCTCGGATCTCCCAACTGCACCCAAGTATTTGGTATAGTCATGGGACAGTACACACTTTTCTACCGATATACCAAAAACTTCCATGTAAGTGATGTGGCGTTTTGAAGATATTTGGACTTAGAATCAATAGTTTAGTACAAACTTTCGCGTTCCACCACAGAATGTAAGTTAAGTTAAATCCTCTCAGGCAAATAATTTATAATGTAATCTTGACTTAGTGTAATGAATCCCTTTTGTTACTTACAGGCATTTCTTTTGATTGTTAGTCCCTTGCTTAACTAGGTGGCATTCTACCATTTTAAATGTATGCCATTGATTAAGTTAGTATTGTATCATTATTAGGTGACCAGTTGATAAATCTTTATTACATTTATGTGTATTTAGTATGCAATAATGTGACGAACAATGAGTATGATAAGCAGAGTGTTCATTTATAAAAAAGCCGTGCTAAACTGCTGAAACTTAGTAAAATATTAATTCCGAAAACTTATCAGTGTGTTTAGGTCAGATATGTTATACATTTATATATTTACCAATCCTAGATATATTTATGGAACTTAAAAGCAATTAAGAGTACCTGTAGACCTCCAGTGTTTACTACCGCGCATTTTCACGTTAGATCAGGCTCATGAAATGTGATTTGTGATGTCATGAACACTGCCGTTAACTATTATGTAATGTTTAAGGAGATTATAAAATATACTTAAAGTACACCAGAGATACACACATTCGTAAAGTAGGCATATTGTTAATGATCTTTTCATATTGATATAGAGAGTAGTGCAAAATACAATTTTTTAATCGCATAACAACAGACATGTTACATTAATAAAATAATTTTTGGTACTTGTAGACAAATTTAAAGTTCTAGAATACTATTTATAGCTGTTAATGAAGCATATTTTTCATACATTTCAATCAATTTCTTGTTAATTATAATACCATTATCGCATTTTGCAGGAAATACCATATTTTTAGTATTCAATTCACTAGTACTTGTAGATGTGAAGACAAGACAAATTACATTTTTGTGATCATTGTTACATGGTTCAATTAATCAAAGAATGATTTAAATGAAGAAAAGTATTTTGTGAACAACTCTGATTAAATAGGCTGTACAAAGTGTATAAAGCTATGTGTGGACTGAGCATTCCAATGTTCGCGTAACCTATTGAATATGTGCACAAGAGGTTATCTGATTATTACCTTAGATACTTTACTTTGCATTCATTCATTTTAATTGATTTTTAACTAATATTATCAATGTACCAATATAATGTTTCAGTGCGGTATAACCTACATTGGAATGCTCAGACTTTCCAAGGCTTTAGAATTATTCTAAAAAAGTAACTAAATTGTGATCTCAATTGTGTTGTTCATATTTTGTCATTTGAATTTACGACTGAAAACTGAAACACAACCAAATGACTGGATTATATAAATATAAAAAAAAAATCGTGTTTAATTATTCATCTCAAAAATGCTCACAACCAAATCGTTTTCTTTGTCTTATTGTTGAAAAAGTGAATTTTATATTATTACTTATTCATCAAATACAGTCATAAGCAAATGACAGAAGCAAAACCCTTTTATCTTACCTATTATTATTTGGGCTGTGTAACAATCAATAAGTTCCCCCTAATATTTATTATTAATCCTAATGAATACCAATTGTAAATGATTTGCTTAAAATGTTGTTTGTATATTCTATAACCACTTTTGTATCCCTACTTCTTTTATACTATTAATTATTAAAATGAAATGCCATCATACTGCTGAATTTTATTTATTGAAAACAATGTCATTAAAATATGAACAATCTATAAAAATAAAATTTATCTGAGGTAGCAAATATGATATCACAACAACACAAAAAATATATGTAATCAAACTATATCAGGTACTAAAACATCAACTGAGGTTATTTTTTATAGAATTACATAATTCAGGTAAAATATCACCACATTTGGTAGATACTTTGATCTGTATAATATCATCAGCTCTAGTGGGACCTATATTTAGCAAAGCAATGTTCTTATGTTCATCTCTGGCTTGTAAAATTATTCTATAACTAGAATAAACTGTTAAGCTAGATCCTAAAACAAACACTGCATCACTGGAGGACACGGCATTCCTCACTTGGTCTACTCTGTGTTTTGGAACATTGTCTCCAAAGAACACAATGTCTGGCTTCAGAGGGCCTTCACATTTTGGGCAGAGTGGAGATCTAAATTTATCAACTTGTTCCTGCAACAAAGAACAAATAATAATTCATGGTTTAACATTAAAAATAAGAACAGAAAAGTAAAAATGACTCATACCTTAGGTAATTCTACATCACCATCTGGTCTTATCATAGTAAAGCTACTTTCCATATAAGAGTTATTCTTCAAGAGTTGCACTTGTAGCTCTTCTCTGCTTATCTCGTAAGGACACTTCAAACATTTTACAATGTACCCAGAGCCATGAAGTTCTATTACATTTTCAGAGCCAGCTTTCTGATGAAGATGGTCAACGTTTTGTGTCACTATTGATGTCACCTTTCCCATCTGCAAGAGCAATAAGTAAACAAATCAACACAAAATACTAAAATTTACTGTGCAAGATAAAGTGAACCTTATCCTATATAATACAAGTTATGAAATGTTAAATTCTCCTAGTTCTTTATAAAATGTAAATAAATACCTTTTCCAACTCTCTGATAGCTAAATGTGTCGCATTTGGTTGTACTGAGCTAAATCTTGGCCATCCAATGAAATTTCTGGCCCAATACCTCTGCCTTACTTTAGGATATTTCACAAATTCTTGGTATTGTATAGGTTTGTGATTGCTTCGAGCGTATAATCCAACTTCCTCTGATCTGTAGTCGGGAATTCCTAAAATAAGACATTAAATAAAATACTTGGAGTGGCAAATCATGAGTCACGCGCTATATTATAGTACAGCAACTATTACCAGATTCTGTAGAAATACCAGCACCAGTCAGGATAAGAATATTTTTGTGTTTAGATAAAAAATCTTTGAGAACCTCAAAATCTTCATGGTTAGGTGGTTTATGTTTTGGAACATAAACTATCTGCCTGGCGAACTGCTTAACACGGGTATGTATCCTTAACCGATTCATTTTTTTACACTTAAATACTAATAAAAATTATTTAATTCATTGTATACATCTGTCAATTGCAAATTTGTGATTGTTCAATTTCTGTCATTCTGTGACTTTTGTTTGACACTAAAACATTACACAGACAAGTAGATACCTACTACGTACCTATACCCAGTATATTCAATGTACTCTGTGCGTATGCCTACGGCCAGCCGGAGCCAAAGAGTATGTAACCACTACGTTTAGCCGGAGCCGGCCCGGCTGGTTACTGTATTGTGGTATTGATATCGATACCTTTTGGTTTTGTGGCCTTCCTTTGCTCTTTTTGTCTTTAAAAGGCTGCTGCCGACCATAGTTATACATCTATTTACGTATGTATATCACGTCCATTTATAAAGGTATTTGCATTACACCTATTCCTATGAAGGTATTATCTGGTCAAATGTCTGATGTGAAAGAATTAAACTTCTCCGTGGCTGAGCATCATCAAACCAAAGACCTATAAATAAAAACCATTGTTGGTTACGGTTTTTGTTTCCCCTCTAAGTAATGAGTATTAAAACTGTCACTTTGAAGTTGACGTCTCTATCAACGGCATGCTGTATTGCTGTCAAAAAATGGAAAACACTTCCAATTCCAGTCACATTTTTCATTTTACTATTGTACATAGAATAGAATAGTAAGAAATGTCTTTATTTAGATTAAAATCTGCTCCGTTTGTAATCATAGAAGATGATGCAACTAAGAATATCTTACCTTTATTGCAAGAACTTGTACAAGAAGAGAAATGCATAAACTTATTTTGTTACGAACAACCAAGCAATCTGTGGAGAAATGTTTTCAAAAATTCCAACGTGAAGTATCATGATGAGTTCAATCCCGAAATGTATAATAATAATAAATATATAAATGAAAAGTGTTCAGTGATAATTGATTCTATAAATCAAATGTCTCTTTGTATGGGTTGGAATAATTGTTTGCAATACTTGAAGCTATTACAAAGTAATCCAAATGTTAAAAGATTAGTACTGATACTGCACAAGGACTGTTTACCACATAACTCCAAACTACAATTACATTTAAATCACTTAGTAAATGTCACAGTATCATATGATAAAACAAATGCACATAAGATTTGGATAAATTTGAAAAAAGGTAATAAAATTATAAGGAGCAAGGAGATATTGTCATATGACAGTAAGACATCAGTGTTAAGTTTGAGTCCTGTGATAAGACAGGAGCAGAAAGAGGAAGAGCCTGAGAAGCCATTGCCTGCAAATTTATCAACATTCAAAATAGAAGTAGATCAAAATGAGAAGATACAGAAATACAACTTGAAACTGCCTTACATGAGTAAAATTCATGAAGGAGAGAGTAAAGTGTACTATGAACCTGATGCAGTAGATGACTGGGATGAAGAGGATCCTGATGAAGATCTTGATATATGAATAAATATAAATTTTATGTTGTTATTTCTTTCTTCATTTTACCATTTCAATCCTGTATAAAATTACAACAAAGTTGGCAACTTCTAGTATTTCTAGTATTACACTACACTATTAAAAACTGAAAAAGTTATTTTGTAAAACATACCTAAATGGCAACATGTCACAATAACTTTAGGATTTAATTATAAATAACTGATCTTGTCAATCAATGTCTTTACCAGACATTACCATTATTTATAATTTTGATAGTTTCAAATCTTTTTTTTTTTAATAATGATATATCAATCTTTTTAATATTTGTTCAATATTTATTACTTTTGAAGAGGGAAAAATCATCATGTGACTTCTCTCTCCCAACAGAGTCAGACTCTTACTGACTAACAACTGCCCTGTTTCTTCTACTCCAAGCCGAGGTTGCTGTACCTCGGAAGTTCGGAACCTTCTTGCGCTAGCGCCGCCACCCCGGCTTAAGAACATCGGCCCTTTTGGGCCCTATCTGTGGTGGTCTACGGGCTCTGAGGCGCGCCCGGAACGCTATGCACCATGCCGCAATGACTACGGTTTGGTTCTGATAGAGCGGCGAGCTACCCTTGCTCGCCGTCCAGAGCTCAGACCCGCGCTTACGGTGCCAGAGATCGCACCTCTTTCCTCGACGTCCGGAGTGTCGCCTATTGCGGCGGCTAGAGCGCGAGATAATTACCTCACGCGCTCCTTTAAACAGGAGACTGCTCCCCAGGTGTCACAACGGACTTGGCCTCGACTAAGGCCGGACACAAGAGATCGCCCCGCCGTTCACTTACCTACACGAAGACAAGACGGTGCTCCGCCGAGACAGGGTACTATGCCACCGTATGCCGTTTCCCCGGGTGGTCCTCATAATGACGACACCCGGTAGTTTTCTTCAGCTCGAATCGAAGCAGGTATCTACCGTTAAGCGGAAGGTGAGGCCGCCGTGACGTCTCTTTAGCCTATTCTCTCTATAGGTACTCTGCAAAGAAGGATCTCGCCACTGCTATAACAGCTTGCTCGTTGTTCAATATAAATATCAGGTTTTATGAAACTTACAACAATAAGAAATTACATAGAACTAATCTATGTAATTTCCACTTAGCTGTCTCCTACTAGTAACCAAAACTTACGTTCGAGAGTCGATGGAAATGATCACCTGGGATCTTCAAGGCTGTTCGGTTTTACAATTGTTATTCCCTAGTCAACAAATTAAAGTTTGATATAGGTAATATAGTAGGTGCGTACCTATGCGTCCAACATTTAAATAATTTAAAAACGTTGCTCTTGAAATTTCAATTAAACTTTGTATTAGTTACATTTGTGTGTATGTTCTGAATGTTTTCATCAAGAAGAGAATCGAACACAGACTTATATTAAAAATTCAAATATAAGTCTGTGGAATCGAACATTCATTTCAGTTCAATGCCTCTACTAGCTTTCTATGTCTTTATTTGCTTCCCTTTTGTGGCCGTGTATTTTTTTTTATTAGGTATTGAGTACCTAGTTGGTGCAAACGAGCACACTGATCACCTGGTGGTAAGTGGCGTGCGTTCGTGACACCAAAAACTGATTCCGCTGGGCGAACGTTGTCCTGGCGGAACTTTTTTTAATCCATAGACTTTAGAAGAAAAGAGATGTATCCAAAAATTAGTGTGTATTTGTGTGTAATTGTGTATGTATGAATAAAACTAGTGCATGCATAAACTTCGGAGAAATTCAAGTTTCCGCTACGCGAACGTTTGGCCATTAGCTAGTTTTCATATAAAGCGCTTACATAGAGAGCTGTAGATTTTTACATACGTTGTTTTGAATTTGTGTATATTTGTTTAAAAAACAGATTAAGAAAAAATCGTAGGGTTTAAAAGATAAAAATATAAACGTAAAATACGCTTATTAGGTCTTAGCTCTTAAAGTATGCACTTTAGGGTCTAGATTTTCACGTATATACAAACCTTGTAAGTGTCTGCAACATGTTGCCAAGTATCAATGATGTTCCGTTAGTAATTAAATAGTTATAGGACAAATTTACCATGAATAGATCACTGTTTACAAAGCAGTCAAATATCACGACGTTCTAAATGAATTGCATGGTAAAATGTATGCCAATAATTTGTGTATTCATTCAACAATTCACATGCAAAATTTCATGTCATTAAATTCAGTAATTAAAGAAAAACAATTATAATACTGACGAAGCATCGAAAACCTACATAACCCGACCAAGTTCGGATGGCTACAAAAAAGCGGCTGTTCAATATATTTAGGTAACATCCCAAAATTTACAGTATAATACCGGTATTGAATTGGTACAGGTGATAACACACTTGTTGTTTCGAAATAATTTATAGGTCATTTATTTTTGGACACCTACTTTTTTAAATGTATTTGACTATGACAGAAAGTAGGTACTATTTACGTAGGTACTTTATTTAAGTATGCGCTTGAGATTTGAGATATAATCTAATTATATTTAAGACAAATAAAATTCATACAGCTAATTTCTATTGAAGATTTCACGGATCAGGATTCTAACTATAGACCCCTTAGGGAAATTAAATATTTACCACATGTAAGTACTTAAGTACTACTGTTTAGGTAAATATTTATCATATTGTAGCTTATTACACTATTTAACCAATATTTTTTATTACACTATTTAACCAATAGAGGCATGCACGAGCGTGTGTACGATACTGTGTTTTATTTTTTCTTAACGCTTGTGTACGATAATGTACCATATTAATAAATGCTATATTGGAAAGTTAAGAACGTTTCTTAGATATATGGCACGGCCGCTTTTTTGTAGCCATCCGAACTTGGTCGGGTTATGTAGGTTTTCGATGCTTCGTCAGTATTATAATTGTTTTTCTTTAATTACTGAATTTAATGACATGAAATTTTGCATGTGAATAGTTGAATAAATACACTAATTATTGGCATACATTTTACCATGCAATTCATTTAGAACGTCGTGATATTTGACTGCTTTGTAAACAGTGATCTATTCATGGTAAATTTGTCCTATAACTATTTAATTACTAACGGAATATCATTGATACTTGGCAACATGTTGCAGACACTTACAAGGTTTGTATAAACGTGAAAATCTAGACCCTAAAGTGCATACTTTAAGAGCTAAGACCTAATAAGCGTATTTTACGTTTATATTTTTATCTTTTAAACCCTACGATTTTTTCTTAATCTGTTTTTTAAACAAATATACACAAATTCAAAACAACGTATGTAAAAATCTACAGCTCTCTATGTAAGCGCTTTATATGAAAACTAGCTAATGGCCAAACGTTCGCGTAGCGGAAACTTGAATTTCTCCGAAGTTTATGCATGCACTAGTTTTATTCATACATACACAATTACACACAAATACACACTAATTTTTGGATACATCTCTTTTCTTCTAAAGTCTATGGATTAAAAAAAGTTCCGCCAGGACAACGTTCGCCCAGCGGACTGAGTTTTTGGTGAATTTCTCCACAATGGTTGCTGCACAAATTTTTTTTTACCATACACAATTATACGACGTCATACACTAAATATCTGCATAATTAAAATCTTTAAATTCAACAACATTCCGCTGCACGAACGCACGCGTTCAACGAACGGCGCTGCTCAAGCGCGCGAATTTGAAACGCTACTAATACCCCAATACATATCCGAGCGCGCGCGCGCCGACGGCGCTGCCGAAACGCGTGACTGTAAAACCAGCCTAATGGGTCCGTTCCGCTCGCGGTGGAAACCGGGCTGTAGGTAAATGCGGTAATAGATAGGAGTTATCAGGTCAAAAATTATTTTGCAACCGGATTTTAGAATACGAATTGAACTTATTTGAAACAAATGAAATGCAGCATACACTGAGTACGGCAATTATCTTAGGAGATAATAGTACGTTATGGTACAACGTTCGGCTTAACACTCTCAGGATAATTCTCAGGCACGCTATGTCAGGGAAATGGATTAGGACATGGATTCACTATCAGGTGCTTCAGACAAACCCTCGGTTACAAAGAATTCACTTTTTATTCGTTTTTCTATGTTCTGTTTACATTTTTGCGATTTTTTTTCATTTCTTGGCCACGTTACTTGCCATTACACAATTATGTAATAAAGTAGAAATTCAAGTACGTGGAAGTTAATTTTATTAATGACACCGTAATTACATCACCATATTAATCAACTCTTAAATTATGTATCATAATTACTCATTCAATGATTAATTTTTCATGACCTAACAAACTAAACAATTAATAAATGAAAAAAAAACAAATACAACAGAGAATCAATTATGACCTCTATTGATACATTGCTATATAATAAAAATAAAATAATTATTACAATATTTCAAATATCTCAATACAAATACAACCAAAAAATGAGGAACAAAAAATATGTTTCTTCCATGTCTAATTTCGAAAAATTAATTAATATTATGCGAGCCGATATCGTATGTACACACAAGCCCGGATAAATCTTATAATGAGACAAACTATACATACTAGCAATTTAATCGTTAAATACTGCGGATTAATCAAGCGACGCAACGCGCGCGCCCGGGCTCGAAAACGAGGCGGGGTCAGCGCAAAAACAATAAGAAGCTATCTTTCGATACACATAATAAAGCTAAGAAAATATACTTTAAAAATGATTTACAACCTCATATAACCTAACAAAATGTTTGCAGTTCATATAACATTTTTCGCACTGCATTCAATGAGAGAAGAGACTGTTAATATCGGGCACACATAGGGATCGGCAGCGGGCTTCGGGATGATACATATACACACGGGACCGGGAGATAAGAGTACGCGGTATAAGAGGGGATTGTTAGAGCGTTTATTCGCCCGCCAGTTCCTTGAGTCGTTCTTCCCTCGGCCGGGCGCCGCCGAATATCGAGTGCGCCTGACTGGTCGACGCCAGTGAGTTCACAGGCTCTTTAACAGTCCGTGGCTCAAGCTTCAACTTCGGTCTGCCTGATGTGTCTGGAAAAGAAATAGTTAGGGAGCTGAGCACGGGACCACCACGTGATCTGTTCTTCGAATCTAACACTACTCCTAGCTCACTACAATCAATTACTCTCTCGACTTCAAGCTACAGTCTAACTACTATTATACAATGCAAATTTCTACTACTAATAATACATTATTTTCAATATATTAATATAATCTATATCATCTGTATTCAAGAAGGTCATACAGCCTTGAATAACATATTTCTGTTTAGAAATTTAAATCTGTATTAGTTAAGTATTGTAGAAAATATTCTGAACTGTCGCAAACAAGTTAAACACAACAACAAAAAAGGAGTGTCATGCAATACAATACAACTTCACACAACTACATCGACGAAAAAAGTTCCTTATGAGTGTATCATTACTAATATCGATATCTGCACCGCGTACAGATCACTTTAAAACATACCCGAGCTCCCTAACCAGAATACACTAATTAGAAACACATAAAGTAAAACAACAACATCAAAAATTTCATGCAATTACATATTATTTAATGTAACTGTTTGACTAGGAACTCGACTAGCTCGTCGCATTAAGTGACTTGAAACTAGTCGAGTAAATCGTCAAACAGTTGCGTGAGAGAGAACGTTAAAGATAATTCAATGCAATAATAAAATACATGAAATGTATAATAACTCTCGACAGATGGGACACATTTCATGCATTTATTTATCCACCTCTATAATTGTACTTTTATCTAAAGAAAAAGACGTTAAATTGAGAATTAAACCTAATTATTTTATAAAACATCACATCAATGTCTGATAAGCAGTAAATGAAATAAAGGTACAATTATTTGAGTAAGAAAAATATTGTTTTCAACTCAAATAGTAATAAACTAGCAAGCATGTATTGCAACTACAATTACAATTACAAGTAGATATTTAACTAAGAAGTGGATTAGTTATTTGGCAATGAAAAAGTTTTGGCTCTAATGGGCTTCTCCTACAATGGTCACAAAACTGGCTTTAGAGTTCTATTTTATTTTATTTTTACTCTACCACCAACTGTTTATAATACCAGTGCCCATTTTTTAACATATGGTGGTGACATCACCAAATAAAATACCTCTTACAGTTGGGTTGACCTAGCATATTAAGTTTGGTATTGCATTATAATATTGAGTTATGCATGCAATCCTGATATTATTTGAAGACTTGTAAGCACAATAAACACTGGGTATTTTAACTATTATCAGAGTTACAGATATAAAACATTTTAATGTCAACATATAAACATGCAGAAACACCAATTATTTGGGATCATAAAGAGTCTAAATACTTTCAGCGATACAAAAAGTAATGTATGCGGAATTTTATAAATGAAATATTTCCATGTAACGTTCTAATAGCCAAGTGTGTCAGTTTTGGAAATAATTCCATTATGTAAAATGACTGTGAAGATTTCAGGTGTGACTGTTTAATTACTACCAATAACTGCCTAATTTTTGGCAGTTATTCTATGTTCTAGTAAATATGCAAGGAGTCTGTAGTACCTGGACGTGAAGGCGGCATGTCTTCGAAGTTTCTACGCGCCGGGGGCTGACGCGGCGCAGGTGCAGCGGAGCGGCCCATGCGGCCCCAGTCGCCGGGGCGCGGTTCTTCGCTGGCACCGCGGGACGACCGACCGCCGTCTCGGTCGCCACGTTCGGCCCATCGCTCGCCACCGCCGCCACCACCACCACCGCCAGCGCCACCGCCGCCTCCTCGCTCACGGTCTGCAATCATTCATTTACACCAATAAAAATAAAAGTACATTTAAAAAACAATTTTTCATACAGAATGTGACTCAAGTTAGCCGGTTCACTTATGACATAATAAGTGTATATGAAATTATAAGTAATGTAGAGGCGTATTGTTACAAAATTCGTCTATGTTGTGAAGTAATCTTGAATTTTGTAACTGTGCTTCAGAAAAATTCAATTAAAACCCAATGCAATGTTTCAGCAAATATTTCAGATATCCAGTACCTCATTAAAAGTTTGTTACAGGAGAGTTACCTGGTAAAGAACAAACCATTTCCTCATTAAATGAGACTAACACAATGATGATTAATATAACTTTCCACTTGGACATAGCTTGGGATATTTTATGACATCAGGAATATTTACTGAACTGTGAATGGTAATCCACACCTATTAATTTAATATGAGACTGATAGGTTAATTACACAAACATAGTTTCTCTGTGAATTTATATCACCAAAATGCCCAATGAAACCATGAACAAAATCAAAATTATCTCCAAACCACACAAACAAACAATTAATGGAACTTTATGATTAATGAATACTCTTTGCAATAGATCAATATGATTTTACATTATTGGCGTATGTTAGCTAACAAATAAAAACGTGAAAGAATCCAGTGCCTAATGAAGTAATGTTATTCATGGAATTTTCAAACAGTGATATGTTAAAGGAAATTTTTAATTTTGTATGAAATTGTAAACCAAAACCAAACCCTTTAACAAAAGTAATTTACTACCTCTTTGATTACAATATTTCAGTAGGTTTAAATGTATGCTGAGTCTGCAAGTGTTAGTAATGAGTAGATGTTACCATGTGAGAGCCCTCCACCCTGGTGGCGCGGCGCACGGCGGTCGAGCCCATCGAAGTGGTCGTACGTACCGCGGCCGCCGCCGCCGTCCCGCCTGAAGCCGCCGCCGCCTCCCGCCCGGCCACCATCGCGCCCACCGTCCCGGCCGCCGTCTCGCCGGCCACGGTCGAAACCTCCCCTGCGATATCACCGTGTTAATCCAACGTTACGCTACCACCACATCACAGAGTACAAAACAAATTAAATGCTCATGTTATTAACACCACATGCACAATATGTATTCAACCAAACCATAGTTTGATACTAATTAGTACAGTTTTTAACGTCGTAAAACATACTCCAATTAAAAACCTGCATTTTGAATGGTGATAAAACTAAGAGTTAGCACTCTATTCGTTTAGTACTCTGAATGCTACTTTTAGTAGAATTCAGCGGTGATTCTTGCTTGCTTTATGCTGATCATATTCAAAACAATCAATATGATAGCAAGAATAGCCACAGAAGCCTATTAAGTGTAGTCTGGAGGTAAAAGAGTATTTGAGTATTTCTATGGTACCATTATGTAGAACTGAGTAGTGCAGTGTTGGCTATCAGTCAGCTGGCTGTGGTCATATCAAGTATGATTTTCGCATTAGTACAACATATCAAATGTATCATATCTGGATCCTTGTCTGTTATATCGCCCCAACAGTTCTATTGTAGGCGAAATTATATGGGTTTGAAATATTTTTAAAACACACAAACAATATTATGTTAAACCTGTGTATATAAAATAGTTAACAATATTATGTTAAACATTTAAATCATCTAGGTGTTTATTAGAAATAAGTATAAATAACTTTCCCTAGATGGTGTGCTACAAGCTTTCTTGAGTCTTCTTAGTATTTTAATATGGTTTTACAAAACTATTATACATTTAATTATCAATTTGCTAATTACAAACTGTAAACACATCTTTAAATAAAGTCATTAGTAAGGTGTTAAATTATGCCCAAAACAAATAATAATGAAAATTAAATTGAAGTAAACACAAAAAGAAATATAAGTAAATAACTCACCGATCACTTCTTTTTTCTTCAGCGACATCAATTTTAATAAAGTTACCATCTACATTAAGAGCGCCATTCATTTCAATTGCTTTTATCAAATCTTCCAAATATTCAAACTCCACATAGCAGAAGCCTTTAAACAGATCCGTTTCTTTATCCATAACCAACCTCACATTTTTTATTGCCAGATCCTGAAACAACAAATTTTTTATACTCAGGACTAATTGAAATAGAACAAGCTTTTTTTATTATCTGAAAAAATTATAATTTGGATACAATTTTCTTTTAGATACATTTTAGTGTGGAATATATAGACACACAATGTTCAGATAAAAGCTATCTGCAAATTTTTTATTGCATTAGTACTGTTTAGTGTCAAGTTAACCTTGATATGTATGAATCAATCTCTGTTGTGTACAAGAGCATGGCTACTTAAAATTCTGACCTAATAATATACATTGTATGATACTTAGCAAAAAAAATTAAGTAGTTCACAATCCTGATTACATTGATATAGACATTTTACAGATTGAAATGAAAAATATGGGTATATATTAAAGTATTCATTCAAATATAAATAATAAGCTACTTTAATCTACAAAGCAAAATATACATCTATTTGCTAGTACTTGCTAAACTTTTAAGCATGGTATTTTAACATCAATCAGTAGCATGGTAATTTTCGCTTCAGAGAAAAAAAAAAAAGGTTTGTTAGCATTGTTTTTAAATAAAAGCCAGCATTATTTTACCTGGATTCTTGCCCTTTTGTTATTAGCCTTTCCTAAGGGGTATATTACAGAGTAGAATAAAGATTGCGATTGGGAATAGTATTTCGGAACTGTTGCCTCTATTGTGCCCGTAATTGATGACTAATCTCACCATTGTTAACTTTAATAGATAAGTCTAATCCATAATCCTTCAGAGAATGTGTCATCATCTGGACATAGCAATTTAAACATCAATACTTTAAAATTTTATGCAAATTTATTATAATATGTAGGTATGAACTTCCTTCATAATTTTATAGTTACAGTACATTACATAAACTGATAATGTAGGTATATAAGATAAGAACAAATTCCTTATTATTAACAGAATCTTTAATCAACTAATATGTAAATATGCCTATGTACTTAGATAAAAATACTTAATTTTGAGGCAGTAGATTGTATTTCAATATATTAATACTTGCATATAGTTTAAAGTAGAGGCGTAGAGATTTCTATATTGAAATTAAAATTTCAATAGTGTGGTATTTTTAACGGTGACAGTCTATTTATGTTTGTTTTTTGACATGTAAAATATATCAGACCTTGAACAAGGGTGACAAAAAATTTTGTGTTAACAACAAACATTGTTGAACTGCAACTTAAATTCGACAAAGCTGAGGAAGAGTCCTGTATGTATCCTCCTGTATCCTGTATTACTAGCACAAATATCTTTGATACTGCATAAACCCTAAGCATGTAAGTGACGACAATAGTAAGGTTGGTAACTTACCGGAAAAATTCTATTTATGTCACCCTGGATAATTCCAGAGGGCAAATTCCCGACGTAAGCTTTGTATGGAGGTTCCGTGGGTAGGGGGCGGCCACCAAGAGTTCTCCTGCCGCCTCCATAATCCCTGAAACGAGGACCACAATCGTAGAAAATTCATAACCTATAAATAGTTAAACACACACTCCGCGCTTGAAATAAACAATGAAAGACACTTCGTAGCACTAGTTATCATCTTAAAAATAGATATAACTGGACAAACATAAGTAAAAATCCCATTTTTATTCAATGTTATCGGTGAGCAAAAACATGAACATTTCTTCGATATGAAAAGGTATAACACGCAGAATTCGTGAAAATAACCAACAAAAATCTTAAGCACGCACTTTACAACTAAATTAAACAATATTTTTGCAGAATTTTACAATAAATACCTGGGATTAACATCATCGTATCCACTTCGACCTGCCATGTTTAGAAACATGGAATACTAAAGGCGCGCGCATCAAATTCTGGAACCGACGAAGCGATGATTTTTTTAGGGTTGCAACACTAGAATCTAGATTCAAAAACACTAATAATATTATTATTTAATATAATATTATTATTATATTATAATAATAATTATAATTAATTAATTATATTATTAAGCTAAATTAATGTTTTATTGAACTACTATTAAAGCTTGTTAGGTTATTGAAGTATTGATGAAATAATTTGCTTTAGTACTTAATGATACCAAAGCAAGTAATATTTAATAATAAGTGTTAAAATATTTACTAATAGCCCGGATTCCGGAATTTCTGTCTACAAACAGGCGTTAAAAGAGTTTTTTTTTTAATGGGACTCAATGACTATTTATGGATAGTGCTAAATAAATAAATAATGAAAGTTTCATTAAAATCTATTATTTTTCAGTACCTTTTGTACTAAATATTACTCAATTACTCTATTCATTCAGTTTTATTTTGTAGACCTGTATAAGTATATAAACCATCCTATTCTATCTCTTTATTAAAAACTGTATCAATATTCGGTCCGTAGTTTTGACGATTAAATCATACCACAGGGACATTCTGTGCCTTTGTTATACTACATAAGTAGATGATATACCTTTGTGCCTAGAAGTCTGAATCAAATCGAACCAGTGCTTAGCGGTCATTATTATTATTTTTTCATCTGAGTATGTTTCCAAAGTTACAAGGAATCATTGAGTACTTACTGGTTTTTGTTTAAAATTTGAAACAAATTAAATAGCTAAGTAACGACGTCCCTAAGTCCTCATGAGTAAAATTATGTGACTCAGAAGCTATCGAGATAATAACAAAAATAATCATTACTTTTCAACTATTACGAATTGGATCAACATTCTCAAATAAAAAGGTTAAAAATTTTAACCTATTATTCTTTCCTGGTGTTCCTATTCTATTTGATCTATATTTTAAGAAATCAGTGGTTTTAGTTTCTACGTTATTTTGTTTTGTGAGAAGTATTCAAGTAACAAGACATTTCCTTACCTAGGTACCAAATAAAAATATTCCAAGTGTTGCAGCTTGTAATTTGTTATGAACAGTACATGTTAGTAAGAATTAATATTATTTAGTTATTAAAACTAATGCTCACTAACGTGGAGTATATTTTATCTGTGGGCATCTTTTAGTTCGCTGTCATGGTGACAGAAACTATGGTATGACACTCTGACACTGACACTGACAGTAGATGTCACGCGCACGTTCGACTCCGTGATATCGGTGTGTCGCGTAAAATGTGCGGTCTATCATCCCATGTGGTGATTATATTGTTGTGAATTTTGTAATATTGACTGCTTGTATGAAAATGACCGAGGAATCGGATCCAATTAATGTTCAGAAGGACAGCAAAGTAACAGCTTCAGTTCTAGATGCATTTGATCTCCTTAAATCTCCGAAAGATGATGCTAAACTTGTTGGAGGAAGTAAAATAATATCGCGGTTGCACGGCAGTGAGGTTAGTTTCTGGTTATTTTTATTGATGTGTGAATGCTATTAACTAATGGAATCGAAGTTTGTGGCAACTGGACGTTGCATATTACTTATATACTCAACACTCAAATCATAATATTTATGGGTTATTTTGTTTTAGAATGAAAAAGATCTACAGTACGTCCTCAAAAGGCTCGTGAGGAGTTTAGGCGCCAGTGTTCCAGATATGAGAACAGGCTATTTTGCTACTCTGGTGACTTTGTTGACAAACTTTGAACAAGTTACTATTTCACAAATACTAGAGCTCATCAAAAAAGAGCTGCACGCTAATGGATCATCTAAGAGTGTAAGTATACTATATACCTATTTATGATAATGTATAAAAACTAATAAAAAGTCTGTATATTTCGGTCGTATAGTCGGTATATTTGTTCAAAAATCAAAATACTATTGATGTTGTGTAATATTTTGAAATACATGTTTAACACAAAGATCCAGTTGATTTGGTGGTATTCATAGTATCAAGTTGTCTTCTATTTCTTTTCAATGGCATACTACTTCATTGGTGTAGGCTGTAGGGGTTATAAGTGCAATGGCCTGAGGTTCCATTGCTAGTACGGACAGAAATTGTTGAAGCATGGAGTCTGGATATACATGTTATTAATGCTTGGCAATTATTTGTGTACAGGAAGTTGGTGATGTTGCCTTGGGTCAGATTTTAGTCTGTGGTGCAATCTTCAGATCAAAACTGTTTCTGAAATGTACGGCTGAGGAGCAGGCTCAAGTAATTCAGCTGTTGATTACTGCTGGCAAAAAGAAGTCTTATCTGAGCTCTGTGGCTTACCTTATACTTCTTGATTTCATTAAAACTGTAAGTATTACATTTTATTTTGAGTAGACAATAATGAGTTTGGTTTCTAATGGCTTGTTGCAAGATGGTAACACTGCTTACCATCAGGCAAGCAATAAGACTGTAATAATATTAAGAAATGCATATATACTCATTTTATAAGTAGGTACACTGTTTTTTTTCAACACAAATGTTTGTTACAACTAATTTATTTTTAAATTTAATATTATTTCTAGTTGAATGAAGATCAGTTTGCCACAATAATATGGCCTCAAATAAAACAAGAATTCAAGAAGGACATCAAAGAGCACTCTCTGGATTCCCTCCACTTTCTAATGATGGTCAACTCAAAGTTTCCTACCAAAGTAAAGCTGAGGAAGCTGCTTGGGGTCACACAAATTCTTTGTGAAGATAACATTGACGCCATTTGCGAAAAAATTATGGTAAGAACTGAAAATTTGCTATTTTATACTTTTGATTTCTTTGTGCAGTTATAGATTCAATGTTTTATCTTAGTAAATTACTTTTTACATAGAATATTATATTTTTCTACAATTACAGACTGGAATAGATTTCAACTCAGTTGGTCATCCCATCTACAAGGAAATAGCTACTGGCATTGCAAACTCTCCATATTTGCAACAGTTCTGGGTAACAGGAATTGATAGTCAGCTTGCAAAGCATAACAGAAACAGAGAGCTTGTTGCAATAAACATGCTGAACATAATTCTTAATAACATTGGTGATAATGTTAATATCATACCGGAACTAATAAGCAGGAATTTCTTCAAACTGTTCATGGATTGGTTTAAAGGACTCCAAACTGCAAGCAAGATCAGGAGCAAAAGAGACAATGAAGATGACAACAAAATAATGATTAAAAAACAAAGAGAACTCCTTATTTCACTATCTAAAGCACTCAAATCAGATAAGGTTGATGACAGCATTAGAGTAGAAATACTCAAAAAACTGCTCTTCACTCCCGGAGAAATGAATTTCACAGAAATATCAGGCACCACAATTGTAAAGTCTATAATATCAGATTTAAAAGAAGATGGTGTGAAGAAGATGGCTAAATCACTGAAGGGTGTAATTCTAAATACCTCTAAGAAGGTAATTAAAGAAGATGTTGAGAGGAATTGGTATAACAATGAGAGAGTGAAGGCAGCTGAACTGATTTCGTATCTTGTATCCCATGAAGCTGTCAAAGATGATACAGAATTTAAGCTTGTCTATATGAAACTGCTCATGTGTTTTGGTTTCTTTAAAGTTGGGGGAGAGGAGACTGTGGCAGTCAGCACTGAGTTATCTGGTAAATAAAATATTCAATAATTTAAAGCATATTTACACAAGTTTATTTGCATACTAATAACATTTTATTGGTTTCCAGCATCCATCAAGTCCTGTTTCTACCGGTGCTTCACATCGCGCTTCTCTAATGTTGACAACTTAGTCACAGTTCTGGCATCTCTGTGTAATTTCATTTGTAACATATTACAAAAAGAACAAGTAAGAGCAAAGGTAGAGAAACAATTCCCTCAAGAAAACATGGAATGCTGGGAAATGTTGATGGAAGTTTGTCAGAATATAGAACAGAATGATACCAAGTCAAAAGTTGATAAAGTGTTCCTTATCTTGCTCTACCAACTTGGATTATTCTTATTCTCAGAACCTGTTCACGTCAAAATAGCTCGAAGTTCCATCAAGGAATTAAAGAGTTGCTATGAACATTATAGAAAAGGCAAGAAAAAGAAATCTATAAAAGCAAAAGAAGGAGATATATCCATTGAACCAGAATGGATTGAGGTATTAGTTGAGGTTCTGTTGTCCATATTGTCAGCTGAATCTAGTGTTCTCAGATCTGTAGTACAATGTGTATTCAGATTACTGTGGGAATATTTGACCCCTTCATCTGTAGGACAGATAGTATCAGTCCTGGATCCTGAGAGTGAATCTAATCCACTAACTAATGAGGACTCTGACTCCGAAAATGAAGAAGATGATGATGAAGTTGAAGAAAATGGTAAAGACAGTGATGAGGAAAATCAAGACGATGAGGATAGCGACAGCGATGATGCCGAAGACGATGATGATGCTGACGATGAAGAAATGCGAACTCCCGAGCAGTTGAGACTGGCTGTGCAGAAAGCTTTAGGCGCTGCAGCCCCAGAGTCCGACACTGAAAGTGTTGACGCAGATATGATCGACGAAGAGGAGGGCAAAAAACTCGACGAAGCATTAGCAGAGGCCTTCAAACAATTCCACCAAGGAAAGGGTAAAAAATCTAAGAAAGATCGTAAAGACAAAAAGGCCTTGTCAGACTTCAGAATCAGAGTTCTCGACCTTATTGATATTTACTTAGAAAAGGATCCGTCAATGGACATCTGTCTCGGAATGATCGCGCCTCTGACGAGATGCTTGGAGTTTTGCATCCAAGATGGTCAATTTAATGAATTGGAGAATAGAGTTAGGAAAACTGTCAAAGCCCTCGCAAAAATTCGAAAGTTCTCCTCAGTTGATGATATTGACATGAATGTCCTATGTGACCATCTAAAAGCCACAATAGACAAGGGCGCCAGAAGTCACTTTTTGTTCCAGGCTCTGGGTGACATAATAACATTTTTCGCAACATTCATTATTCACTGTTCATTAAAAATTGAAACTAAGGCCCCCAAATCACCGAAGAAAAAAAAATCTGTCTCACCAATAATCGAAATTTTGAAGGAATCAACTCAAAGCTATTTCCAGAATCGTAATTGTGTTCTGCCGATAATATTCTTTCATAATGTCTTGCAGACAGAATGGACTGGTAGCTATGAACTTGTGCCAATAATTATAGAAAATGTTTTCAATAATAATGTTAGGCATTTCCGACGCAATGAGGGGTTAGAGTTGATTGCTGGATTCTACCGTGGATTAAAAAGAAATAAACCTACATCTGAGATAGCTCTCAAAGCCCTGTTTAGCTTGGAAGCTAGTTTTGAAGAGACTTTAACAAAATCCCTAAGTTCTGATGCTGAGTGTGCAGTAAAGAATAACTTTTTCGTTACATTGAAAAAGCTAATAAATACAATGAGACAGTTCCATGAAAGTTGCCATGTTGAAACAAAGTTGGATTTTAATAAATTATTGGAGATTGTAGGGTCATGTAAACCTGGTTTAAAAACCAATATGAAGAGGGAAGCACAAGAAAACCATAATCAACAGAATAATAAAAGTAAATCGAAAAAGAATAAAAAAAAGAAGAGGAAATTTGATCAGATAAATGGTAATGCTGAACCACAACAAAAGAAACAAAAAGTCAGTGAAAGTGAATAATTTTAACTAAGTTATACTTAAGTTTGAATTTTATAATAAACATAACAGACTAAGAAGTTTTTGTATTATTCCACAAATGTATCCTTTATTTTTATCTCTGACCTGACTTGATCAGAAACTAATAGTGATTGATGTGTAAGAATTATAAAATTAACATTCCTGCAATGATAAGATACCTATTCATTCAGGCTTCTCATCTTAATAAAACTTACACTATTACCATAACCTAGTTATTCTAAAATCATTTTTATTATCTTTTAATTCAATACTCTGATGTCTACATGTTGCCGAAGTGGGTAAAGTCGCCAACAAACACCTAGTATATTATTAATATCTGAATGACTAAGATTGTAAGCTGAAGGCGGCAGATATTTTTAAATAGAGCTGGATTTGTACTTTTCATACATTTGGCCAATAGATGGCACTACGAGAATCCGGTGAGTGTTGCTATTTAATAAATTTGAAAGCTATAAAAGTTTATCTAAATAGAATTTGTGTATTTTCAAAGGACACATTTAGTGAAAGAATCTAATAACCAATGAAAGTTAAAAGATATGGGCTAATTTTGTTGAAGAAAATTTACCAAAGCCAGTATTAGTAATCATGTGATAATTGAATTGAAGTTTTTATGGTATTCAATCAAATTATAATTTGTGGTACATAATCAAAATGTAATAATATGTGTTAGGGATATCAATAAACATTAAAATGTTATTTTAACAAAATCCACAATTCCAACTTTTTAATTTTAATTTAATGGCAACATTAACCGGAAACAAGCAGTAACTCATATGTTTCAATGTTTCACAACCTGCTCAAAACTCAGACAGCCATCTTTTGTGGAAAAATCATTTGTTTCGTGTCGTCAGGGTAAATTTCGCAATTGTAATTAATGTCAGAGCCACAGTCTTCGCTTTTATTGAAAAAGCAGCTAGCTGGTAAGTGCGTCGTTCAAATATGATATAAATTTCTGGTGATGTCTCTCGTTAGATACGTCAGACTCGTTATTCGAGCATTCATTGACCTCAGCGGGTCGAATTTTGAGTATCTTTGTGATTCGGATGATTCTGTAAGTTCAAGACTTCCTTTGTATTTCAAACGTGATATTTTTTATGATTGTTCATAAAATGGACTCAATTTCGTAAAATCAATATTCGCAAGAATGACAGGTGTTCTCGTGCCAAAGTCAAATGAGTAAAATAACTATTTACAAGTATATTTACGGGTCACAGTTGGCAGACTTTTGCGTTTCTTACTAATAATGTTGTGTAAATGTGTTAAGAATTAATTAATAATGTTTAGTATACAGAAGTACCCATTCATTGATTTCAGAACTGAACAAAAATCCAGTAGAAGGCTTTTCTGCTGGGTTGATAGATGACAATGACATATACAGATGGGAAGTCCTCATCATTGGTCCTCCAGACACGTTATAGTAAGTAGCAGGAATTCATATACTCAATGAATCATCAAACAATTTTATTATAAGTGTTTTTTTTAAAGTTAACCTCTCATAGTTGTTTTCTGAATACAATATCTAAGACATTCACATGACTAAGTAGTCTTAAGAAAGATGGCTATTATCTTGGTTATATCCAAGGAATTGTGAATAATAGTTAAATTGCCTCTCATAATAAGCTTAAAATTATATTGATTTTTACTTGTCCATTGTCTACTATGATATGATTTCTGTTGTGTTTTTTGAATACCAGAAATAGTAAGTAACATTCAATTCAATTTTGTCAATTTCCAGCGAGGGTGGATTCTTCAAAGCACACTTACATTTTCCTAAAGAATATCCTCTAAGGCCACCGCGGATGAAATTTGTCACTGAAATATGGCATCCAAATAGTGAGTATTGCTTAAATGTCATTGTTTTACTGATAGGAACCCAGTGCTAACTAAAGCTTCTGTAATAAAAGTAAAATCCTCATCATCTGTCTACAATGTTTTATTGGAAGTTATTGTCAGACTGATAAAAACAATAAAATAATTAATACTTAGATGAACCCATAATTAGAAACACAATTTTACAAATCCTGTTAAAAGCTATCAGGTTTATCTTTTTCATAGACGCTGTTACTGACACTTTTTACTTTGATATTACAGGGTATGAAAAAATAATGTAACTTTCAATACTATACTTAGGCAGTTGAAATTTAAGTACTTGATGCTGCACTGACTTACTACCTGGTCAGTAAACATATCTGTTTTAAACATTTTCAGTTGAAAAGAATGGTGATGTTTGCATATCAATATTACATGAACCTGGTGATGACAAGTGGGGCTATGAGAAAGCCTCCGAGCGGTGGTTGCCAGTGCACACAGTTGAGACCATTCTTATAAGTGTTATTTCCATGCTGGCAGACCCTAATGATGAGAGCCCTGCCAATGTTGATGCTGCGGTGAGTGAAGTGATGTCAATTTCTTTATTATTCAGCTATGTTGCATGGTATATGTAATCTCTTTTGTGATATTAGTTTACTTGATAGAAGCAAGGGATGCTATTATACCTATTTTTGACAAACTATTTTGTTAGTGTTAGAACTTAACATAGTAGGTAGATACAGCTATTCTATGCTAGTCATTTTTATCTTCAAAGTAATAAAAATTTTTAGTAAAGTAACATTCTGAAGTATATTTTAATATATTTGATAAATTTGTCGATTTTGGTCTTGGTGGACTGTAAAGTTTTTCAGAATTGCTGTCTCATAGATTTATTTTCATTTCAAATAAGCTGACTCTCTTTTGGAATTCCATGTCTGATTTTCAAGAAGGTGAAGGTGAACCTCTTGACCCTCACCAGTTGTCTAGTATTAGCTACTAGAAATAGTGCATTTTAATGCAAGAGGCACCAACCTATATTGTGTTGTTCAAATACTGAATTAATGCTTGATATTGTACCTGTAATAATTGGAAAATTCAGTTTTGTTTCTTAGCAATAAGTATTTTATTAGAGACAAAGTAGCATGGTATTATAAATGATGTATGTGTTGAAGCCTGTACCTTTACTGTTGCTATGCTAGAAACATTCAATAGATTTCATACTTGTCTGTGTGTAGTGTTTGTATAGCTGTTTTTGTCTAATATTAATATTGAAGTTACTTTACAGGAGACTTCTAGTGTGCCTTTCTTTGTCTGCATCTGTTATTATTACCATTCTCATTTAACTATTGTTTGCATTCACAGAAAGAATGGAGAGAGCGATATTCGGATTTCAAAAAGAAAGTTGCGAGATGTGTTAGGAAAAGTCAAGAAGATTGTTTTTAGGAGAGTGAGGGGAACTAGATCACAATATGTTATCATTGGAGAAGGGCCACATGTGACAACCATACCAAAAGCATACCACATTGAATAATTTTCACGCTAGGTCGCTGCACGCACCAACCAGTTTTTACTCAGTCAAGACCCGCATACGCCTTTAGTAGATGAGTGCTCATTCTGTTTCTTTTTACAGAAAGAATGGAGAGAATCATATTCGGAGTTTAAAAGGAAAGTAGCACAGTGTGTGAGAAAGAGCCAAGAGGATTGTTCCTAAGTAACAGTGCCCTTTTTCATTAATTTAGTTGGATAGTGAGTGTTTGGTGATGCAGTTAGGACGTTGTTGAGAGCAGGCCCCGGCGTGACTCATAGTGCGGGCCCACCCACCCGGGCCAGAGACAATATTGAAATTGATTTAAAATAAATACTTATTGTAATTAAAAGGTATCGCTGCCGTATTTTATAAATAATAAATTAAAATAGAATCCAAGGTCTTTTTCATCTTTTTTAAGACATGTTAGCTAGCTATTGTTATAATAATGAAATATGTATGGTAATTTTTATAGAAAAACAAATCTGCATTTTGTTGTCTTTACTTCCTAATATGACTACAAGTTTGATCTCTGTATAGTAGAAACCAAATCTGAAGTAATTTAAAACAACGGTTATTTATTACGTATCGCAACTTATTTTATTGTAAAAATATAAACAAACATGCAATACTTAAAACATGTCAAAATTTATAAAAAATGTAAAATGAGCTACCAAACTTAAAATTTGCATGATGATTAGTTACCGATTTGATGCAATGCAATACTAATTGTGTTATTGGTAGCCTAATAATGTCGCTTCTCTGAATTACAATTTTATTCTAGTGCTAATTTTAGTAGTTTTAATACTTAATTATAATTTTTACTGAATAAATATAACTTTTGTAAACTTATAATTGTATCGATTCTACCTTGCCCTCCATGCACATATGAATAAAGCACAGGTTGACAAAATAGGAGCTATCAAACTATCGCAAAGCGGTTGTGTGGCAAGCTACTTCACTTAACACTTACAAACTTTGCTCAACTTTGGATCTAGGCAAGATTTGTTAAAACTGTCTGATATCTTTTTAGTTTTGTACATTAGTTCTCAATATTGTCAATTATGTTTTTGTGTACAATTCAAAAACAAGCTTTGTTACCATTTTGGATGTGAAAATTAATATAGTTATAAAGATGATAAATGAAAACCCCTCATATTCGCTCGTATATCATCGAACATTGATTTGTAATGTGTGTATAATACTTTTCCCTGTGTATGTATATTTTTTGCTATAAAATCATAATGCAGTGATTACGTGATTTAATTTGAAACACCCAATATCTCTATCCCTCTCATGCTTAAGTTAATAAAGTAATAAAAACAACTTTTTAACTTTGGTAAAATGGAATTTCTATTTATTCTTATCAAGATATACAATGGTCTGCATGTCATTCACTGTCTGAATTCTCTGCTAATACTGCACCTTGAATACTTCTTGGATCAAACGTACTTTCAAAACACCTTTTGAATACAGACTTTATCATAGTTCTGGCAGCAGGCGAAGCAGGGATATTATCACAGTCCATTAGATCATTCACAGTCTTATCTTTGTTTATGCTATGATTACCATTTAATTTATTACTTAAAATTATTTCATTATCACCTGGTATATCTACAAAATTAAATAAATGAGAATCTTCATCTAAACATTTTGATATATCTGTTTCTAGATGTGGCTTTTTCTTAGCAGAACCTTGTGAGCCACTAGTGTCTTTTCGTTTGTTCCTTTCAACATTAGTATTCTGTGTTGTTGTAGTTTGAGATGCATTATCAGGTTTGGTTGTAGCTAATACAAAATGTGCTTCAAATGTAGTGCCATTGTGTACAATGAAAACTGCAGGTCTGCCCGTAGTTTCAAAATGTAGTTGTAGAGGCAAATTGAGAGCCTCAGAGAATGTGAGCAATGCTCTGAATTCCTTTAGTGAGAATGTAATGACTGTTTCTGTTCCTATCATGTAGCTGTCAAATTCTGCAGGCTTCAAGCTAATCTGTGTTCTAATAATTTTTGTCAGATCTGCTGCTGTGTCAATGTAGTTTCGTAATATAAGAGACATTGATGTTGCTTCAAGAGTTACTTGGTCATCTGAGCTTTGGAAGTTGTTTAGGGCATCTGAAAGTATTCTCTGTGGTGAGGTAATCCTGAAAAGTTAACCAAATTTATTAATTTGACTTTATTTAGAATAATTTGTTGTTACAGTATTATTAATTAAACTCAAGTTCTGTCGTTATCAACTAACCTGTTTGGTACAGCATCTTTTGTATAAACTGCCTGCATTGCTTTACAGTCTAAAATCGATACAAAATGTGTTTTGACAATGCCATGTCTGCACTTCAACTGGAATATTAACTTACAGGAATCAGGGTCTAGTTTTATTTCTAGATTCTCAACCTGCTTGTCTATGTGTGTAGGAGACTTGAATGTATTTAGCGCCGATTTCATGGATATTTTACACTTCAATCCCTCATTATCTTCGGTGGAATAATAGTTGTAGTTAAAGTAAGAGAAGAAGTTTTTATTAAATTTTACCATAGCATATGCAGATTCAGCTGCATTTAAAGTTCTCAATAGTATACAGTCAGGAAGAGATTCAAGGTAGAGTTCATCACCAAATCTTGCAAGAGCGTGAACAGTTCTAGCTAAAACTAAAAGAATATTCGAATTATTAATTTGGCACGAACAATTGTTTATTTTATTATATAGGTTATGGTTTACGCACAAAACTTCAATTTTGTACATGTTTGTTAAATACTTGCCTTTTACATTAGGACCTGGTACATGACATTTCATTTTGTATTATCAACAAGCTTAGAATTAATTTATTATACTTCAACAAGTAGTGCAGTTAGAAATCAAAATCAATACCTAGCAATATTGTTGAAATGACATTCACATGACGTAAATGACTGACATTTTGATGTTGACATAAAATGTGATTGGTCAGATGCAGCGCATAGACACTAGTATTTTGATTATTTCTTTTTATTGTCACTGTCAGTGTCAATTCAGAAAAAATCCGTAATGCCGTAATCACATTCAATCAGTATGTCAGTATGTCTATGTAAATGGTGTAGTGAAGACGTCTCGTTGGTTGAATGAAAAACACCGCGAGAACAAGTTCGATTAGTATATATAAAGAAAAAGTTGTTACATCAAATATATATTCAAGTGACAATTTGAAGAAAACATGCCTTCGAGCGGTAAGTTATGAAACTTGCAGCAAAGTTATATTGATTAGACAGAGAGTGTTACTGTGTGCTAAAATCACAGTTATGTATTTATTATTGCTATGTAGGTAGCGTCTGCGTGTAAGCAGGTTTGTTCAGATTTCTACATGATGCTATTATAATAATTCTCGGGTAATCTGTTTTTCTTTTTGTTGGAAATTTAGAAACTATATATACCGCCGTAAATAAGTTACTGTTAGGCTACATCATTTAGGTCAACATATATGGACCACGTTGTAAGACAATTTGTGTACGAACGGAATAGATGGAACCCCTAATCTTTTATAATAAATTTATATTATCCCATTTGTACATTCTTCTCTCCTGTAGCGCAGTAAGTAGGTACTATACCTACATGGCACATCATTCGAAGCTCATACTTACGTTTTGAATCGAAATACGATAGCTGAACTGGATTTCCTATAGTATTTAAGTTGACTAATCTGACTGGGTTATATGGAGTGGCAAATATTTTAAGAGTTAAAACGTAGAGCTTAACCTGCTGGTACCAAATATTAAATATTAAAAAACGACCTACCTACATTTTCTTAGTTTAAATAATCAATGTTGTTTTACCAAAGCAAGTAACTACTTGTAGGCAATATTTCTAATATTTTTTCATCATGTTTACTAAAAATATTAGTACCTACGTAAGTTAAATATACGTTTTTATCGTCCTGCGTTTTGCACCGCGATGTAATTTACCCACCGTTAAGTATGTTTGTACTGATGATAAAACCATAAAAAAACACGAATAACTTGTTTTTTGTCCAACAAACTGTATTTTATATCCTACGCTAACTTTTCAATGTTTTTAATTTCGTAATATTTTTTATCTTAATTTCCCATCGCAATGATCACAATTAATTTATAATTCATTTACTTAGTTATAAAATTAGCTAAAACAATAAAATTTACATGTTCAATATACAGGCCACGTTTTATAAAAAATATTTTTTGAAATCGTGTTCGTTCTTTAAGAATTCGAAGTTCTCTATGGTTGCGTTAGAGACGTGCCAAGCCATGATGAGTTTGCATGACCCATCTTTTTCTACACAGTACTCAAGTGGCAAGGTTGATGCAGCTGAACTTTTGTGAGGATAGAAACTGTACTCGGACAATATTCTCACACCGCATTCCAGGTAGTTATCTCCTAGGCTCCTGATGATACCTGTAATTAATAAAGATGTTTATAAGGAAGCAAGAATGAAAAGTAAAACCTTCTTGAACGAGGAATAAATCTTTTAAATGCTACGGTTCTAAGAGGAGTCTTTTACCCGATTTGCATTTTATGATAACCAAAAATGTCATCAAATATTTTTTCCGACCTTGAATTTAACCTTAAATAACAAGACAAAATACCGTACATATTTTGCATTTATGCCATATCAAAAAACACATCAACAACCTACTTACAAATGAACGTCGTAATAACAAGTTTATAATCTTGTTTTTGTTAGCGGAACAGCTATGGCAAAATCGGACGCAACAAAAAATTGCTAAATCACAAAAAGAGACGGAATGAATAAATAAGTATATGTCATGAGTAAACCTCTTTTAAACGTACTTGCTAAATACTAGCAAATTAAAGTTAATATGAATTAGAAAAGGTGATACTGCTTAATTTGCAATAAAATATACAACCTAAGCTCGGCTGTCAAAGCTAAATGGACCGTCCTTTTCAAAATTCACAACCGATAAAGTTTTCCAAGTTTTTGTTGCGTATAGAATGTTATAAGAACTTTTCCCGCCCATTAAATACTCTTCAACAACATAAAAGTTCAAATTGGTGCAGCCATACTCGAAATAGCTGTTAGCAACTCATTTAGTACTTAGATATTTATTTAAATATATATAAAATAAATTAAAAATAAAATGTAAATATAAGTAGGTAGGTACATTTAAAATGTCTGTAATCGGCCTTCATGTTTGTCCGTCCTTTATATAGATATAAGTATAAAACAACTATGAATCGCAATAAAAATGGCTGTGGGTAATAATCGTACCAACCTAAATTTTTAGCATGATGATATCACAATTTTTATTTATTTTGTTCTTGTTATATAGGTACGCAAAAGTGTCATTTACCTTTTCTGTTTTGTTATCAGGCACTTTGATTATTTTTTATTCACTCATTTGTACATTTAGAAGAATCCGTAGCAAATTTTATATCTTTTCCACCTTATTTCTTTATGTAATATAAAATCTCTTTATAACTCTAGTTCTGTTACCTATTTTGAACAGATTTTGCATAATTAGTTAATAACTGGTAGCATAGCAGCAGAGCGACGGTATTACTTAGCAGATGCATAGATAAACCTCGTCGTTATTAATAAAATTAGTACCTTCAAGTATCTATAAGTAAGTGCCTTTTTTAAATAGGAGGTAAACGACCAGACTCTTTACCTGACGGTAAGGGATCAGCGCCGTATGGATGGACACCAAGATTTAGTTCTCCATTTAAAATTAATGATATAAAAATACTTATGACATTTAGTCTAATCTAGTTAAGGCTCTGATTCGAGGCTAAGATATGAGTATTTAGGTAGGTACTTTTTAAGTTAAAACAGCCTGTCTCTGCTTGGCACGCGTGTCCAAATACCAGTAGGCCTACCATGGCGTGTTAAATCGTGAATCTTCCGGGCGGGAAAGAGGGATAGATATATAAAAGGTGTGCTCCATCTGTCTTTCTCCCCCGGAATACGGACGCTTTAACACGTCATGGTAGGCCCTCAGACAGACCTACGTCGATTGGTTCGTTATTCCCCAATTTTTACCTAGGTATACTTTTCTAAAATATTCTTTCCTAATCATAAGAATCTTAACATGAATCTTAAAATGAATAACAATAACAAGAGTAACAAAGGAGATTTGACAAAATTGGTCTTGTTGCGCAGGCGTTTTTATTTGCTTACCATTTTGCGATTCATTTTTAGTCTAACATTTTAAATGAAGTGGTAGCTTCGTTTTACACGTATTATCTTTTTAAAAATAACAGTACTTTGGTACTGTATAAAAAAACCTATTATTATCTAGAGCGAGGCGAGACTTTCTAAAAATTTAAACTAAACTATAAATACTTTCATGTCGTTGAACAGCCGTCTTATTAGTTACCTACATTAAGAATTTAAGACCCTGAAGGCGTACACTAAATATTGTTTTAGGTTTTAAATATCTTAAAACAAATACACGCAATTGTTTAGTCTTGCAGCGTCTAATGCATGATTTGGTATCTTTGATCCTTATTGCAGTAAATAAATACAGCGTTTATAAAGTTTCTGTGTAAAAAAATAATACTTCACATACGGACATTATTAACCTTAAATTTTACCAGAAATATCATATTTTACCTCTCACAAATTCATATTCATAGAATCGGATTGCGGATGCTTTAGAAAATAATTTCGTGAATACCTGTAATGAGCTTTCTGGTTTGTTGTTGTACCTGTTGGGTTGCCTATCTAAAAAAATAATAAAGTCTTAAAACTTAAGTCAGACATACATTATTTTCAAGTATTTAATCCTTTTTAAAACTCTTATCGATTTTTTACTCATCTTTTTATTTCGTCATTATTGCCTACTTAACAAATAAAAAAATAATATTCATTTCTGTCTCTCAAGGGCATGTCAGATTTAGAATTTAAATGTGGGTAGTACAGAATTCACCTCTATAGCGACGATCCAATCAGTGATATTCGCACTACTAGGGTTGCTCTTAAAACGTCGTAAGTTACCTTAAATTTTCAATAGAAACAGCCAAAAATCAGACACAGCCCTTCAGTTTATGACCAGCATTCGGATTTTTTATGGTACAGGTAGGCAAACGAGCAGCCGGATTACCATTTGATGGTAAGCAATCAAAAGGAGTCACGAGTGCGTTGCCGTCCTTTTAGGCTTAAAGGTTTCGGATACTAAGGGATGGGGGTACACGGCGTCACACGGCGAAACACAACGCTACTTTCGGCTAATGTGAGTGCACGCACAAAATTGCTAAAATAAAATAAAATAATATATTAAAACTCACCATCTTTGCACGTGTCGTTCAAGACGTGCCTCGTCACGCTCATGTAGCGTTCCAAGGTGACGTTGAAAGTTGGCTTCAGACATAGGTACTCGTCTTCAGTGTATTCGGGAGCTCGAACAGTCGGCACTACTTCGTATTTGATCACGGAGTTGAATACACACGGATCTTGCACTGTTGGCACCTGGGGTTTTTGTTAGAAATTAGCACATTGATTGTTATCTGTGATAAACAGAACGCGTTAACAGTCTGCATAAACTCCAAAAAAAAAAAAAAAAAAAGTTAACAGTCTGTGTTATTTTTATTATTTTTTCCAAAGAATGTGTACACACACATGTCTCTTATGGTTTATTTAAAAGGAACAATACAATGTAAATTACGTATGATCGTCGACGCTAACGTGTTAGTGGACCTTTTTTAACTTTCATTAACGTAATTAAAAAATAATTCACACAGAGTAAGTTGAATATTGCCAAAAATCAAAACTTATTTGTCTCGAAAAGAACACAATACAATTTTTCCGTTACTTCGCCGATTTATTTTATTAGATCGATATTTTACTAGAAAGATCTACGACTAAGAAGATCTTCTAGATGTAAATACAAGATTGCACTTATAATTATAATCGTGTTATGGTCAACACACGAGCAACGAATTAATTGCGACGATGTAATTGCTCAATCATTGTAATCACATTATAATGGAGAAGTCATTGCTCCTTTTGTCTCTGTCTATTATAAATATTTTTATCATAAACCTAACTTCATTACGTAAGTGTGGGAAAGCCATGCTTCGGCACGAATGGGTCGGCTCCACCGGAGTGATACCACGGCCTCACAGAAAACCGGCATGAAACAACCACAGCGTTGTGTTTCGCCGTGTGAGTGAGGATACCGGAGGCCCAATTCTTACCCTCCCCCAATCCCTCCTCAATCGCTAAATCTCCAAATCCCTAAAAGGTCGGCAACGCACTCGTAACTCCTCCGTTGCGGGTGTCCATGGGCGGCGCTGATTGCTTACCATCAGGTAATCTGTCTGCTCGTTTGCCGACCTATTACATAAAAAAAACTTATTTTCTTCACCATACATATATATATGTATTATTATGCCTGTTATATTCGAATTGTATAGATATTGGTACTTTATTTGAACCACCTCTACAAGACTATACATGGAGAGTTTTTTTAAACTCGTCAATCTGTTAGTATATAGAGAGTCCAGTGTTGTGTGTTATTTCTGTGTCATCTAATCATGCAACAGCGTACTTGTCAGTTGATAGATAATAATAGGTACTTTATTATAATAATTCAGGTCAAAAGTTCAAAACTAGATTTTCTTAATAGCTTTACTTACTTTTTAACACACAAATATGAACAGAGATTATATCACAAGTTCAAGTTCAAGATCAAATGCATAGATACAAGTTGATACAACGGTGGTTGTTAGTCAGCTACTTTGTTTGGTTTGAATCTATGAGGCTCAAGGTCGTTGAAACTGGATTTTGTAGAGAACAGTACAACTAGCGAGTACGCTTAGCAGAACGCCCAAGGCTAGGTAATGGTGAACAAGAGGTTTTATAAAAAGATTGTGTTGGCACATGCCATTTTAATTGGTAGGTCTTCTGTCTGATATCTGATTTATGATATCTAAGGTTTTTGGGCCATTCTACATTGACCCCTACCACATTGGATAGAATTGTGGATTTATTATATCGTTTGTTATTTCCGGAGTACCTTTACATTACGTCATCCTATTAATTGCGTTATAATGATATGTAATAAAGCAAGAAATATGATTCTTTTTAATGCACAAAATTTTATTTTAACCTTCATTATTGATAAATAGTTATTTTCATTTAGTTTCTTTGCTTAGAGAAATGTCGTTTAGGACAATAGAGCATGCATGTTTATTCGAGATCACTTGAGATAACAGACTCATACGAAATACTACTTCGTTCCTTCTCCTGCTCCTAGCTGGACCGCGTTACCTCTTTCGCCCGCAACCCCGACTGGAGTAGTTTCAATAATTGGAATCGGACCCTTCGTCATTCCCGTGCTTAAGTGAATATTTTCCTCGTCAGAATAAAGAAAATAATTATGTTTAAAAATACCTCTCGCCCTATGCACCTGGGCTCGGAGAATAGTCCATTGAAGAGGTTTGTAGATGAGGCCTGGCTGGGGATAGGGAACTGGATCATCCCGTTGCAGAGCGACCACCGGCCATTGCGAATGATGTAGGAGCGAGGCACCTGACTCATCGTCGATACTGTCAATGTCGATACGCCTGGCCTGTGTCAACAAAACACAAAAGTATTTAATTACCGTCTTATTTTATGAATTGAAATACAATAAGTACAAAGAAAAATGTATAAAACAATTATGTAGATATTTAGACTAAACAAAAAAAAAGACTATAGTAATTATACATATATGTATATATTACAAACTCGTTTACGAAGATCAAATTCTCAGCTCTGAGTCGACGAACATAACACTTGGTAATTTCAAAGCTGTCAATAGCAACTAGATGCTAGTCAATTGGGTAGTTTCCTAGGTCAAAAATAAATTAATTCGACGTTTTAATACAATAAAATATTGAAAAATAACTATACTTTTATTCATCGATCGATCGATACACTAAGTTTTAGATATTTTTTAGCTAATTTTTAAAAAATAAGTAAGCTATTTGACGCGAAAATGCTATGACATCATAATTCAATGTTTCATACAATTTTCATAGAAATGTATCGTTTTTGACATTTGGATAAAAGTATTGAATTTGACTAGTTGGAAACAACCGTATTACCGACAAAAATATATCTCTATCCGAAATTTATTAGTCGTAACGAATATTCGAGTTTTTTTTATATAAATCTAGTTGGAGCTTAGTTCGTTTCGATTTTTAAGTTCGATTTTTGAGTTATATTGGTTATCGTGTATTAAATATGCCTTTTATTATATTTTCCATTAAGGTACATACTCTGTAGGTAACTGAAGAAGTGCACAATGCACACACCTGATTTTCCTTTTAAGAGTCCCAATATTTTTATGTAAATTATGTACAAATTAATCATGGAGGTTTATAAAAGCTGATGACGCGGTAAATGCAAAGGTATCGTCTCATTAAACTAAGCAGTATTTATACCCAATAAATATATGGTTATTTATATATATATCTAATAATATGTGTGTGTAGGTATATACATATACAGGTATATTAATATCCTTATGGATTTTATCATATATTTTATATTTTAGTTCGTTATTTTAGTTTTGTTTTTTTTGTTACTCATTTGTTTTACTTTTTTAGTATTTTTTATGTCACTAACATTTCTCCTATCAAAGGATTGCAGAAAAAAACCAAACAGGAATATGCAGTCCCTATGTACTTCTGTTACTGTATTTGTTTTCCCATTTACTGCAGGTATGGTTATGGTGTTTTTTGTATAAATAATTATTAATTCCTTACATTATTTATTGGATATAAAATTGTTTGTAAGGTTTTAAAAAAGACTAAATTACTAGGTAGGTTTCTATTGTAAGACGGGTTGTTTTAAGGCAATAACTCATGTCAATAACAGTGTAACAATGTTTTTACAGCATTTTTGTAAGTCAGTTCAGTTGTGATTTTTTATTCAGGACTTATTAGTGGCTATTATACTTAATATAAATATTAAGTTTTTAATGTGGATTATAATTTACAAAAACATTAAAAGCGTTTATGTAACTGAAGATGTTTTCATACCCACAATTCGGACCCAAGACTCATTGCAACTTTTTCGAATTTGTTTAACGTTGAGGCGATAGACACTGATTGGTCTACTGTATGTTAACCAACCAATCAGAGTGCTGAATGCGGTAACGTTTAGATTCGCGTTAACGTTAAACTAACTCGCACTTCGAACTCTGTTCAACTTGCGAAGTAACCTTAAAATAGAACGAACAAGGCAGTCTATAAAAAGTCTTAATTTAATTAACTAGCAGTAATTTTGAAAAATTCACATGAATGTATAATATTCTAGATTTTTGTTATCTCTCTATCTAATGTGTAGCAAATGCAAATTATATTATTATTCTTTGTGAATTTTAAATATAAACTATTTAATGTGTTCAGTCAGGTTCCTATTTATAGGTGTTGCCATTATAAAGAACGTTTCTTAATAGTCCGGTACTATGTACTTATTATATATCTCCCACTCGACTTTTTGATACACGCCGGTAACAGCAGCCTTTTCTATTTTTCACACAGCAGATTTTTCTATTTTCCATAAAATTATTTATTGCGACAAGTCCACGGATTCAACCAATTAATTATTATTTTATTTCAGATTTTATGCGTCAGAGAAAAAACGTTAATATGATAGTAATAAATAGAAAAGAAAAATAAATCCTTCTTAATTCGACATTTAATTTTGTATTCTACACGCTCATACTAAACAAACGCTCGAAAAATAATACTTAAGTTTAAGTAAATATTTAAGTTTAAGTGAAGATATAGACGCAAAAAATACGATCAAAAAGTAATACGAGACTAAAATTGTTAAAATCTGCTTTTTCTGGTCCGTTAAAAACAAATTTAGCCTGTATGATGCACAACACAAAATTACAAGGATTATTCGAGTTCGAGGTCTAAAAACGCAAATTCTGTCAATAAATTCGGGGTATGTTTAACTACACATAAATGCACTTGCATTCCTGCAACCGCTGGACCTGATACCTTAAACACTACACAAGTAAAGAAGCCACGTTACCTGCCGTTCGTGATGGCGTCCTTCAGCAAATTCTCACGATTGGCCAAGTCATCAATTTGAGTCTTCAGTGTTTCTGCTAGCACCTTAGCCGAACGCAATGTCTCCTCTAGCTTGATCTTTAGGGTTATAGGAGACAAGTGCGTTGGCACTTTGTCCTCTGCCCTCTTCTCAAAATCTTCCGGATCGGTTTTAAGCATCTTTTCGTCATCGAATCTTCTTGGTACACCTCTTAAAAAACAATCATTAAATAGTTTTATTTCATTGAACAGACCTGCATCATGGTATTTAGTTTAAGTTTCCTTATTTCTTTATTATGACGCTACGATTGCGTATAACCTTATAGCCCCGTTGACACGCTTAGTTGCCGTGGTACTACAAATTCTGCATTTTATATTACTTGCACAGAGTTTCCGTACTTAAAACCTTACCTTAGAAATTACATTTGGGTGTTTAAGCTTCGTTTATAAATAAAATTCTAAGATAAAGTGATTTTATTAAATAAAAATAAGAAATGTCACTCACATGTGTTCTTGGATAGGGCTCATCCATTCTGAAACCTGTTAAATAATAAAGCACAAATATTACAATCAAATAATTATAATGTCATCATTTCATCTTGTCTACCGGTGCAAAGCAGGATAATGGTATTATGTTAATGCCATTTTATGGGAAATATAACATCTCTATAGTTTTAAATACATATTTTTTATACAATTCTCACCCAATCAGAGCTGCTTAGATGTGAAGATAATAAAAATATAAATAACTGAACGAAAATTAGTTCCATGTCGAAAACGTTTCCTTGTGTGGCTTTGGTGTGAGAGTAGACATCAAAATGCACATTGTTCCGGACAATGTTTACAAATGTTCTGATAAGTGCCCACCAATCATGATTGTTCAAAACCATTGTTACCATTATGAATCGCTAATTTTTGGACAAAAAGTTGTACAGGTGGTAAGTAGGTAATATCATTGATATCCAGCGAATCATAATATACGTAAAACTAAGTTTAATATATTTTAAAATCTCTCTAAACCGAGCAGGATTTAAGTAATAACAGTTTAACGTCGCATTGGTCCCATAATACTTCCCTGGGGAAACCCTTAAAATCTAGTAAACCTAGTTTGGTTCAGAATTTAGGTCTAGGAACTGGTACACGTAAAGATGAATTAGGTAATCAATTCTTTTCAGTTCGGGTTGACATATTTTCTGGTGAAAAGTTAAATAAGAAACAAAATCATCTTATATGAAATGTTTTTTTTTTTTTACAGCGGAAGCGTTCGTGGACGCCCTGCTCACGCAGGAAGCGCTAGACCAGCCTTCAGACAAAGTAAAGCCAGAAGAACTGGTGCTAGAACTACCAAAATGGTTCGATGAAGAGAAATTTAACAAGTGAGTATATCCCGGTGATCTACTGGATACTTTATAACTGTTGGAGTTAGTTTAGAGCAAAATTAAGGTTTTTGTTAGTGCGGGCTCAAGCGCAAGGATGTACCATGGCTTGGCTCAAATTGTCGTAATAACGGGGTGGTTTGTAGTCAGTAAGAATGTTAAAATGTCTCTCGCCACACCCGGGTCAGTCGATCAGAAGTTCTTGGATGATTTTCCCCTATATGTATTGCTACCACAATGTAAACAGACGAGACAGAGACAGGTTTCTGTAACAATTATGTACGCTGTCGTGCCTGACGGCAAAATAGGTAGTAAATTATAGTTGGACGACGAGTAGGGTGAGGAAGGGCATTGAGATTGAATTAAATTATTTGAATCCAAAGACAGACTTTGGGTTTTAAGTAATCGGCCAATAATATCTAAGTAAAGTCTTAGACAGATACTTTTAGGTATTTCACAGAGTTTGAGGCAATTTTCCTTATTTGTAAACCGTATATCCTTTATGACATTCGACAAGCTTGGGGATTTATAAAATAAAAGGTAGATGCAAAAGGTAAGAGCGTTGTGAGCTTCGGTTTCCACAAATCCATTGCAACTTTACGGATTAGGTTGATATCCAAATTAAGGTTTTTTTTCTTTTTTAAAGCGATAAGATTTGTGCAAGTCATGGTTATTATTTAAATTGTATTTAATTAGTCATCCTGTGCGAAGTCCACCGTATCAGCCAAACAGAATAATGTAGGATACTTGGCAATACTTGTGACCATACCTTGCTTGTACGTTATGTTAAAGGATTACTTACGCAATTCATGAATCAGCTTCTCCTTACGAAGATTGTACAGATATGCACTCTCTACATAAAGATTAGATTTGTGTTGCTACTGAAATAAAATATTTATTTAGGTGCTATTTTATTTTTATACTAACTAGTTTCGCGCAATTCCGGGACGTTTTATAGCGAGAACATTTTAGCTATCTATCAGTGAAAGAATTTTGGAAATCTGACCACCGGTTCTCAAGATTCCCTGCTACATACAAACTTACTGACCTCTTTATAATATTAGTTATAATTTTATTCTATAATATTTCTCATGAGGCATGTTAAATTAATTAATTAGGTTTAACGGCTTACCCACTTTCTAGTTGAGAGCCTCGACTACTTTCAATCTACGCTGGGGACTCATATTAGTGCAACAGCTTTGCGCATTGCGGCGAACGACACCTATACGAACTATTTTATTGTTCGACAAATTATATTAGTAAAGGTGTTTATTTATGAGCCGTAAACACAACAGAGGGGTATGAAATATTAAAAACAGATTCATGATTCATTGTTCAGAATCTTTCATCTAAATATTTTTCAAGATTTATTAGTCTATGTTTAAACCATTGAGTCAGGTTTTGAATTTTAATCTTATGCTCACCTTCCTTCTTTTTGAAATACAAAAACTGGCTCAAATGTTCAGTAGGCCTGTCTTCCTGGTGAGAAAGAGGGATGGAGCTATAAATGGTGTATAGCTCCATCCCTCTTTCTCGCCCAGAAGACTGACGCTTTAACACGTCATGGTTCCCTCAGACCTAGACTAAAGATAAACTTTGTTTTGTAATAAGAACGTTTAAGTTCACAATTTTAGGTATGTCAACTTGACTTGCTTGAACTTGCTTCATCTAGTTTTTCACATATAAATTGACGTGTAATATGCCGTTTTATGGCTAATTTGCAAAAATAAATTCATAGTTTCATTGAAATGTGGAAGAACTAAGTTGAATTAGTTCTTTACACATACATATGTATATTATGATACATTAGAGGGTCAAGCAACTTTTGTCTCTTTGCCATTCGCAAAGGATTCAATTGTGAGCCAATGGGTCTTAATTGGAAAATATCTGTTCAGTCTGGTGTTGGTACTCGTGTCCCTCGCCCAGACTGTAAACGATACATACCTATCTAAGTGCTAAAGCGATTTATTCTAACCATATGTAGGTTGAATTTTTATATCTGCCAGATTGCGTGAAATCGTCCTTGATCCAAAGTAAATTATATTGTACTTTGTAATTGGTGGCAATGCCAAATGTAGGTATTGAAAATATTTTGCATTTAGTTAGTTATTTATTTAGTTGTAATTATTAAATGTATTGCAACAATACACACAAATTGTTGTTTCGGGTCTGAGTGGCTTGTGTATGTGAATTTGTATTTTTGTAAACGCATTCCCGACATAGGAGAAAATGTCTAAAGTGAATGCATTGAGAAAAATTCTACTAGTTTCACGTCACAATGGGATTCTTATTGATAGCGTGCGCCTCGCGGAGCAGAAATTACTCGTTATTTTCAATTTTAGTAGGTTTGCCTCACAGTAGTAAACTAATACAAAAATAACGATCAAGTTCAAAGATCGTTCAATCTTTGTTGTTTATAGCTCCATAAAAGACCATAATGTATTAGGTACTAGATCTACCGAGATCTAGGACACCTTATTTCAAAGATGCATTCACGAGCGAAGCAATTTGCCTCCAGTTTTATTACAAGAACTGCTAAGGAGTTATTTCTTGCCGGAATCTGTCTTCCCAAGGGTATAAATCTGGGTGTCTTCAAGGCCCGAGCTAATAAGTTGCTTATGGGTGGGCTCCATCGTAAGTGGCATAATCGGTAACCACCAGGCATGATAGCTGATAAATGCTAGCCCATGACTAATTTAAACAAAAAGACACCTTAGCAAGAACGAGGCAAAAAACAATCTCACCCAAAAGAAATCACTCATGTCATCATATTTCAATATTTAACAAACTCACCAAGTATTTCCTTCCACAGAGGCCGACGATTTTACCTGGACAACTGCTTCGCGATGTCATCATCAATGTTGTTGGGATTGGTTGCCGTGTTCTCAATACCGTCCATTCTGCGGATATTGGTGGGGACGCGACGATCCAACTCAGTGTATACTGCGTACAGGAGATACCTCTCCACACTGCTACATACTATATCCTGGTTCGAAAACGAACTGAAGCCAGGAAGCATGTGAGTATTAATTTTTTAATTAACGTTTGAAATTGTGTTTTGGATTCGTAGTTCAACAACGACCAAGTTGTGTACCATAGAGAACTCGTTGACTAAGTTTTAAGCAATACAGCGGAGCAAAAGAAATTCCTACGTCAACCAAAATTTGTTAAATTTTTCTCCAAAATGTTCAAGGTAATAGGAGTTTTGTCGGGGTTGCAGGTAAGCGGTATAATGTAATGTACCGCAGCCCCAGACAGTTTTTAGTCAATAAAGCCCAATTTACACGTTGTCAATTTCTTGAACTTGGCATACAAATTCTTGCTTTTAGCAAGAATTTAGTTGCGTCATATTAACGACCCTTAAAATTATTGAATACAATTATTGCTATGTTCAAGACAATGGTATCATAAATGAGCCCTAAGAGTTTGACACTTTCTGTAGCATTATCCAGGACGGGAGAAAGTTACGGATAGACTATGAATACGTATTCATTAGGTACTTTCTCCATCCATGTACACGCATGCTTTATTAAGTATAAGTAAATTTATTCGATTTTGTTATAGTATCAAGTTACAGCTTACTACGAACTATAACAAACAATGTGTTGTGAACTTCGGTCAACACGAGCGATGTTATGATATATGGTCACTAAATGAAATCTATACCATGAGTAACTAGATGTCAAAGAAAAAAAAAAAACAATGGAATGCTTGATATTATAGCTTATTATCATATTGTATGTATGACATTAAGAATTGTTGTATCATAATCTTTTATCAGTAATTAAATGTGGCATTTGTTTAAAGCTGATCGTTCCGTGTTTTGGCAGGTCGTAGGTATATATAGATAATAAATAATAATTAGCTTAGCGATTTCCATGGATACCTACACGATATCTAATTGATAACATTTATGTAAGCAGACAAAGATTATGAAATTATGTAAATGAATCAAATGTGTTTCTATTTATTTATTTATTATAAGGTACGCTCTCAGCTTATGTATTCTTACAAGTGGTTTAAAGTATTGGTTATAGGCAGTAGGTCATATACATTAGCCAGTTACGAGCTAACCAACATTCTAAAAATTATGCGTCAAAATATATAGAAATTATAACTCGAACTAATTATATTAACATAGGTAGAACAACAGTATTAATCATAGTAAATTATTAACTAAATAAAATAAAAAATAAAATTTGATGTTAGCTACTATCTATTTTAAACAATGTCATTCTGAGATTCCCTTAACGTCTTTAAACGATATAGGTCCTTTTTTAAATATAATATAGTATATTATGCTCTTCTTCAACACTGCTGTGCCGAGAAATTATTTATAATAAAGTATTTTGTACGTATCGTAATTCTCTTTTACATAAAGATATACGTAGCGTTTGTGGGTAGATAGTGACGCGTTCTGTGCGTGTAAAGTCTATATAGGTTTGTTGATAAAATCACTGACCAAGTATCACTTGGAACCGCATATCAAATAGTGTCATAGGTCAAATAATTTTAGGTACTAGTAATCACTATTAGCATTACTTAGTTAACAAACCAGTTAGCGTTGGAGCTGCCGATACCCAATCCGCTTGTATAGGATAAAGATAATGAAAAACTGTATTTCATATTGTTGTTTATGAGGCCTATAGACAGAATCAGTCAGCAGAGAACTTACAATGGAAACTTCTCGATAAAACTCAGGCACTGAAAATAAAAGAGTTATAAAGCCAATACGATTATTTAGAGACTGGTAATACTAGTAAAAAAATCGCATGTACCCACCATGACATGACTTTTGTCTATGTCCACGCAGTCGCATTTGACAGTTTGCGAATCTAACTATGCGACTGCGTGGACATGTTATGATTCGGACAAGAATAAGGGTACAAGACATAAAATTTGAGAGTAAATTCCTTCCTTAAAAATAGAACAATCCACTAGGTAGGTACGTTTTATAATTAAACTAATTCTCTGAATGCAAAAGTAAAATAATAACGGTTATTATTTTTATTTTTATATTTGTGGGTAGTATTTGTAAATTTATCACAAAAACTGAATTGATGGAATCAAAATTAATATGATTATAAAATGTGGGTAGGTAGGTAATCAAAACTCAACTAGCACCTTTTTAGGATTCTGTAGTTGTTACAAAACTAGTTAGATTACAAACTTACAATATTAAAACCCGAATTAAAATTCAATCTATTTCACAGATCATGGAAATCGCTATACGCAGTGAGAAGTCGACATTTAAGGGCGGGACTAGCTTCAAAGATCAAGGGAATGGGCGTAGTGTCGCAAAGGGACTTGGCCCTTACTCAATTTGGTTTTATCGGGTTCTCTATGCTGAAGCCAGACAAGTTCGGCATCAGGCAGCTGCATGAAGACGACTGGGAAGCCTACAACTACACCTGGAAAGTCCTCGGGTACATGATCGGCATTGAAGACAGGTCAGTTCAGTTGCTAATCTATACTTCTATACTAACTTATAAAGAGGGGAAGTTTGTAAGTTTGTATGTGGGGGGTAATCTTTGGAACGACTGGTCGGATTGCCTTAATTCATTCACTGAATAGATAGCTACAATGTTCCTGAGTGCTATAGGCTATAAAACATCACCCTACGATCAAATGGAGCTGAGCAGCGAGTGAAACCGCGCGAGAGTAGCTAGTCTTATATAGAAATACAAATTATTAAGGCGTACAGTTTTACATAAAAATCTTACTTAATTCTTTTATTAAAATATCTTCATGAGTTAGATCTTTAACAACCTAATGACGTTTGCGAGTAACTCGATTGATTTAAACACACGCTGTTAGGGACTCATATTCTAGAGCGGCATTGCGCGACATTTCAGAATGTCGCGCAGCCAACCTCAACATTATAATGTACCTATGTACCTATGCTACTTTAACGTCTGGTCTAGACTTTTATGCTCAGAAACACATTGTAAAGATAAGAAGAGATTGGAACGGATCGTTTGTTAAGTGTGGGAGAGCCATGCTTCGGCACGATTGGGTCGGCTCGACCGGAGTGATACCACGGCCTCGAAATAACCACAGCGTTGTGTTTCGCCGTGTGAGTGAGGTTACCGGATGCCCAATCCTTCCCCTCCCCCAATCCCTCTTCAATCCCTAATCCCTAAAAGGTCGGCAACGCACTCGTAACTACTCCGTTGCGAGTGTCGATGGGCGGCGCTGATTGCTTACCATCAGGTAATCCGTCTGCTCGTATGCCGATCGTTTACATAAAAAAAAATTAATACAGTGTTTCTGCCCTAAGCTAACAAAAAAAAAAAAGACTCAAAATCTATAAATAAAATAAATAAGTTCATACATTATTTACTTTAAGCATTAATTGTTGTTATGGCATATAACGGATTGGATGAGAGAGCACACCGATGATGTCCGCTTGGAGCAGGCGTGCCTTAAATAGTATATCCCTAATAAAATTTATAATTTCATAATATAATTAACAAGATATATTTTCAATAATATATGTATATTGTTATATACATATATGTAGTGCATGTAAATATTATATGTAAATTTATTTCCCATGTATATTTTTATTTATTTTAATAGTATATATTTATGCTCGATTTTGCTTGCTTCTTGCACCTACTGTTGTCTCTGCATCGGCCAAAGGTTCGATTGGGGGAGAATGCCTGTGTCATTAAGTCCACCTTGTACACAGATGTATGTGCAAAAGTCTAAATAAATAAGATATATTTTTAAATGGTCAGGTACAACATCGTCCGTGATACATTCGATGAGACGGTGGAAGTATGCAAGCTTCTTCAAGAACGAGTGTACACGCCGTGCTTGGAGAATGTTCCTGAATACTTTGAGCACGCAGCGCGAGTCATGTTGGAGGGTTTGTGGACCATCAATCCGACAATCGAGACCGATGGCCTCCTGTACTGGTGTCGCGTACTGGCTGATGTACCCGGCTACATTTACACTGAAGCCGAAAGGATAGAATTCCAAAGGAAAATTAAGGAAAAACTGAAGGGGAAGTCTCTTGATACTGGTAAGATATTATATACATACAGTGAAACCTGGTTAAGTGAGACATCAAGGGACCTGCAATGTCGTTTCACTTATAGAGGTATTCCACTTACCCAGTGTCTCAGATATACCATTCCAGGTTCTCATATATGCCATTAGGTTCCATTAATAGAGGTGAGAATACAGGTTATTTCAGTTATACAGGTATACAGTCAGTTATTCAGTGATACATAACACGTTATTGTATTTAATGATCGCATTAAATAAAATAACGTGTTATGTATGTAAATAAGTTTTAATAAAAAAAATAGTACTTCAAGGTAATCATAATCACAAACTTTTTCGCGTGTCTTCCCACACGTGATATTAACTTCAGTTTTTCACGTAATGATAATGATTGTAGCTTTCGTTTTGCCATTTTTCAAATAAACACCTGTATCATAGTAAAGCGAAACTAAAACTGAAGGTAATTGAAGCTCTAAATTTGTACTTACGTATTTGGAATTACGTGTGGAATTTGTGGGTAGAATAAGAATGAGTAAACAAACAATGTTATCTCAGTTACAGAGGTTTATGCATATAAAATTTACTCGCTGTCTCAGTTATAGAGGTAACTATGATGATAAATCGAAAGAACAAATCCCAGATATACAGGTTTGCCTCGTCCCACTAACAGAGGTAATTCAGTGCCAAATTGTTGGGACCTCAGCATGAGTTCCAGTTATGGAGGTTTCTCACTTATCCAGGTCCCACTTAACCAAGTTTCACTGTATATGGTATGGTAATACTGAGTTTTGTTATAGTCGCAATCGGCCTCATTACAAAATAAAGGTTTTTTAGTCTTATGTCTAAACCATTGAGCCAGTTTTTGTATTTTAAATGGTTTAAACCTAGATAATTAAATCTTGTTTTGTTATAAACTTTCCGACTAAATAACATAAAATCGAAAGTTAAGTATGGAATGATCAATCTTTGTGACTTTTTTACACAAAAACCACTAAATGGATTCTAATGAAAACTGGCAAAGATACATTATGGTACGTACGGATTAAAATACGCGCATCTTTTTATCCGGGTAATGCGGACTCAAAGCCGCTTCAAATACCTACTCCAGTATTCAAAAATATCACAAACATTCTGTGAGTTACCTACAATGATTCAGCAATTTTTCACGAAGGCCTAATGTATACATACACACATAGAGTATATACCTAAGTACGTGAGTACTTAATTGCAAAACAAGTTGGAAAACAACAGATGCACGTAATAAGACATCGTAGAGTCAGTCGATTAATGGTAGGTACCTAGATATTCGCTAAGTGCTGTAATTTTATTTCGCAGGGGTGGATTCTATGGAGTTTATGTGCAAACCAGCCATAGACGGCCTTCCGACGATCCCGCCGCGCCTGCTCTACTACAAAGACTTCAACACCATCGAGACATCACCTTACTACAAACACCTAACTTTCAAGGCCAAATACAAGATGTACATGTACAATCTGTATTCGACCCTATACACCTCATATTTAGGCAGACTTTACATCAACCTCAATTTCTGGTTCAGCGTGTTCTTAATGAGATACTTCCCATACTTGGCTTTCTTCAAGTTTGGCATCAAAAATTCTCTAGTGAATATTTTCGAAGAGGATCCGACGGACGAGACAAAGCCGGTCACTAACGCGGAGTATTTAAAGAACCGTAAACCTGAGCCGTGGTACAGTGCCGCTCTTAGCTTAATTTGGTAGTACACGATTATCTACTTTTTGACTAAGCAAATAAGTGATTAAATCGATAAATACTTATAATGATAAGTTACACGAGCCGTTTGTGTGTGTGACGTAACAAAGCGGTGTGCAAACAGATACGTTTGTATCCAACCTTTGTATTAGTATTACTTAGATATTTATTGAACTGACTTGTGAGACGGTGATGGGAATTAAGCTGGGACAGTTCCATTCTAGAACAATAAAGAAATTACTATTTCTACATATTTCTTTGCTACCTCTATGTAATGCATAATATTCATAAACAAATGACAATGTTAACAATACGGCTTACCTCCTTATGTGGTAGTTTTAGCAAAATACATATATTTAATATGATTTTTTATGATCCGATTAAGGGTCTAACCAAATCTGTTTTGAGATAAAAACGATTTATATAATAATATTGTTATGCATTAAATTATTATTTTTATGACCAAATTATGAGATTCATTATATGAAATATATTTTATATAATTATATCATGTTTATTTAAATTATTAAATCTTATATCAAAGTATTATTTCTTATTGTTCTTAATATGTAAATGACAAATTCCATTTTGGAAATAAATTAAATGTTTGGAAAATTGTTCAAACAATGACAATAATGTGTAAATGCGTACCTAATCAATATTGCAATCGTGTACAGTTTATATAGGAAAAATTATGTACCTAACTGAATATACAGGTACTTAAATTACCTTGTCTTTTGGTTTGATATAGAAAGTTATAAAATACTAATTTATATTGACAGCTTCAAAACTCGAGTGGTAGGTAACAAGGCTCGGGACCACTAGGCATAAAATTTGTTGTCGGTGGGGTAATGTGTTATTGAGTTTTGTGTTTTATAGAATCCTCAGTAAGAACACAACATTTGGTTGTATCCCGCTAACCCATTGAATGGGTAATAGGGAATTTAATAATGTTTTAGCTCAATATTACATTACATGAATGTAGTACATAATTCAATGCAATAAAGATCATATCTTAGCGATGCACAATATAAAAAATTATCTTAGATAAAAATAATGTATAGTTGTGTAGCTGTAAGACAAATATGGTTCATAGATAAGAAAATATTTTTTCTAATTATTCCAAACAAGGCCTGATAATAAATGACATATCATTGTGAAATATATTTGTTTTTTTTTTAATATTTTTCCTTTTTAATATTATTTCTCTGCTCTATCCTCAGAATACAGAACCAGCTCTATCCTATGGTTGACTGTTAGAGAATGCCTTCAGGCATTAAGTCCGCCATTCACTAAGGTCTCGTTTGCGTACACGCGGGGCGTTGCGCGGCGCGTATTTCGTTTGTCGTACATTACAGCATCAAGTCGTGTCAACGGCCGTGCAAACACAAACATATGAAACATCACGAGCTATGTATGACGAACCGCACATCGCACCGCTCAAACGTAAACGAGGCATTATGTGTTTTATGTGAAGAGGATATAAATAAATTATTAAAGTGCACGACGCCCTTACTTTAGATAGCACGTTTGGCACAGGAGCTGGGCAATAGGCTGCCGTGCAAAGTGTAGCGGGTTCGATACCCGTACGGAATGACAACTCTTTTGTGTGGGTATGATGTGTATGTGATATAGTATGTATGTAAACGCACCCACGACACAGAAGAAAATCCTAAGGTGGGGCAACGTTTTTTTTAAAACAATGTTAATGTGCGCCGATGCTTTTGAAATCGATGGTATTATTTCATCACCCTTAACGCCGCAGCATCAGCCCGTGGTGGCTACGTGCACGAACGCCAGTATAAGTGCACCATTTCTAGTATTTTATTGAGTATGTCTACCAATCACGGGAGCACACGTGATTTGTGATGGGTCCCTGTTATTTGGGAGGCACAATGAGGGGCCGGAGCCATGAATGAAATGGGACACACATCGGCGACTATCCCTGTATGCACTATAGAAATACGCCCAAGGACAGTCCACGGTTAGTGTAGGACTTGCGGATAATGGAAACAAGGGATAAGAATATGGACGTGGGTTGCTGTAGACTATATGTAAATAAAAAGTCTCAAGTTTTAATTCATCAATATTTTATCGATAACTTTCTCACTAACGTGTGTCAATAACACTGAGCTAGTTTTAGACCTACGATTATTTTCGAGAGACGACCTCCGGCCTCTGTAAGCGCGTGTCTGCGGGTGGCGAGTAAGGTTAGCTCGCCGCTCGACCAGAACCAGACCCGAGCGTACGGCGCGTAGCGTTCCACGCGTACCTTGAAGAGCCAATTTGAATAAACACAATGGACAATTTGGTAGTGTGGACGAGCACATATATTTTTTTTTTATGGAATAGGTGGCAATCGAGCAGAATCACCTGATGGTAAGCGATCGGCGCCGCCCATGGACATCCGCAACACCAGAGGAGTTACAGGTGCGTTGCCGGCCTTTTAAGAAGGAATATGCTCGTTTCTTGAAGGTTTGAAGGTCGTATCGGTTCGGAAATACCGCCGCCGGAAGATCATTCCAAAGTTTTGCTGTGCGGGGCAGAAAGTTTCGGGTGAATCGCACAGTTGTTGACTGCCAACCATCTATGTGATGGGGATGAAAAATTTTTCGCGTGGAACGTGAACATAAGCTGCTTTTTACTCTGGTGCTGCGGGCGAAACCGCTGGCTGAATTTGATAATTGACATTAGATAATAAACCTTGTGGCGTAATGCTATAGCCATGTAAACGTAGGTTAAATGTCCGTTTATCGTGAGGAAAATAAAACGAGACATTGCCAATCTTAAAATAATTTATTTGAAAAAATCTTGAGCTTTTAGCCTCGTACGCTTGGCAACATTGATTTGTAATAGATTATCCGTGAGGTTGTTGTCTTCTGTGGTCATGTTATTATTGACACTGCCCTCGCGAGACGGTCGCGGGGTCTTCTTTCCTATTGGAGTAGCTACTAGAGGTCTTTGTGGGGTTGGAGTCCGTTTCGGAGTGGCATGAGACAGAATCCCCATGTCGTTAGGAGTTAACTTCAGTCGAGGAGACAGTAAATGTTTCGCTGCCAACTTTCGCGCCGCTGGCGACATGCTTGCTAGGCGTTCTGTGTTCGACCGAAAACTGAAAAAACAATTTAATAAACATAAATTGTGTGAATAGCAGCTTTATTGTAAGTCATATTTGACAGCTGTCAAATGTCCCCTTTGAGTAAAAATCTGGGGAACCGATTTTGTGTAATTTTTATTAAATTGCTTTTGCAAACATTCACAAAGCTCGGAATAATTAAAAGTGGCGCATTTTCTATTGTATTAAATAAATAAAACATTAAAGGAATTCCTATAATTATTCTCAAATAACGTACTTTTTCTTTTACCCTGAAAAGTGACATTTTTGACGCGTACGGGGATTCGCACCTATGACATTGCAATGTCTATTCAATGAGATGCATAATATAAGTAATTATTGTGTACCTACCTTGGCGTAGGAGGTGCGATACGCGGCGTGGTAGGGCGTCGCCTCTTGGCGGCTTGCTCCGCCAGCTGCAGAGCGATACGCTCGCGGACGCCGCCCTCCAACATGCGATACGCCGCGCCCGCACCCACACTGAGAACAATAAACATGATTTAATAAAATAAATAAATTTTATGCTAAAAATACGAATTTTATTTTTTACGATGCGAGAGCAAACAGACTTCGGAGCAAAGTTTTATTTGAGAGCGAAATACTCATTTCTGAAATTGCTAGTAACTTAGCTCCCATAGGTAAAACTCTATTTAGGCAATGTCTCTAAAAAAATTGCAATAAAAGATAATATATTTTTTGATACGTGAATTATGCCATATATGGCTAACTAAGAGCAAAATAGCCCCAGTATAGAGCAGGAGTAGGTATGAGATGATTTTGTCAGTAAGAATCTTTTTCGCCTTGACCATTGCGAGGGAAGTCATCATCAATCTATAAGTGCCCTGCTGAGCAAAAACTTCTCCTCACACGGAGAAGGTTTAGGCGTTAATCATCACGCTTGCTCAACGCGAATTGGTGATTTCAAACTTATGATTAGAAATAATATTTCTAGGTTTTCCTGGCGGCATTTTCCTGCGCCTTATGTTAGTGTTGACTTTATTATGTTAGAAAGTAAATATAACTCGAAAAGTATCACATTGGTACTTGAAAGGTCTAGAACCTCTCATGCACGTGAAGCGGGCGCCGTAACCTTCGCGCCAACACGCTACGAGGGAAGCCATTTTGATGAATTTGCATCTTGACAAAAATAAGCTCAATATACACTACTCAATGTACTCACGCTGGTAAGGGCGTATCTCCGCCATCAAGTCTGAAGGGTGTGCCTTCAATCTCTCCCCAGGTCATGATGGGTGACTGGTCGGGTCCCTCCCCTGGCCGCGGTGACGGTGTGGCCACTAAAGAGTACGCCTCGCCCGACTTCTCGGTAGATATACTTACGCCGTCCACGCCTATCTTGCCTGTTACACTTGCGTCCTGTGAAAGTAGATAAATTGCTTAGCAATTCCAAGTTTAAACTTATTTATTTCTTTATTATTTATCTATCTTATTTTGTCAAATTTATTTTTAATCATCCAAATATGTTTTCGATTTCATAAATAGGTCCATTCCAAATCACGTATAAGGCCATGCTGTGTCTTAGGTGGAATGTAAAATAAAAATGGCGCCCGTTTGAAGTAAAGCTTGTAACAAAATCGGGCATTGTTTGGGTCACTTTTCAGTTCGTTTTAGCCCCCCCCCCTCTGTGAAATGTCTTAGTGCGGTCGTCCTAGGACCGGCCCTGCAGTCATGGGCTTTTTATCACAGAAAACTTGGCAGCAATAAGTGCCTGATCTGCAACTGTTAAATGTACATAAGTATATGTTATTTTTATGTATACATCGTCCTATCTGAAGTGGCTTACACGGAAATTACATTTGCAATTATTTATCTAGAATCGAGTGATAGAAAGAACCTTTTTTGTTTTTACTACATTAGGTTACAAATAATATTTTCCATAAAATACACTATCATATTGATAGGGTCACAATCTTACCTGGCTCCTAGCAATGGCGCTGATGGCTTCTTTATTCTTCACATGGTCGAATGGTTCGGCCTTCAGTCGTGTGTTCTGGTGTACTAGCTCGGGCTTTGGTGGCGGTCGTTGGGACTCCGCCCCGTCCGGTACGTACATTATGTAGTTTTTCGCTTTGTAGCGCCA